TTGCCCCCCCCCCCAAGAAAGTTAATCGATTTTTTTGCCCCCCCCCCCAAGAAAGTTAATCGATTTTTTGCCCCCCCCCCGAAAGTTTTATGCGGGCGCCCATGCCTGTAACTAATTTTCACAGGCCCCAAAAACACTGTTTAATATTAATAATAGGCGGTCCTCAGAGACAGTTGGAATTCATATTCATTACGTATATCAGTAAATAAGACTAAGATAGGTCTTTTTTTTTTTCACGGTCCACTACGATGACGATTGTTTTATAAGGATACGGTTACCTCGAACTGGGCTCAGTTCTACGAGGGAAAAAAAACAAATATTTGTCAAAATTCATTTAAATTCGAAATGGAGGAAATTTGAGGAAAGCATTGAAATATTTTTGTTTTGTGCTGAAATAATAAAATAATTTTCCATCTTCTTTATATTTGTTTTAAAAAAAAATAGAATGGGCGTTACCCCCCTTGCAATAAAGAGTTCAAAATTTAAATTTTAATCATACGCTTGCTCATGAATTAGGCTTTTATACATTTTATATGCAAATTCATTTATGAAAATACCGTGTTGAAAACAAATAATTATATAGCATTTCTTTATTATTTCATTTTAAATGTTACATTTCAGGTGAAAGAGCTCGTCAGTGTTGAGAAGAGCGAAATGTACCACGAGAAAGAACTCAAGCCGTTACTTAAAAAGTTGATAAACAAGGCTTACAGATTTCGCGCCCTTTGTCCGCATCAGACCGACATTGATATCTCTTTCGCACAAGATTTTTATCTCCCTAGAAACTACCTAGATTTAGCGGTGGATAATGTAAGATGTTTTCTTTGTTGCATAACGTTAAATTAGTGTTCTTAAGTCTTACAGTAATTCATAATTCGAGGATGTTATCGTGGTGGAGACTAAGAATTCCAACTAACAATAGTACGGTGATTGGCTCCTCTTATTAAAAGTTCTTAAAGTTATTTCCCCTCCTCCCCACTTTTTTTTTTTTTTGGTAAACCATATCAATGATAAATCCTTATTGTAGTACCTTAAGTTGTGTGTCACGATTGATGAGATGTCGGAAATTATGAAGTATTTCATGTGCATAGTATAGGACAGCTTTTCTCATTACCCGAGATCATTGTGTTGAGTGTGTATTTACTTGACATCTGATCGTTGTGCATGTGAAACGTATCATTATTGAATACACATATTCCTAGACCAAGACCAAGTTGGGCAAACTTCTTCCAAAATAGCCACAGTTGTGGCGAACGAAAAGTAAGATTCGCCACACTATACATAAATTCATAAAACACTACTATTAAATAACTTGTTGAAATTGACTGAATAATTGAGATCATATTTGAACCGCTGCCAGAGTCGGCGCCTCGTCTAGTTACAAAATAATTCTGGTACCGGTTTTCATAATTTTAAGTAGGCATTCATAATTTAGTTTTATAATTTAGAAAAAAAAATATATAAACTTTATTTTCTTGCTTACCTTCCTCAAAAACAATAACAGGCCTAGTGGGTAGGTGAGCCCAGTATGCTGGGGGGTTTTCCTTGACCGTATTACAGTTGCTGACAGTGACCGCCTTTCTCTCTCTTTTGTTTCTTCACTCACCCTTACCAATTACCGTACTTGTATGTATCTCTTTGTAATTGCTTGAACAAAAGAAGGGCAATAATGACCTTAATTCAAGAACAATAGGCCTACATATGTTTTAGATGGAATATTTGTTTTAAAAAATAGGAAATGATTAAATTATTTGAATGACCATTTTACATAAAGGTAATTAACTCAACTAAATTTTTTTTAAAAGGGGGGGGGGGGGGGGTGCTGATATACTTTTTATGAGACCAAAGTTTAATTTGTTAACAATCCTTGTTTGTATGAGACCAAAGTTTAAATTGTTAACAATCCTTGTTTGTATGAGACCAAAGTTTAAATTGTTAACAATCCTTGTTTGTATGAGACCAAAGTTTAAATTGTTAACAATCCTTGTTTGTATGAGACCAAAGTTTAAATTGTTAACAATCCTTGTTTGTATGAGACCAAAGTTTAAATTGTTAACAATCCTTGTTTGTATGAGACCAAAGTTTAAATTGTTAACAATCCTTTGCTTTTGGATAATTCACTTTTCTTTACCGGTACTTACTTTTTTCTATATCTCAATATTCAGGTCCGTATGCAAAATACCCTAAGATACGGCATACAAGTTGATGTAAGGACATATGTTGGTTCAGTTCCATCTGAACTACGTGACGGGGAATGGAAAATAACATACAGAAAATCAAATGATACTTGGACATTACAGGTAATGCATGTTAAGCATGCTTTCAACAGCCAATATCATGCTGACCTGCAAGTGCAAACAATTTTTAGAAAAAACTGGTGATCTTTGTAACTAGTAATAAGCGGTGGCATACATACATTTCTAGTTTACTTAAGATCTTCATTATCCTACCAATTTTTTTTACTGATTAATTTCAAATTGAGGCCGACATAAGGGTCCCGATCCTGTGTTTATCTTTAAGAACTATATTGTTGGTTGAAGATATTATTTTTCTAAAGTGACATTGACATCTTTCCATTAAAAATTACCTTTCCATAATCACATCCTAGGAGTTGAAATTCTATCTCTAGTGACATCCTCACAGTTGAATAAATGACCTTTCTCATCTGCTAGATTTACTGTCACGAGTCAGCTTTACAAGGAGGTGAAGCCAGGGTCCAGGCAGTTTTAATCATCACCAACCTAGATGACCGTGTTGTCCAAGTGGATGAGTCGGATGTGACTATCTGTAGCCGAGGCACACACTTGACCATGAATGCCTCAGTGCCTAACCAGGACATCTCAAAGAATATGGCCGTTCTTATAAAACCATTACCAAAGTAGAGTTTGTCGAGAATGACGGCAGGGTCGGCGAATTTTCATAAATCAAAGGGCTCATTTTGCTGTGCGTTGTGGGAATTTTCAGCTGTCAAGCAGTAGCATAGCTAGTGTGTTGTCAGGCACATACCTCACACTGCAATACATTCACAGATACACCAATATCATCTATGAAATGTATATTTTCAAAGTACAAAATTTACACAATAACAGGGTTTCAGGGTATGTCCTTGCTTGATGGTCCAGAACATGCTTATTGACTTATTGCCCTTGTCAAGTTATAGTCGAGTAAAAGTATTTCTTTGTTTATGACGTCACATAAATTGGTCATTCCCTTGAAACCTTCATCTTCTTAACTTTAATGCCCAAATGTTGCTTTCATTTCTTTCAGTCAGCTTTGCACAATCAACCTCTTCCAAATGAAATCCCCCCAACGCCACTTTAGGTTTGACCTGGTCCGATTTATGTATCACATTCGTATGTTGGTCCCTGCATTTTGTGAACATAAAATTGGCTCTGTACCCTGCAAAGCACCACGCCACACATTCCAGTCATAATTAAAGTACAGTAACTTACACTGGCTCTTCAACAAGACACATTTGATGCATTTGTCATCTCATTTGTATGCTTACCATCGTCATTAAAGCTGTACCGGTACAACAATAATGAATTAAAAATATTTAAAATCTTTATATCAACCTGATGGTTGAACAAGCTAAGACCAAGAACTTGAACTTTGTTTTTGCTGATAATTTTACAAGTGGCAAAAGACAAATATTTCGAGGGAACTCTTTTTCTTTTCTATGTGGGGTTAGGCGTTAGTTTTTGTGACTCTGCAGAATACATTTCAATGTCAGGATAGAAGAGCTTTGCTTTACCTGTACTGTCATGGTTTATCTAGACTCTAACTTAGAGCCAGATCTAGATGCACCAAAGGCTGGGCTTCATTGTTAAGTTATTTATTTATTTATTTAAGTCACAATTGTAAAATTTATATACATTATAAATTATTATATATCACACAAAAATTGATAGTGGAAAGAGATGATCTAAACATTTTGCTTGCTTATTCCCTCAAACAACAGTGTAACAAACATGTTGTATCTCACTTGTACATGTATTTATAATATTTATGACCTGTTTATAAACTAAGAGTCCCAAGGTATTTATAATATTTATGACATGTTTATAAACTAAGAGTCCCAAGCTCATGCAGCCGGCCAGGTCCCATTCTAAGGTCTCCAAGTTGTTCATGTTTCATAAAAATAAAGTTAAAAGATCTATAGATCCAGTATGATTTCATAGAGGTTTGAAATTAGGACACCTGGTTTTGCATATTGTAATTTTTTATTAATACACATTTCATTATAGGATTTACTTCTTCACTATTTCAACACAAAAACTTAAAATCTCCTGTTCATAAAAATCATCAAAATTCAGGAGTGAATAATCCCAACAGTTTAATTAATTAATATGAGTATAAACAAATTGAGAAAATGTAAGGGTCTTGCATTAGGTCTCTTGAAATGAGGGAAGTGTATTGGTGATAAATGTAAAATAGATTTCTTTTTAAATACATACGCATTTCCAGTTCCACAACTCCCAAAAGTCTTATGTGACGTGAAAAATGAAATGGCGACTTTTAAAAAATGATTATCATTTGTATGTATAGTGCAATCTTGTTATTGTAAAGATGGCTTGTTATTTGTATGTTATGTGCAATCTTTGTAATGATTTAATATAGTTTCTTCTTCTTGTTATTGTGAAGATGGCTCGTGTCATTTTGATAATCTTTGTTTTTTGTGCATTTTCATTACACAAACTTTTTGCATATGAACAAGGCTTCTATCTTTATTACGGGGTACTTAATTTACGTACCATTGGATAGTTTAACATTTTATTTAAAATTTACACAACAAATTGGGCAGACATGTAACATATGCTACAAGTCAGTATTCCAAAATCTTAACTTTCATGATACCGGTACTTGAAATATATTTTTGAACTTATCCAAATTTTTAATTGTTTTACCATTTCATTAAATTTTAAGTAGGTATTCCTAATTTATAAAAACTATAAATTTTACAAACCAACATCACATATAAATATAGCAGTTTGTAGGATGCCACTTATACTTATATATATATATATTATATATATAGCCATAAAAATCCCACAGAAAATTGTTTATAGGATGTCAGCCAAAGACAAAAAGACTGTGAATAATTTTAATCAACTTTACATTAACCAAATAGAAGGAAAACAAAACAACCTCAAGAAATAAGTTTCACACAATGCAAACAGTTTTGAGACAATGTACTCATTAAATAGATGATGTTCCAAGAGTGACAATACAGTATTGACAAGTTGGCGATGGGACAGTGTGAATGCATGTAGGCACTCCTTAATTGAAACATTGCTAAATGATTTACTGGGTGCTTTATTTCTATGGAAATTTTAAACATTGAGCTGGGATGACCAGTTGGATACAACATTAGGTGGTGTTCAACTACTAGGCGAGAGAGTGCATGGTCTGAAGTAACTCTAGTCTCACACACAAGTAAATAAAAAACGAAACATCTGACAATGTGCTACTTCCCCTAAACATAAAATATGTCAGGTGACGTCCAGAGTTTTTAAGTTTACAGCAATACATTTCACATCTCTTACACACAAGAAAAAATCTGCCCGTGTGTAGCCATGCAAGCCTCACACATTGCCTACCACAACATGTTGAAATATACACTGACAACATAAGGGAGATAATGATTACATATTTCAAAAAAAGATGTGTTTCTGATTTTCTCCATTAAGCTAACTGTTAATTCCATCTACACAATTTTTTTAATTTTATAGAAATCTCCTAAAATTATTGGAATATATTGATAAAAAGCATACAGTCTGAGAAAAATACATACTGATATAAGACATAATACAAATAATCTAAGCTTTGATATGTCAAGTGTATTAATAATTAAGTTCATTGTTTTATTTTGAATTTAAAAGAAATAATTAAATCTAGAAAATGCCAGCTGCTAGACTGATTGAACGTATCACTTGTATTGAAGTTGCCTAAATATGCTATGTACACCTGAGTAACACAGTTCAGATGAACAAAATCTATGGCAAAATAATGAAAGCAATATAACTTAAACATTCAGAATACATCAAGACGTATAAATATATTTTAAAACAAGATTTAGTTTGATCTGCACAAGAAAAGAAAAGTTATATCAAATAACAGGTTAAATCAACAGTCTAGCAATTAGATTTAGATCAAGTAATCCCTTAGTTCAAGACCACAAATGACCAACAAAATAGTCCTACACGATGTAAACGTTAACTTGTTTACCCTAAGAGCGTGTTCCTGAAACATCAATCTGTTCAGTTAGTTTTAGAAGTTAATAACTAAATTGATTAGCATAAGGTATTTATTTCCCTAGCAGGGGACAACCCTCTTTTATTGTGGGCATCAGCGGGTTCTACTTAGCTTATAGTTTTAACATACTGCGAATCAAGGGAAACTTTCCCTATGTGGCTATTTACAATGGAAACTATTTCTGATGACTGGATGAGACAGCTACAACATCCCTAAGTTAACATGATAAGAACAATTGCCCCTTCAACATCTAGTTGTCACTTGTGCCACCAAGTTTTCAACACAGATCATGTCCTAAGCAATGGAACAATGCATTCAGTAATGGAATGATGACATAATACAAGCTGTAAACATTCAACAGATACATTTTCTCTTGTCAACAAATTAGGCATAGTCCGCTGGTATTATATTGAAGTTATTTCCTTGTGCTGCATTGTAAAGCAATTATTCTTTTAACATCTTATTGCAACTTTTTTTTTTCTGCAAATGTATAACAAAAATAGCTTTTTGGATATGCCTTTTCTGCTGAGAGATCAATCAGCAACTTACAAAAGTCATACACATGGAACAAAACAACACGCTTAAAAAACAACACAGTCATGACCAACAACTCAGCCAGACACAGTTTATTACAGTACAACACATCAGCAGTTTTGCTAGTATGTATCACTTGCTGATGTCCAAGAAAACTCCAGCTTCAACACAAACTTTTATTTTGAGGCGTGACAAGAAGCCAACTGTATCACAAGATTGTTCTCATCATGAGAGAAACAGGTCAGGATCCAGGCTGGCAGCACCGTCCCCGGCCAGCTCTTCAATGCCACCCATCAATGAGAGAATACCATCCACGTCGGCAAGTGCTCTCTGCTCCTCTTCAAATTTACATGCTAGTCCTGGCTGAAACATACCACAACAGAGTCAGCTGGAGGTAGGGATTAGTTTAAAATAATAAAAAAAGCTCTGAATTATGTAAACTAAATAATGTAATGGGGTGGGTGCACCATACCAAGAGGAGAGGAAAAAAAATTTGGGGATGGGAGGAATAATTTTAAATTAATGTTGCCCCAACTTCAGTTTTCACATTCTCATTTCATGGATACATTCATAAGGAGACCAAAACTTTAAAAAGAGGAACACAGACTCACAGTGCAGCATAAATCAAATCCTGTTGTAAACAGTTTCTAAAGTGTCAAGAGATTAGTTTGATGGAAACTTTACAACTATATTTTTATAATACAAGAAACTGATAATTTGGAAGCTACACACAGACTGAAAAAAATGTGGAATAAAAAAAAAGATAGCATTGTGTAACTAGCTGGTTTTAATCTGTGTTTTTTGGAGCACAATGTTTTAGAAAACAAGACAGAGTCTGGGGACGGAGGGGGAGCTGGCGGCAACATGATACTAGTGTATGACAGCAAATAAATGAATGAAAAATATTTCCATGATATTTATTTAAATAATGCTGGAGTTCAGAGGATAAACAACATGAAATAAAATGGTTAGTGAACATTGTTAGCAGTTTGGTAATCAAAACAAAACATCAAGGTCACAGTCTGGTCAACAACAAAACTGATAAAGAAATAGATCATATATAGTGTTGGTTGCCCCCCCCAATCTTTGTAAATATTGTAATATACTTTTAAGACCACAGATTTTCAGGCATCAACTATATAAAAAACAAAACAAAACGCACACTTTGTGCTGTTATTAATTTTGGTGTCGCTTTTGTTGGAGTTTGGTGCAGAAATTAACAGCTGCTATTGAAATGTTTGACATTTTATTCATTATATTTCATCTCGGGGTAAATTAACGAAACATTTTATTATGTTAATTATGTTATTAAAATGGGATCATGTTAATGTTCTATAAATAATTTGTATCTTGATTCATATTCAAGGCCGTTAAATTAGTACTTTGGATTGTCTTTTTATAGGTAAACTACCATTCACTTTTTATTAATATTTATGCTTATCCTAACATTTCAATATTGCATCGTTAAAGGAAAGAAAAAAAGACCATTTTAAAAATGCAGGAAAAATACTTAAAATGGCATATAAGCAAGGGTAAGTTAATGCTTAGAGTGAAATAATATAAAACAATGATGTGGATTGGAAAGTGGGGGGAAAAAAAGTGACAAGTAAGCTATAAGTTTAACCAAAGTAACTTAGCTAGGTAGAAATATGTCACCTACTGGCACTAGCTAAAGAAATAAAAGCTTGTGGAAAAAGTCAGGAAAAACTGAACAACACCTTGGATTGGAAGGATGTTGAAGGAAAGGAGCAAAATCAAATGAGCAGTCAGCTGCTTGTGGCGGTGAATCAATTCAATGATATAACCCTTTGTTACAAGATGTTCTCACTTTTTCTGGGCCACCCTTTATGGCTCTGAACAAGAAGACGATCATGGGAAATTTATCACTTTCTTTGCTATTCTGAATTGTTAATTTCTTGGCAGCCAACTTGGAATCTTTCTGCACCAAGAAACCATCAATGGAAATTTTTCTTCAACTTTAAACCACTTTCTCTCTATCTCTCGCCTTTGTTCGTAACCCTAGGCAAACATTTTTTGCAGTTGTTCGTGATCTGAGGCGTTAGTAACCCGAGGTACCACTGTACTGTGGTTTAAATTATGGGAGGGAAGAGGTCAGCTGTTGTCAGTCATAGCAGACTTTAACAAATTATTGGGCTTCTGTACCCTTGGCAATATGAGGTACTGAACTTAGCATATTTCCTGGGCATTCCTTAATCAACTGTCACTGAAGCACTAGCTTCTAAAAGCAAACAAAAGGTTAAAATGTGCAGGATACACAACATAGTTAAGTGAACAATTTTTTCCTTAGATTACTTCAAGAAATTAAGAAAACAAAGAGGGTATTCAAAAAAAATATATGAAACCAGCAACAACTAGAAAAAAGTGTCTATGCCACTGTGAATTGCCTGTCATACAACCTCTGGGCGCTGTCTCTTTGCGCTCCTATCTGGGTGGCTGCGAGTGTGCAGCCAGCATCACCCCCACTAAAACAGCTGCCCCGGCTGAAAGTCCCAGGACTAGCACACTACACATGACACACGATGGGGCACTCACGGTGTTGCCAGCTGCCGGTGGAAGGGTCAGCCTCTCGGGCAAGTCATCGACAGTTAGCTCCTCATCACTGTTGTTTCCATTGGTGATCCCATTCATCTAAAATTATGTACCATAAACAGTTTTAACACTGAGTCAAAAGGGGCTACTTTTCAATTCAGTTTCAAAATCAAAAAATTTAAATGCTGTCAATCTCAATAAAATAAAATGGTGCAAACCACAAGAGACAAAAAAAATTTTCCATGGCACTTAATATCTTTATATTTTAAAATCAGGCAAAAGAAATTAAATATTAATCCCAAAACAGAACAAGACTTTACAATTACAATGATTTAAGATTACCTTTTTTTTTAAAGTTGTGTTTTTAAAATCTTAACCTCAACCACACAATTCTATTATAATCAAACTTATTTGAATAGACCCAGTACCTGAGAACTGTCTACAGGCAGGACATTGTTTGTTGAGGGGGTGGTTTCCCCTTCTCCAACTGACTTCTGAATGGTGGCCGATCCTGCTGTTTGGGGAGTTTCTGCTTCAGGTGTTTTTGGCGAGACCCGAGAACCACCATTACTCTCCAACATTGAATCTCTGCTGACAGCAGTTTCACTTGGGTCATCCATGCTTTGTTCTTCATCACTGTCATCATCATCCTCATCACTGCCGATTCTGTCATTAAAAACACAAACAGTCATCCCAGTCATTGCTATCACATCCCGCGCTCCCCCATTTACATCATCAGTTGTGACATAGATTTTATGCCAAGCAAAATAAAAAGGAAGGAAAGTTGATCCATCCACATCAGGTATTACATAATTTATTAAGTAATTCTCTGACAACATGCCTTTTCTCATTATACATAATTAATTTATTAATTCTCTGACATTCCTTTTCTCATTAGATATCAATATTTTCTTCTCATTTTTTGACAACTGAACTGATAATTCTTTACAGGAACTGTTCTAATAAAATATTCTATAACCATAAAATTTTCTGTTAAGCTAAAACTTATCTGATGTTAAATTTAAATAGGATGATGACTGAAAAGGAGCCTGTGCAATAATAATGGTTCAAAAAAGACCCCTTTAAATGATCCATGTTATCTGAGCATAGGAGGGTCAGTCACACCTTGTAAATGGCTTAGTTTCACTTGGAGCCAACTCAATCTTGTAGGAATGTTCACCCTCATCCTCCTCTTTCTCTTCAAAGTCTTTTTCACTTTTTTCAATGGCTCTCTCGTCTTCATTTCTATCCTGTCATAATCAACAAAATTTGCACTCATAAATTACATTTTCATTAAAAATCAATTTTCTTTAAAGAATTCGTCTAAATTTCAAAGTTACCAGTTTGATTGCTACAGGCAGGTTTAATCTAACCATAACAAGGGGTCACAGATGCGTAATGAAATAAAGAATAGAGCACTAGAGCACAAGTGTAATATGGGGAGGTTGAAGCAATAAGAAATATACACAGGGTAAAGAATATGTATTTTTTTTAAAGCAAAGAGGTAAAAAAAAATATATATAAATTTGATTTTGTCTAGCCCAAGGTTTAAAAATGAGTTGATAACAAATTATTTCCTCACCTGTCCCAAAACATCCTGCCTAGCCATGTTGAATTCTCTCCGTGGGTCACTATCAGATCCAGTGGCAATGTTTTCTTCTGTCTTGTCACCCTTCTTATCACCGTCATCATCCCTAGCTTCATCATCAATGTCTGAGCAGCTGCTTTCAACACTGTATACTGAGGACTCCTTGGACGTCTATCAGAAATAACAAAAGAAATTGGTGACTTTTTTGTCAGTTTTATAAATTCTTTATATTGTGACACAAAACCCTACATGAAGGCCTCCAAATCCTTCACCATGGCCTCAGGCCACAACCCCGAATGGTTACTGAACCTGGAAGATGATTCAGCAACATCTTTGAGTAATTATTTTCATTTTGAAAACAAGCAGTGGCATGATTCCATGCATATTGACATTTTCTCCCAACTCTCCTCCTCCAAAAAGCTATATCAGATATTTGAAAAATGCATAAAGCACACAAAATATTTTTTGATTTCTACTTCTTGTGTGTTGGTTGAGGTATATGATAGCTGAATTTTATGCTAGAGAAATACTTTATATGTCTTGTGTTTAAATTTTTCTAATTGTAAAATGTTTTTGTCTTGGTTAAAATATATATATATTTATGTGCTGAAAATGAGTATGTACAATGTGATCAAACATTTCCATTCACTTGGATCAATAAAAGAATCTCAATGTGATTTGGCTAAAAACAATATTTTGGATAGCTATACAATTTTTTTTGTTGCTACATAAAATATTCATATTTTAAAATGGTATATTAGATGTTTAAAAAAAAAGACAGCCTTGGACACCGATTTCCAAGGTGCATATTTAAATAATGTTTTAAATAATTCCATCCAATTTAAGACTGTCTGATAAATACAGCCCCCTACCTAAGCTCTTGTTAGTTCTGTGCATGATCACTAGGTGGAGGTACTCAATTATAGTGCATAGCTTAATTTACTTTACTAAAAACATTCCATTTCATACTGTCTTGTACCTGTGTTGGGAACTCAGTGGCTTTCATTTTCTCAGCTACATTCGGGTCATCCAAGTCCTGCATCAATCTAAAGAAGGCCAACTCATTGAACAGGACATCTGAAATTTCCACAAGGAGGTCCTCACCACATTCTCTCATCCTGGTAGATGAAACAAAATAAATGATTTCTTCATGGAAACTTTTTATGCAACTTACAACTTTTAACATTTTCTCTGCAGCTGGTTAATTTTGTATTGCATTTTTAATTAGTAGTCTACTACAATAGAATGGGAATAATCATTGCTCCCCACAATAATTAAAAAAATAGCATTTATCATATAGCATTTCCTGGCTGATAAAGCAAAGCAACATTACTAATTAGCCCATTAGATGCTCAAGTGGGGATATTGGCTCATGCAAGAAAATGAGGCATGTTGAGTCAATAGGTGTTAATTATATTTTTAACATTCTTAAACTTTTAGCCTACTGTGAGTTTGTATATCGGCTCAGTGAAAGTAAGTCTTTATTTGTTCCTTTTAAAGTTGATCTTATTTTTAATGCACCTACAAGTTGACACAAAACTTCTGCTTGTAGAAGCATGTTTGCATTATTGATTAAATTACTGGTGCAGCTGGATCCTCTTCACCATTTCTAGGGATTAATCATTTCTATATTTGCCCGATCTTATTGGTACTTTAAAAAATTACTCCTACTTTCTTCCATGGTATTTCTGCAGGGTGTCCTGAAGCAAGGAAGACAACTGACGCTGGAAAAATCTGGCAAACTCTTGGTTGCCTATCTGACTGGTCAGCGACAGAACCAGCCGTTTAACGTAGGCCAGCAACTGGGTGGAGCAGATGTCGTCCATGTGCTCCTTAACCACTGGAATGGTCTTCATCATTATGTCTTTGATTTGGCGGTCAAGCTGTTTCATGTCTATTCTAGGATACTGCAAAACAAAAATTGGTGATGAGTAAAACAAAATTTAAAAATGCAAGTTGTGAGTAAATGCTGAATAACAAGAACAAACCATTTATGAGTACCCAGAATTTAACAATTTAAAAAAAAATTACTTTCAAGCACAAAGTAAATTTTTTTCTTCTTAAAAGATGACGAAAATAATGCTAAATGAAACAAACTGATTCCTAGGGGTTGAACCTACTGGCATTTCTGAGAACGAACTTTGGCTCGCTTCTTCCACTGCTGAGCTGTTGGTCACCTCACTGGACTGTGATGTCCCTCCAGATGCTCGGCTCTTCTTGCTCCGAGTTCTTCTTTTCATGTCTTTCAAAAGTTGCTCAGAGGCAAGAAATCCTCCTGCTCCCCAAACCTACAGAAAAACAAACATGTAAGAAAATTAGAATGTCCTCCTTTTAAACGCAGTGATTCCTGGTATGTTGGCCTATGACAAAAGTCGACCATGAAAATAATTGATAAAAGTCACTTGATGAAAATTGTTTTTATTACTTATGTTATTAAATTGTCCTTGGAGAAAAAAAAAAAGAAATGATTTATATAAATTAAAAAAGGGCATCAAGCTGTTGATAATTCTTTTTCTTTGCGAAGTAAGAAATATTTCTGCACACATGAACACACATACACATATAAACTTTAAATATAGTGCCCCTCTGCTTAATTCAACTCTGCAAGTGGTTCTTGCTTGCTTATTATTAGGGAACAACAGCTATAAACGATTACCTGTTCTTACACCTGTTTTTAATACAAAGGGTTCAAAATGTGTGTTTAATTTCTAATATACAAGTAATGAGTGTGGTAATCTTTAACTTGATATATGTTGGTTCTGGATTTCACATTCTGCAATTTGTATAAACACTTACTTGCTGAGCCTGCCTCCCATGTTCAGAATGGTTGGCGTTAGCTCCTTGTCGGTTCCCCCATAAGCCTCTGGCTTCTTGGTCTTGTTTCAAACTGTTAAGCTCAATCACAGTTTCTCCTAGTGTGTCCTGAGTGAACAAAGATTCAATAGTTCACATAGAAAAATAAATGATGACCATGTTTAAAAAATAAAATGAAGAATCCAATGTGACATGATTTTAAAAGTGCTGGTATGGGAAAAGTTATATATTAAAGGGGAAAGTTGTATATGAAGGCGCAATTCATTAAAATATTTCAGAAGCCAATGACCACTTGCAATGTGTAGAAAACATGTGTTTCTCAGGTACTGATCTGTAGACAAGTGATTATCAGAAAAAAAATCTTGTGGGAATTTGGGAGACAAAATAACTAATTATTATTTATTGGGTAGTACAAGTTTGTAATGTCACCTATAGTGGCATGAAAATGATGGGGAGGAAGGCAAACATTACTGGCTGAACGAAATTAATGTCCTTCAGTTATGCCACAGAGGTTTCATTCCAGATTTTACAGGGCTTGAATTCTCCATTTAAAAAAAAATCCCCAAAAGTTTGCCCATCAGTGTTCTAGTATCTTCAGAACCCACCTGAAAGAAAGGCGAGTCCTCACAACCATTGGTAGGGGTAGATAAGGAGCTGGGGTTGTCTGCCATCTCTACAAAATCATAAGGGAAATTTCTCAGCGATGTATTTCGTGTAATCCTGTCAAGTCTATTTCCAGCTGATGCTTTTTCTTTCAAACGTGTCTTAGAAGGAGGAAAGTGATTAGTGTTTAATTTTCTATCTCTGCATCCAAAAGAATTTAATTGAAGAATATCATCATTCACAAATGGCTCATTTTAAAAATGTGCATAGCACTCGACTATTTTTAGTTGTTGCACTCTTTCCTTGTCGATGGGCTTTCTGAAAGCATTATAGTAATCCACTTGGACTTTTTAAATATTCTATTTCTATTGACTTACACAAGCCTTGAAATGTTCTTAAAGAGAGCATCCCATTTTATTATCTCGCCAAGTCTATGCTAATTTTGCAGTATGGCAAATTAACTTCTACACTGATGTGAATTATTCTATAGATTGGCAACTCACAACTTTGAAATCCTCATCATCCGAGGTAACACTCTCACTTGGTGTCTGTTCTGAGTTGCCTGTGTCCCCAGCATTGGAAGTTGCTCTAACCCATGATGGGGCAGACTGAAATTTTAAAAACACTTTAGTAAGAATTATTCCAATGAATAATCGGTACATATAAAATGTAAAGCCACTCTAAAAAAGAACAAGAGAGATGTTTCAAGGACTTATAAGCAAAACTGAAGTATCAAGACATTGCTCAACATCTGGAATGATCTAGTATGAAGATTTCTAAATCAAGAAACTTATTTTAATTTGTTAAAAACTCTTTTTTGTCTTGAAGAATTCTATTATAAATATGTTTATAAATAAATGTATTGATATTGATCTATGTTCAGTATCTGATCAAGATTTACAAATGTTGCAGGGAATAAATGGAGTGTCCCCTTAATGTTGTTGAAATAGGGATAAGAGACCGATTTTCCCCTTTTTTCACAGGACATAAATTAACATCACTTAAATTTAATAACTTTGCAATAACTGTATCTTTGTAATGAAACTAATAATAATAACACTTGGTCTCAACAGCCATGTTCCACATATTAACCTACACTATTTCCAGAAATGGACTTGATGTGCGAGCTGAGCACTTCCTGAAGGGAGTAAAGTGTCCTCTGCCGTAACTGGTCAGAGTCAACTTGTTGCATGTCTCGAAACAACTCCAACAGGAACTGGGGTCGGCTCTCATTCTGAGAAATAAGAGATGCCACTTCCGAATAGATAGCATCACGAAGTGTGTCGAAAAGTGTGTTACCATCATTGGAAGCATCTACTGATCTGGTGGGGAAACAGATTCAATTACTTTATAAATTGTGAAAAACCTTTATTGCAGCTTAACAATAGTTTTAAACAATTGGCAAGTTTTCTACTACAATACAGTAGAAAAAAAACAAACTTTTATATATTTATTATGACAAATTTGACTTTGTGATCATGACAAATAATTGAGACAATCAAGGAAAATGTTACATATAAATATAAATGGAAAAGCTATACTTGGATTAGACAGGAGAGGCTGGCTATTGAGCATGAAAGGATTGAAGATGATGTGGGAAAGGTACAAAATAATAGTTCAAGAACAGGACTGAACATTTTTTTAATGGAAATGGCTTTTAAGCACTTTAAAAATGCTAGTTCTCACAATGTGCTACCCCTACATGTTTGACATCATAACACATAAATCCTACTTACTTGACAAGTATAAGAACAACATCTCTTGTTCTACTCTGACACTTAGATAAGTGTAACAATATCTCTTGTTCTACTCTGACGGTTAGATAAGTGTAACAATATCTCTTGTTCTACTCTGACGGTTAGATAAGTGTAACGATATCTCTTGTTCTACTCTGACGGTTAGATAAGTGTAACGATATCTCTTGTTCTACTCTGACGGTTAGATAAGTGTAACGATATCTCTTGTTCTACTCTGACGGTTAGATAAGTGTAACAATAGCTCTTGTTCTACTCTGACGGTTAGATAAGTGTAACGATATCTCCTGTTCTATTCAGTTACAGTTAAAAAAAATGTCTGCAAGCTCTAAAAAGTGAATTATGACAAAGCATGTCCAAACAAGACAATTAAAACAATGTATATATGTCTTTCTATAATTCAGGGGGGACCAACGCAAAAGGCTTCACGGAGCACTTAAATAGAGAGTAAACCTTTGGCTGGCCGCATGCCATTACACCTAATATTAAAATAAACAATCTATTCAGCACGTATTAAAATTAATGAAAATGAAACAAAATAAAAAGGAACATATTTGATATTTATTTATCTCTCACTTAACTTTTAAAAATCAACTGCTTTGTAAATAGAATGAAGAAATAATACGTTTATTTTTATAAATCAGGTATAAGTGGGCCACAATATTTAAGGGGGCAGGCTACCAAAAAATTTTTTTTTTAATTAACCAACTTAGAGCAATTATTTTATTATGGTCATGTTAAGCTATGAATGGAGATATATTTTCATGCTTTAAAATAAAAAAAAATTATATAGTTGCCATGGCAACGGCGGCCATCTTGAAAATAATACCCATTCGTAGAGTTCTAAAATTTTAAAAACAAACATACATATTGCTTAAAAATTGATTGATTCATGAACTTCAATTATATTTAGAGGTACTGAGCTAGTTTAATTTCCTTAAAACTTTTCAAAACATTTTTTTTTTAATTTTTAAAATTTGCTTCGGCAGAAAACGCTTAAAATTTACCATCCTAGGATATGAAAAAAATTATTTTAACAAAAGTAATTGACCAAATTGATTTTTGAATAGCTCATTACCCACAAAATAGTTAAAGGAAGATACACACCAAATTTTATTACTCTAGCTTGTATATTAGCTGAGATTTTAGAATTCTACGTTACAAAACAACAGAAAAAAACAATTTTGAGAAAAATCAATTTTAAACTTTAAAAGTGAAAAATTTTAAGTTTAATATGAAAATGAAGTTCTTTTACATAGTTTTTTTTGTTCAGCAACATGGACATGGTGGTTTCTTATATTATTGAACTGTTGAATGCACCAGGAACATGGGTTTTAACTTCTTGAACTTCATCAGGTGCTCTCGTCAAAATCACAATTTTAAACAAAAAATTTTTTTCCTCTGGAATAAAGCTAATTTGTGTTGTATTAGAATTTTTTGTTCAGCATTATAATATAACACAAGTTATCCAAAGTCCCCAATCAACCCTTTTGTCCATGATCCTTTTAACCATGCTTAGATGACAAGGTTATGTTGCTGTCACCATCACTGAAATTAAAGCATAGTTTCATGGCAGCAATGCTATGTTGAAACTTTTGTACCTATTCTGTGTACTTCTTTCATCAAAGATGTCCCTCATACCAGAGGTGAATGAGTTATTTGTCTATTAGAAATGTAATAATTGGGAAGATACTTGCTCATAAATGTTTCATGTCTTCGGCATAGCGCAGTTTTTATACTTTGCGCAGGTTATAAATTTTGCGGTGCAGCTGGATTGTTTATCGCAGATATCATAGATTGCAACTTTTCATAGTCCATGCCATTGTCCTTCAGGCCTTAGAGTCTATAATTGATAATGACTTGGTTATCCAGTTGTTGATATGAACAATCTAACCACTCACAATCTAGTCATTGTTATGTTCATAGTATTTACTATTTTGTTTTGCAATCAGCTGTAAGTTATGGCTTCTGCAATTCGTCCATTCCACTGCAGACAGAAGAAAATTGGTAAAAGCTTTGAATTATGATCATTTCGAAATCAATGTTTAGCAGTCCCTCTGTAGAATTCTTGTCACTGAAGAATTAACTTTTGCTCGGCTCGGTAGAACTAATTGGGGGCTGGAATGGAATTAAAAAATTATATAAACATTATTTAGCAAATAATATATTGAAAATGATCTCAATAAGCCTATTAGTATTATTTAGATGTTTAGGATTGCTAAACTAAATACTTATTTTATTATAATTACTAATATTAGTAAATTGAACTGATCTTATACTTATAAATAAGAAATAATATAAAACTAATTAGCTATTAATAATTGTTTGCAGATAAAAAAATGAATAAGGCTAAGATTAAACTATTTGAGTTAAAACATTCTAATACGAATTATTTTCCCCATACTGCTAATGCTAATACCATGCCATAATTATAGTAGTATTACGGCATATTGCGTTGTTGTTTTAGTCCTAGCCTTAGCCTTAGTCTTAGCCTATGCTATTACTTTGAACTACTCGATTATTTATCAATATTGTTTTGTTAGACAACTATAAATAAATAGGCTTAGGATTCATATAATTTAACAATTCACTTGATTGGTAAATATAAAGACTAATAGTAGAAACTTATGTAATTCTCCGCATAAGGCAAAAGTTATGCCATAAGCTAAACATAAACTCACTAACAATCCACACGCACGATCAATCATCAAGGCAACACAGTGACAGTACTGACGTCCGAACTGAATAATTTCAACTATCACCGATTGCATGTTGCTAAATTAAGGTCATTTTTTTAGTATACTTACCTTGAATTTCTGGCTTTTACCGAATGGGTAAGGTTGTAAACGTGTATTTTAAAATCAAAATATGCTGATGCTTTCGTTTGCAAAATGTCGTTCTGTACACAGAACCATGATCCGGTAAACACGCATAAACAACGCATTTGCGCATGCGCGAGTCAACGGTATCTTGGTTACCCTCGGTTCGGACCAATGAAAATCGGTAAAATAATTATATAAATAGAAGTGAAGAAAATCCTACACACACTTCGCTTGTGGATCCGATTATTTGTAGCAATTATATTTACTGACTTCGATTCTAAAAATAAAAAAAACTGCTTGAATTTACCTTTACGTTGATATATAATAATAGCATATTATGTTATTTAAAACTAGTTTTTTGAGGTCTCAAACATGGGATATGTATGAATTTTATTTTATTTCCAAAATTAGGTCAATTTTTAGAGTGGGGAGGGGTGTTAAATATCAGTTGTTTCACAACAAATCTTTTAAAAAGTAGTATCAATTGATATGTAATCGATTCTAAGAATGTTTATCTTCGTAAAAATGAAAAAATAAAAAAATGGACAATTTTTGAAAATTTTAGATATTTTCGGGCGCCTAACCCCTTAACAACTAACAGGCTGCTGGTAGGCCACCACTGCTATAAAGTCAACTCACTTTGTCTGGGTTTGTTCTGCCCTCAGCCTGGTGTGTTCGTCTCTAATGGACTGAACACTTGAATAGCTTGAGGCAGCATCAAAGGCGGTGTTGACATCAAAACCTGACACTGGCTCATAGTTTGTTCTGCTGTAATCATTGATCAGATCTCTTCCTCTTCCAACACTTTCAGAGTTTTCCCTTGGGGTAGACATTCTCAAACCTTTTTTAAAAATAACATGTAACAAAAATTTATTGTTACAATTTTTAACTTGATTAATTAAAAATAGGGAAATTATATTATAAATATTTCTGGCTATACTGTTTTAAATGCACTCTCTTTAAAAGGAAAGTTATGCCTGCATCTCTTGTGTGCTTCAGACAAGAAATTACCCTACAAATTTAATTCCCAAACTGAAATGGATAAATACTCATATCGGCCTTATGAAGTTAATAAATCAGCCTTTTGGGTTAAAATGGAACCTTACAAATAATAAGAATCATAAAAATAAATAAATTGAAACTACAAGATACCTTAATAGGTCAAATAAAGAATTAGGAGGTAGTAAATAATGTACTGAAGTATAAAAACATTAAGAATTACATTACCAGATGTTTGAGCATTCCCGGGGTTGCTATTTCTGTTAGAAGCTTTCCTGTGCACAAAAGAGAAACAAATAGGTAAAAGATTTTTTATGTCTTATAAATTAAAAAAAAAATATTATAGTTTTCATTGTAACAGCTAAGAAAAGAATTACGGGCATGCTGAAAGGCAATTTGCTAAAATATTTAATAAAATTATATTCCATATAGGGATCCCTACATTTAAATAAAATTATTTTAAAAATTTGTAATGGGTACAGGAGAGGATAGGAAGAGAACTGTGTTAGTGGATACTGCAGGGTTTTGGGATTAGGGAAGGAGTGTGTTGATTTTCTGTTACAATGCTTATTATGTACTTCCCAAGTATGGGAATGGAAAATATTTATCATCCCTCTTGAAAATATCAAATATATAAATTTTAGTTTACCTTTTTTTATTCCTACTCCCATTATGGTAGGAGTTCAAACGAGGAGCTGGGTTATCCTCTTCCCGTTCCTCAGCCCCTTGGAGTTGGGAAGACAAAAATGGAAAGCCTCCTACAGAGGAAGTCTGCTGTTGCTGGCTGCTGGAACCAAACAAGTTATGGTTACTGAACTGATGGAAGCCTGTCCCATGGGGGCTGGGGGCTGCATCAACTGTGTTAACAAACTGGCTAAAGTCTCTGGTCATGCTTGTGTGTGATGTGCTGGGGTTGACAGGGGACTGACCCAAGGGGTTGAAGATGAATCCTGCCACTGCACCCTGTTGGGGTAAAGATGAGGTGGAGCCTGTGTTGACGCTGAGGCCGTTCCCGTAACCACCTTGACCCCTGTCGGCATGACCTGATAAGTTTCCAGCCGACAGACCAAGCCCAGCAGTTTGGTGAAAGTTGCGAAGACCTGGACTAGCAAAGCCACTCATGAGGCCAGCAGATGCTGTGTTATTTAGGTGACCCTGGAAAGATGTAAGCTTTCTTAAAACTTTCAAAAAGGCTAAGAACCAGAAGAAAATCTAAATAGCCCTGAACTAGCTTTTGAAGGAAATAATAACAAAATCTACATATTTGGAAGTTTAAGAGCTGTTAAACAACTTAACAAGTTAAGGAAAATCTAGTTTTGTCACATAATTTATTCAGTTTGTTACTATTTTTCAGCTAAAAATTAAAAAAACCCACCAAACATAAAGTTTAAATCGATCTTTAAAATAAAAATAAATAATCTTCTGACCCTGCTGCCCTGGTCATGGATCTAAATAACAGAAAGTTTCCATTGTCCACATTGCACTAAGAAATACCAGAATATTTTCGTTACCTGGGCATAAGGGCTTGCTGCCTGCTGATTTAAGGAGAAGGGATGGGCGCCCAAGGCTGTTTGAAGATTATAGTTGCTGTTGTTGAGGGTAGGATTGGACAGTGCCGGTCGTAACAGCTGAGATGAAGGAGGGGCCAGACCTGTTCCATGCAAACTATGTTCATGGATTTCATGGATCTGAAATAAACATGTAAAATTACTACTGCTATGTTTTATCTGGTAGTCTAATTGATTTATTGAAACAACTCAAAGAAGTATAAGTTACAGCTCAAAGTATAAGTTACAGCTCAAAAGTTACATTACAGTAGTATTAGTGTGAACAATATTTAAATGCTCACTTTCATCTTTATTATCCAAGTTCCAGTATGCTTGTTTAGCATTCCAAACTGGGTTTATTTTTCCCTAGCTTGGTAATTGGTTGTATTATAGGCTTTGAGAAAAAATATAAATTTCAGCCAAGAAAAAATACAACTTTCTTTCACTGGAGAAATTTTAACAGCTTAGATCACAATATAAAATAAGAGTGTCTACCAATGTTTGTTGAAACAACTGTCAGAAAGAAAATATCCGTACCTGCAGCTGTAAAGCCTGCATCTGTTGCTGTAGTTGCTGCATCTCTACTTGTTGTCTAGTCAGGGTCTGGACAACATGACCAAAGCTAAGCATCATTGACTGACTTTGGAGCTGCAACATTTGTTCTTGCATTGGTGAAATTAGTGTAGCTGTCTGAGGGGCAGTTTCTACAGTGGAAAATTATTATAAGGGTAAAAATGAAGTGACTGCAGAGAACAAGGCGATCTATCATGAACATCACAAAATTAGCAAAAATTTTTACACACAGAAATCCAGATGACGCTAACAAAAAGACTTCCAATTTCTTTTTAAAAAGTAGCAGTAAGGAGCGATTTCTCAGACCCTAATTTTTTATCAACCAAAAATATATAGATAAATTGTTTAAATTTATCGACGAAGAATAAAACCTCTTACATGACTATGTACAAATTATTTTTCAACTTTGCAGTCATTGAATGAAGCAATGTACCTTGGTTTAGTGAAACACTGAGTTGCCTGTTCTCTGTGTCAGACTTTCTCAACAATGTTTCCACAGAGTTAGCCAAAGTGGTCAGCCTTTCATTGATAAAACAGAACCATTCACTTGTTTTCTCCTTTGTAGTTTCATCATCTTCCATCAACTCTTTGGCTGATCTGTAATTCTGGAAGAGTTTGATTCAAAGATAAAATTTATAGGAAATGTTAACTCCATTTTAAATGTTGAAAGTGATACATTTTTGTTTGGCCTTTTAAGATTTTTTAATGATCAATTTATAGAAGTATAGAGGATAATTTTTCTCTTACTGAGCAAATGTGAATTATTTCACTGAAATATTAAATTAGTGATTCAAGTAATAAAACCTTATAAGCTTCAATTCACTCTTTACCTCTTGCCTCAGTTTGGTATCTCGTTGATTTTGAGCAGATCTTTGACTATTTTGTCTTTGTGATTTTGTCTTTACATCTGTTGATCAAATAAACTAGGAAGTTAGAGGTTATTAGTTATGTAGAAAAGAAAAAGATTCAAAGAAGGACAAGATTCAACTGTTCTAAAAAAAATTTATGCTTGTAAGATTTAGTATACTGTAGCAATTCATAGGTGTGGAACGGAAAGGTTGGTTAACTGACTTTACAATGTTGATTGCTAGAACAGAGTACAAACTCTGTAAATTTAAATGCCATACTTTTATCATTGTAGGATGGTTGGGGATAAGTCTGTCTGCCACGAGCTGTTTTAGGGCGGGCCCCAGTGCCAAGGTTTCCCCCCTTCCTTGTATTCGTTCTTTGCCTCGCATCAGCTTCAATTGTGTATGTTCCATTATCACTATCATTTTCTTCTTCCTCTTCTTCCACCTGGACAATGCCATCACTGGGGTAACCTGTGAAAAAAACAGAGAAAACAATTTATAAATTAACTAATACAATTAATTTTACAAAAGTTTAAATAATAATGTAAACTTGAGATTAAATCCTTTACATGTTTTAAGGGCAAAGTGTTAGACTCATATCAAGCAATGAATTTTTAAAAAGCATGCTGTGTTTGTGAAATGTATGTATTATGCAGTACTAATGGCACCCACCCCCAGGAAAATCATAAATATTTAACCCCTTGAAAACAATTATCAAAAACTGAGTCTGATGAGAATGGAATGGGTCAAAGAAAATCCATAACATTGGTCACACAGTCCACACATCCAATCATATCAATTTCATGATATCAATAATCATTGTATATGTGCGTCAGGCATCACTTTTACTAGTACAAAAATGTAACAAAAAATTATCAATAGAAAATAGAAGTCAAAGTGATGGAGACTACCATCATCTTCATCACCATCCCCAGCATTTCTCTCTTGGCCATCCTCTGTAATGTTCTCCAAGTTGTCCACTGTGGAGCCTCCCCATGTGGCCATGGTAGCATCCACACTAGCGGGAATGCTGAGAATAAAAGTCTTCTGATTAAAGGTCCTTAATTATTGTTTAAATAAATAAATAAAAAGAAGCACTTGTTTTAAGCAACTTATTTACATGCAACATATGTTGAACATAAATAGCAATTACTTTCTCCAACAGTTTTTATTTGCCATGCTGTAACTCTCAGAAGACTAATTATTTTTCAGGTTTTAAGATTCAAATTCTTGTTTTATGTCATCAAACATAAAGCATGGTGGCTCTTTACAGAATAAACTTTCTGACCCTTGATATTGAGGTTCCAGTGCAGTTTTATGTTTGAATATTCATTTTAAGAAATCAACCTATAAAAAGAATGGTCAGTTTTTCTTTCTTTTTTTTTCTTTCTTTTTACAATGACCATACATTTAAAAAAGACCCATTTTTTAGCCAAGTCATAAGTAGACAAAAATTAGACATAAAAGATTTTTTCTTGGTTGGGATTGTTGTAGCTAGGCATGAGGAAGTTGGGGGGGGGGGGGGGTTGGGGAAATGGGGCTTATAAATTAGGCAGGCACATACTTGTTTGCCTCTACATTTTAAATGAGGAAAAATTATAAATTCACATAAAGTTGACATGCACCCGACTATTATAAATGAAGAGAAAAAATGAAACACTGCCTACCCAAATGTATCTGTGTTTAAAGACACGGTGTCACTCTGATTATCCTGATTACGAGAGTACTGACGCTTGTTCCTGTCCTTTTTCATGATGGCCTCTAGCTCTTTCTTCTTAGACCGTAACTCCTCTTGTAATATACGCTGACGTCTCATTTTGCTATAAAGTTCGTCATTGGAGGCAACTAAAGCAAAAAATAATATAAAAATAAACAATGAGACAGCAGCAACTTGTGAAAATTCTATATCTGTCAAAATCAAATTGTTCTGTATAATGTATAAAGCAGTGAGAGCTTTTTGAAATGTAATGATTGTATACTAATAAAATTTATCAACAAACCTCTCTATATGAATTAATAAATAAAAATATTTTTTTTTATTTACATGTAACAACTGGTGCATTAGTTGACTGTTCAGGTCTAGTTTGTACTAGTTCAGAGCTGGTCTGCCCTCCCACCCTTCCTTGATCTCCTGGTGTCTGCAATCAAAATGTAGATAAAATAGTAATAAAATCTCACTTAAAAAAAAAAAAAGGTTTTCATAGATACAGAACCTGCAAAGAGAAATCCAAAATTTTGTATAAAGTGCAGATCATCCTAGACTGCTTTAACACATATAATAATGCATACCCTTCCAACCTGATTTTGTATGTGTTTAAGCTGACTCTGTATCTCTAGCAGCATTGCTCTTTCTTTCTTCAGTCTCTCAAGCTCAATTCGGGGGTTATCACTCTCCTCAACTCCTGCATGCCTGAAAAATTACAGGTTATTGTTTTGAAAGTAACAATATTATTTATGTCAACCCCGGATAAATTAAAGATATGATGGCATTCAAAACTTGTCCCTCGTGTACCACAGAGCTTATGTTTGTGCCACCCTAAAAAATAATACTTAAAGATACTACCATTCAATAATTGGTAATTTATTAAGAACATATGCATAAACCTATTAGTTAAAATGAAGGAAATATGTGAAAAAATTTATGAGAAAACCTGAAAAAAGGATGCAACAAATGTGTCCGTTTTTTCAGGCCCCATTCCTTGTTTCACATATTTCCTCCTACCTAACCTGACTGCAGCCTCCCACCAACCCCCTCTCATTATCATAATGAAAATGATGTTTTTAAGCATCATCAGTGGTAGATTAGGTACATAGAAATATGTCACAGGTCACACCTTAATTTTTTTCCCCAGAATTTTTAATGAAGATGTATTGAATTGATTATATCTATGTGCCTGTCCAATCATTTTGTGACTAGATCTTTTAAAGTGTGTTGTTTTACATAATAATATTATATATAATAAATTTTGCGTATATTATTTTATAAAATAATTTTCAATGAAATTTTTCTCTAAAAGTGCTTAAAACAAACAAACCTTTGTTGTACTCTTTCTGAAGGGACCTCTCCTTCACTAACCGACACATTGGGTTCATCTGTCTGTGTGGCTTGAGATACAGCTTCACCTTCTACACTTGCTGCTAAATCACCAAGATGATCTGGGACGGATCTTGCAGTTTCTGGGGATTGTTGAACAAATGCTACCAAGTCCTGCAACTGACGCAATTTCTCCTTAGCAGCCTTTAGTTTTCTATTGGGTAAAGAAAAATAATGCCAAACATAAGATGATGAAAAAACATGTAAACAGATGTGTGGGAGCCATATATATATATATTATATATATATATATAAATATATATATATTTTTTTTTTAAAGTTGAATTTTCAAAACTAGGACAATGAAATTTGAAACTGTATAATGAGAGTCTTTATCTTTCATCCCTACAACAGTAATAATTGAATAATTAAAAAAAAAACAACAACAGAACTAACAAAACTTTCTCTTGAATTTCAGGGTCATCATCCCATGGTCCAAGACGAGACCATTGTGATTCAGACTGGGAGGCAGAAACATTGTCCTCATCTGAGAGTTCATCCCCTTGGTCGGTACCTGAAGTGGGGTTAAAAAAATTGAAAAACACTGCTATGATGTGTACCCGATACAGAGGAGTTAACAAATGAATAAAATAAAGTTTTTTATCCCATTAGAAACAAATCCAGAACTATAATCCCAGGAGCATTATCAGCAGTCAAAAGCACTTGAACAAATTTATTTTCTGCTTTAAAAAAAATCTCTGTAGGAGCTCTGCTGCTCTTATGCACCTGGATTTGCATACTGGCTTCCATGTTAAATAAAAATTTAATACCCTTAATTTTAACATTAAAATCAAGATGATTAAATAAAAGGATAATAAGTACCAGCCAAGTTAAGAAGTTGCACCATGTTATCAATAGAGGAAGCACCAACAGTGGCATCTTCTTGTGGTCTCTGCTGCTGTTGCTGCACAGCATTAATCAGTTGCTGAAGCTGTTGCTGCTGGGATGATCCACTTCCTCTGATCTCAACACTAGCTTGATCTTTGCTAAAAAAAGACATTGAAACCTGGCTTTACTTCATGCTTAGAGCATTACAATTTATCTTACACTTTATCTTTAAATAAAGAGCTTTGAACATAATTCTAATCCCTGAGTGACAAAGTAGGCCTCCCATAAATATATCAATGACGATCAAGTTCTCATTTTAAACATTTTAATTTATCAAAAGAAATGATGGCGCTGTAAAATCCATGTATTCTAGATTTCTCAGCTTTATTGCAGGACATTTATAGATATGGCAGTGAAACATGTGCTGTAAAAATTGGTTTTATATTTTAGTGTTATTGCAGTAAAAAAAAATGTAAACATTCCATATTTTACTTACATGCCAGCATGATCTCCACCATCACTGAAACCTGGTACAGATGTCTGGTCATCTTGGTCCCTGCTAGCTTCATTGCTCTCACCTTGATAGTACTGCACAAGTCTCCTTAACTCATCAAGTTGACCTCGAACTTCTTTCAAACGCCTTTAACATTTAAATCACATCATTTTCATAGGGGTATTTAGATATTTATAATATATTTAATTCATGAGAACTCTATCCTCAATATTTTAGCAATATTTTTAAAATTATAAACTAGACACAGTTTAATGTCCCAGAATATTTATTTAAAAAAGGTATAATTCATAAAATTTATCCACACTAGACTCTATGCACTCTTTGAAAAGTTGAAATTGAAAGGTAATTATTGTTTGTATTATTTAAAAATAATATTGAGATTAATAAACCAATCAGCAGGCCCTAAGTTATATCCGCTGAAGATAGTTATTAACTTACAAAAAAAATGTGAACTTTCATTAAAATAATTTTTTTTTCAAAGATTATGTGAAATACCTTAACTTCTCCTGCACTTCTGATACCATCTCAGGCTCTACGCTACCAGCTTCTTGATTTCTGCCTGCCTCTCGAGCAAGCAAAGCAAATGTTGCCATTGCACTCTCCACAGCCCCAGGGGTGGCTGTCGCCATATCATTCATCCTGGACTGAATGTGAGCTGGCATTTGAGGGCGTGTGGGTTGTGCTGGGTGCCGCTGTGATGGGATATTAGTGGCCACCAGAGCTGGAGCTTGAGAGCTGGTGGTTGGAGCACTGGATTCTATTAAAAATTAGCAATTTGAAGAATTTAGATATTACAAACAAATTTAGGTGATGATGAACACATAACTAAAAAAGCTGAAGAAATAATTTAGTTAATTTAAAAAACAGATTTAGAACTCCCTAAACTTGCCAATCAGTGGTTTAAAAATGTAGATACATTGATTTTACAACCTACAAATAAATTTTGTTTTAATGTTTAGTCTCTTCAGTGATGTTGCATATTTATGTCTAGGGACAATTTGACATGCACTTTACAAATAATTTATATCAAAGATATTGAATACCCTACATAAGACATGTGTGCACATAATTACATTGCTAACTGAGTGGGTCAATCAGACTATACGGTACTGACAACTGAACTTTGTTTTTTCAGCTTTAATATTAGTTAAATAATTTCTAATTTCAATACCAGTAAAGTACCCTAGTAATCATTTTTTCGGTGCATTGAAATATACTGCTCAAATGACTTTCTGTCATAGTTTAGAATTAATAATTCAAAATAGTGCCTGGGTTGAGCATATGTTGTCTTCACAAATAATGAAATAATTTTATCCAGTTTTTGTTATTAAATTCCCATTTTATTTGTTAACTTATGTTCTTAAAATGATCCTGGCGGCCAATACTTTAATGAAGGCTTAATTTTAAGAGCCATATTAACCCTAAGTTGACAAAATGAATAAGATACTTTTGAAAAAAAGCAACAGTTTATGCAGTGTTTTTAAATTGCAGAAATGTATATAGTTTCTTTAATAATAATACATTTCGATTCATTGAGTTTGAAAGAATAAATAAATAAAAACAATCAAGATTTTTAAAAAGAATTTCAACATAAAATTATTTTACTGGAAGCTAGGAAATGATAACTCTGTGATGAACATTCATCAAATGATTAGAGTAACCTAAAAATTAAAATGTACCATTATTTCTCAAGTTGGCTAAAGGTTGGGCATGCAACATTTGAAGCTCTTGTAGAAGGGTGTCCATACGAGACTTTTTGTCCTGTAATTCTTGCAATTTATTCTGTAATTGCTGTCTACCATCCACTACAGCTCGAGATTCAGACTCTACATTTTTTGGTGCTTGACTTACCTAAAGAAAATATTTAGTTTTTTATAACATAGTAGATGTGTATGAAAAAAGTATACAATTTAATTAAATACTTGTCATTAATTTATATTTCAGAAAACCATTCCTGTTCCTAAGGGTGACAAATTGATACCACACTTCATTTAAAGATGATATTTTAATATTAACTGAAATTTCCCGCAGACTAACTTGAGAAAATTCATTCCTCAGATAATTCAGCTGTCTTTTCAGCTCCAGCAATTCTGTAGGCAAACTCTCCACCTCACGAACTTTAGAATTATCTTCATCATCTGAAACGGGATATCCTACAATATTTGATTTCAGCACCCTGTCTTCCCCGCCAGCAGCTTCTCTCCCTTCCTCTGTATCCTCTTGACCCCATTCACTGTCAGCTAATGCAGCCTGGGCTTCTCTAGTCAATGCGAGGTGACTCTGGAATCTGGACTCAACAAACTGTCGTCCAGTGCTTACAGCCGCCAGAGCTGCTCGTGCTGAAAATTTATTAATACAACAATAATTAGCCAAGCTAATTACATTTTAATTTTTATTGAAAGCAAAAATAAATTTAATATTAATGTTAGCAAAATATAAATTCATCTTCCCACACAGTGAATGGGAGGTTGATCAAAGAAAACTTTTTATGGAGTCAGCAAATTGAATTGAACTAATTATCATGCTCTGCAGTACACATAGGATATCTATACCAGTTCACTAAATGGAACTTCAGTTAAATCTTTTTGATTAGATTTTAATTACCTTTTATTTTGAAGAGCCACGTAAAATTGAAACAAATAAACAATACCTTTGTTATCCCTAGCCTGAGCTTCGAGCAGCTTTTTCTCAGTTTCCCTTCGTTTAAGATTCAGTTCTTCTTGGCGGCTCATTAAAGCTTGGAGCTGAAAAGTTTAGGTCAACAAGTAGAGAAAATAGGAACTATCAGCAATATGGGAAACCTAAATCTAAAAGCTTAAATTTGATTCTCACCTGTCCTAATCATAAAAAAAAAAATGTTATTCAAGGTTAAAATAACAGCACAGACAGACCAACCTGCTGTTGTTTTTCTCGGAGAATGCGAAGCAATTCTTGTTGTTGTGGTGTTGAACCATCTCCAACTATTTCTGTGGCTCCTCTCATTCCCTCCTCACTCTGATTTAATCCATATTTGAAATAAACAAACAAAATTTATAACAGCTAAAATAATTGTTTTAAGTAACAATTACACATATATACACACATACACACACATATATATATATATATAAAAATTAAATATAAATTTAAGGTTTATGTCGATTTATTATTTTTTAAAATAAAATTCATATTTGATATTATTTAGACTCATCTTAAAATTTAAAACTGACTGACTACTTGAGATACTCTTTTAATTCTTTAAACTTCCAATTTTATCAATAAAATAAAGACCTCTTGCACTGGCATCCCAGTCATGATCAGATGGCTGTGTGATGAGCTTTCATTCTCTGCAGTCTTGATTGCAATGGCATTGCCAGAACTGTTTCCTGTTGCTCCTCTCATTGGCCCAGAGAATAGCTCGTCCTCAAGATTTACATCATCATCATCATCGTCATCATCATCATTGTCTTTATCATCATCTTCATCTTCATTGGAACCAATGCCAAGTTTACTTTCAATACGTGGTCTTGAATCTTGAGAGTTTTCCTGGGACAAATACAACAACATTGTATTTTGTCCATTGGTATGAAAGAAAAATCTAGGGTACCCTAGAAACTTACTGACACATGTTTTACTCTACACTAGAGGACATTGGAGTTTTGCTGATATAGGTTTGGTATTAAAAACTGTCAACAAATGAAAGACTGCTTATTAGTTTAATATTCCACTGGCAACTATTAATTTGGAATTTGGTGTTTTGCTCTTTATACATGCCAACCCGAGTTCATTGGCCAGTGCCTAAAGCAATAGTTGCCTTTAAGGACAGAATGAATAATTACACATCAATAACCATTATGCAAGGAAAGTAATAACTGTATTTATATGGTTACCTTTAACAGTGTCACAATTTTGTAAAAAAATGAATAACTTTTATTCGAAAAACTTTATATTTAAAAAAATTTAAGATATTTAACATTTTAGTAGTAGATTTTAAAAAAAAAAAGTGCTATTTTTTTGCCTGGTTGATGTTTGTAATGTACTTACAGACGTATCTGAGTTTTCTGATTTGACATCTAGATCCACCGAGGTATCAGAGTCGTCTTTCGATTCTCCTTTAATTACATCTTCACCCCCAGCAGCCTCATTTCCCGTATCCTCACGATGAGCCTTACAATAATATAAATATTTCCTTTACTTCAGGCGGCACAATGAGTTTGATAAGTTACAATTTAAATCAGTAGTTTCAGTTTATTAAATGTCAGCCTTATAGAAATTTAAGCCAAATAGAAGAATTAGCCTACACTCGTAGATGGCAATTTTATAATTAGATAATAATAGGGACCATATATATGGAATAAATTAAGGGGGTCTCTGATTTATTTAATCAGCAACTTTCTCATGCCGGTAAAATTTCAATATGCAATTTTAAGCTTGGAACTACCGGTACCAAAAAAAAAAAAAAAAAAAAAAAAAAAAAAAAGGCCAATTATCTAATCTACAAGGAGATGACTAGCCAAGACATTTAGATTGTTAAAAAGGTACTTGATATTGCAACTTGAGGAAAACAATTGAGGATTTTCTTGTTCTTTTCAAAAAAAAATTTAAATTAAACCGTATTTTTGTACCCCAAGATAAAAAAAATAATTATCTTAGAACCTAGTTTTAATGTTTAGCGTTATTTAATTGAAAGGAGCAAATTTTTATAACTTTTACTAGTAACTAAAAATGATAATGTTATGCTTCTATGCTGCAATAAGTGATAAACATGACAGAACTATTTAAAAGCAAAACTAGTATTTGAAACAGATAAAACTTACTAGTGAATTTTGAAGCAGTCCTTTGTACCCTTGCTCCTGTTCTTGTAAGTTCCTGATTAACCTGCGCACTTTCTCAACATCTTCTGTTTTTTTCTAGAAACAATAGCAAAATAGTGATAACAAAGAACTACTGCTTCAGAAAAGGCTAAAATAAATATGACCATTTTAATATTCTTTACATTTCATTTATGTTTAAAACACTTTAATTATTAACCTGAGATCGTGGTTTAAGATTAACTGACTCTCTCTGATTTCCAGTGGAGAGCTTTAATGTAATGGCGCTGTCTCTGAGTCATTCCCAGTCAGCAGCGGAGTAAAACAGGGTTGTGTATTGGCACCAACACTCTTCTCCATTTTCTTCTCGATGCTCTTTCAATTTGCCTTCAGGGACTGTGAAGGAGTGTGCGTCCATACCAGATCTGATGGTAGGCTGTTCAATATCGCCCGCCTTTGTGCAGAGACCAAAGTAAAAAAGGTGCTGATTCGTGACCTGCTGTTTGCTGACGATGCCGCCCAAACATCTCACACAGAAGGTCTTCAGGGGCTGATTAATTGTCTATCACACACTTGTGAAGAGTTGGATTTTCGATTAGTCTACAGAAAACACATGTAATGATGCAAGAAGCACCGTCTCCTCCAATCACATCTATTGAGGGTCATAATCTTTCAGTTGCTGAGCATTTCACGTACCTTGGATCCAATATTTCCAGTTCTCTCTCCCTTGATGAAGAGATAAATATCAGGATCGCAAAAGCAGCAGCAACTATGGCTAAACTGAATAAGCGGGTGTGGAATAATCTAACTGATATAACAAAAATAAGTGTCTATCAGGCATGTGTGCTTAGTACGCTCCTATATGGTAGTGAGGTGTTAACCACATACACCAGTCAGGAGCGGAAACTCAACAGCTTCCATCAAAGATGTCTGCGTCACATTTTACCTATTCGATGGCAGGACAAGGTGCCTAACACTGAGGTCTTGGAATGTGCACACATGTTTAGCATATTCTCCGCTCTTAGCAAGAGGTGCCTGCGCTGGTTAGGCCACGTAAGGAGAATGGAGGAAGGCTGTATCCCAAAGATGCTGCTGTATGGAGAGTTGGCAGAAGGGACAAGACTTATTGGACGGCCACGCCTGAGATTTATGGATGTTTGCAAAAGGAGCATGAGGGAAAACAACAAATGGGAGCTCATTGCCGAACAATGTTCCAGCTGGCAAACAGCAGTGTATGAACGACTAAAAAAAGTCTGAAGATACGCGAAACGAGGCCCTTGCAACAAAAAGAACAATACGGAAGTCAAGATCTTACCAGGAATCAATATTCTCATGCGAGAAATTCAGTTGAGATTGTTATTCTAGGATTGGCCTAGTGAGCCACTCGTCAAAGTTTAGGACCACATAGCTACTCCATCCTCTAGCGAAGACGGAAGGATGCCATATATATATTTTAATATTAGACAATATTCCTACTAGATCTATAAATTTAAGAAGCCATCATGATAAAAAATTCATTTCAGATGACTGAATCATAATTTAATCTCTTTAGTGTCAAGTAGATTTTTAAAAATGGATACTTTGTGTAACTGCACCGGGTATGCATATAATGAGCTGAATTCTTATTTTCACCTTTGTTTTCACTGAGCATGTTTTACTTCATAATTAGTAAACTTTTAGTCTTTCTCAAACTAGACTAACTAATAGAAGTGTTTCAATCACAATTTAAAACATGGTCAATCACTTTAGAGGTGAGGGCTCAAAGAGCCAACAAAACAATAAAAAAGTCTGTACACTTACCTTGTCACCTAGTTTCTCCATGCTTTCCAGCATAGATCTTGCCTGTTTCATAAATTCTCTTATTTGCATTAGACGTGCAACTATTTCATTGCTATCCGGCTATTACAAAACAAAATTGAAAACAAATTAATTAATTAATATACAAAAATTATACATTCTCATTAACTTTTATTTCCAAAGCAAAATATTTCCTCCTACCAAATCAATCTCAAATATTTTTATTTTATATGTGTGGCCACTGTGCACACCTTAATCTATATTTGGTAAATATTTAAACTGATTAAAAATCTGCAAAAGACAATCATTCATATGATTATGAAAAAAAATAAGAAGATTCTTTCAAATGAAGTTACTTCATTGAAATGGAGTATACATTTTGGTTCTTATCAATATTTTTGTTTATACACTTTGCTTTTTACTATTCTTAACATGTTTTAACAAGTTTTATATAAATATAGTGTACATATAATTTTATTCCAACCAACACGTCATTGCGTACACTGACCCCTTGCTCTCGAGAAGAATGGTCCATATTATTATTTCTATTGATTCGTCTCTCCCTTGTTCCCAAAGATTCATTGTCGCAATCTGTCCTGTTTAGTGAAGTATTGTGAAGCCGCCTGCGACCTTGTGACATCTGGCGCTCATTATTTCTTTCGCCATCAGTGCTAACTTGCTGTTAAATTAAGTTTAAAAAAGGGTAGGACTGCTGTTTGCACATAAAATATTTTATGACTATTATTTATTATTTTAAATTGACGAAGATTTCTTTTTCTTTTTTTTTAATGTCAAAGTTATAACTCTTCAACAATGACTTTGATGAACCTAAAATAATTAAATTAATTCAATATAAAATAAGTTGTGCAAAGATATTTCAGGGGTTATTATTTTTCTGGATTTTAAATTAAATGGTGGGCAATTTAAAGAAACAGATTTACAGTAGAAAAAAAATTAAAATGTAATGTAGAACATGATAGAACTTAACTCACATCTTCCAAATCACTGAAGGTTATATGCTGCTTTAAATTTTCTAAAGCTACTCTCTGTGAGGTTGGGGTGCTGGGTGTTATCTTAGTTCGAGGATATGAGGAGGGAGTATGATGTTTTTTATCATGAGGGGGAGAGTCCATTGTAAGGGATTGCTCCCTCTCTCGCTCAGGGTTGCCTTTTGATTTCTTGCGCCGCTTAGAGTCATCACCAAGATTTGTAGGACGGAGATCAGAAAGATCCTAGAATATCATTTTTGGAATTATAAGAAAACCTAAAATAAAAGCAGATATCACATTTCACTAGGGTGACCTATATACATAGTCAAATTTATTCTTTAAAAAAAAAATTAAGAGGGTTCTGAAAACCAACATATTAGAAACCAATGTATCAGGCCTGTAACTTTTTTAAGCTACTTTTCTAGTTCAAAACTACTCATAAAAAATATATTGACGTTTACTTGATTTATTATGGTATCATGACTCACCCAATTATTAATACGAATGTCACTAGGAAGGCTATTCAAACTCTGAGCATCATCACGGTCAGAACTAACTGAACGCTGCCAATTTGATCGTCGCTTTGGTTCACCTTTTGTTTGTTTATTTGGCTGGTAACCACCAGAGGCCATCTATAAAACAAATTTATTTATAATGGAATTAATGATATATTAAATTTAATGAGATGAAAGAGGACCCTTAACAAAGTGTAGGAAAGGATAATTACTTAGTAATGTAGTAATTGTGCAGAGTGCAATGTGCACAGGAATAACCTGGGATTCCTAAGGTTAATTGAATTATTTGTCACATGAGGCAAAAGCAACCACTTCCTGACTTCTGTGCCAGCCTATGGCCATTTGACATAACCCAATATCCCCAAATATCTGTCATTTATTTAATAATTAAGTTGTTATGATTATAAACTTTATTTTACAAGCACAAAATAAAACAAAGACTTTTGGTAATGATGCTAGATATTTTATGATAAAAGCACAATGACATCACATCTTAGAATATCCATTAATGATGTGTGAGTTAAGCTTATGTTCTCTCTTCAAATCTTGATCTTGGTCTGTGTGAAGCATTTTTGGTATTAGGAGGAACCAAATCGATTATTACATACACAAGTCAAGTGAAATGAGTTTCCTGCATATTGTAACCCTTTTTGGCCATTTCCAATGTGTACTATGGTGGTTCTGTTGTATTGACAGCTAGGCAGTATCTATGTATATAGCTATTATGGAAATTGAAATCATTTAAAAAGGGATTTAGCATTCTAAAAATATAATTTGAGATAGGCTTGCCAATGTAACTGGTAATAAAACATAGAGTTCTGTAAAATTCCAAGTGCAATTTTTTTTAAAATGTGTTTTCTTAAATTTATTAAGATCTAGGGCAGGGGTCCTCAAAGTACGGCCTGCGGCCAGATCCAGCATGAATGGCCGTCATTCGGGTACCCAGCTAGCAGTGATAATATAGAACCGAACACTGACCATCTATTTAGCCAAAAGAAGGCCCATACTTTCCCACTGAAATGCTAATAACTTTACGTTGATTAAAATTGATGTTCATTTAGCATTAATCTTTCAAATTTTTTTTTGCAAAACAAATAAAATATGGGCAATTTGTACATTTGTTAACATTTTTTTCAAACTCCACTCCAAAAACGTCTGAGGGTAAGTGAACAGATCCCTTGATTAAAAAGTTTCAGGAGCCCTTATCTAGGGCTTCCCCATGTCCTGTAAAAATATTTTAATTATATTGCATTAGTGAAAGTACATTTGCCGACACATGATCTAACCAAATTTAAAAGTTTGCTTTAAAGTTGTTTAGTGTCTCACGTAAAATTTGGGAAACCTGACGTACGTGAAAGTTACTGCGAGGATAGTTAAAACTTCATTGCAAAAATCTAATCATGAAATTCAGTGTCTGCGTGTGTCCCATTACTATCTTCTTTTTTTTTTTTTAAAGAAGTATATTTTGAACACTAGTATTAAGCTAAATACTAAAAAATTACATTTTCTCACAAAGTACTATTCTTTTTCTTTATTTAAATTATTATTTTCTATACATGTACTTGTTGCAATTATGCTTATTAGAGGAGAGACACCTGTGAGGATGTTATTCTATCCAGGTGGAAGTGGGAGCTTTCAATTAAAAATGCTGAACATAAATTTAAAATGGAAGTTACTAAATAGTTTGACTTGGAGAGTAATAAAACTCTTGCTGATCTTGCCCCTGGCCGCCAAGTCAAAGCAATAAATGTCGATAGTGAAACCAATACTACTAATACTTATTGCAAAGTAAAAATAGAATCAATAGTGACAACTCAATAGTGATACAATCACATCTATTTTTCAGTGACATTAAACAAAGATACATATTGTTTCATATTCGAAATCTACCAAGACAGATGCAAAAAGAAATAACTGATTTAAATATTAATAAGATGATTAACAGGCAACTATTGCATCATATTTTTTTAAAAGTGATAATATAAAATGCTTTAATTGATCCAAATAAATGGAAATGTGTTTTGATTAAACTGTAGTTGTAAGTATTGTAAGTACATATTTATTTTCAGGAATTATAGATAAACATTCTTAAAAAGCGTAAAAAAAACAATTCCTTAATGACAATATTGACTTTAAGAGTGATTTTTTTTATCTTATAACAGCCAGGGAAGCCCGCTGGCTGATTCCGACAGATTGGGTAACAAATGAAATTCTTTATCTTTCGGTCCTACTTTGACGGAAAAAATCCATCCTACTATCATAGCTAATTAACTAGTAACTAGCAATATGTGTCTGTGTGGACTGGAAACTTCTCCCAAGTCCAATGCTTTTTAAATTTGTTTAGCTATGCCCTAGCCTAGCAGCATCACAGAAAACTTCTAGCAAAATTAGTATTAGAGGGACTGTTGCCAACAATGAAGTTGAGCAAAAAGTAAGAGAATATTCAGCAAAATGTAAGAGAATATTCTATTTCAATCCAAATATTAAAAATAACCCCCCAAAAATATTGAGTCTCATTATAATAATTATGTATACTGTATAGTAATGGCCTTTGGTCACAGTCACATTGTACTCTGAAGTATTTTCATATGTCATGAGTCATATGGTTACTAACTCAAACTGGCACCAATCAATATTGTCCTGAAGACTAAACTAAAGAGACTTTAGGTAAGAAAGATTTGATAAAATTAAAGATGGATGTGGTGCTGTAAATCATATGTTTGAGTAAGTTGGGTAGGTCTACTAAGTAGGCTAACTAAGTCAAAGTGATAAACTGCAGTCACACTTCACACTGTCAAGTCAGTCACCAGAACCAGACTTCACTTACTCTACAACTTGAAATATTAATAAGTATAAGTATAAGTGTGTCACTATTTTTAATACTATTCCAATGTTTAAGTGAAAAACATTACAAGTATCAACTAGTGTTCCACTTTTTAAAATATCACATATGTCTAGTCTATAGAGGATAAATACTTCTACTAAGAATGGATTAAGTAATGTAACAAGCAAGTCTTGTGTCAATTATGATCTAGCCTGCTAATACCACTAAAACTAAATGAAATCTGAGAGAAGTCTAAACGATAAATATTAACAGGAATGAACATGCAAATTTAATTATGTTTTGGTATTGCAACTACCATTAGTTATAGTGCACATTTAACTGTACCTTATGCGTTGTTTGCAATTAAATTTATCAGAAAACGATTTTCTTTAAATTCTAGAAACGTATAAACACCGGCTAAAACTTTGATGATTTATTGGTAACTCATGTTACGATAGCCATTTTCGACGCTGGCGTACTAATCCAGTTACATAGGATTTATATAGAACTAATTCTATTGAGACTATTGCATATCCTGCTCCATGCTTTTATTCGCGATTGTAAAATTCAAAATTCTTTAATATTATGGAATAAATTCGAAATTTATTATAAAATAAATAGGAAATAAATATTTTTAAAAAATATATTAAAATTAGTAGGCAAAATACTATATTTTCACGCGCTTTCTTTAACTTTGTTGTAAATTGTGCCTAGCGATATAGGAAACGTTAACATTCCACTTCGCGATTTTAGATTATGGATTACCAATTTTTACGACAAATAGGAATGAAATCCCTTTCTTTCGACAGGAGAAATTAATGTTTAATAGAACAAGGTATACCTATGCCACTGGTAACATGCTCTTAATAAATGTCACACCAGTGTAGTGAATCAACTTTATAAAGTATAAATTAATACGAGGCGACACAGAGTTTATAAGACTTAGAGTTAGTTAGTGATGTCTACTATCCGTCGCCGTCAGTGCCGTCAATTATTTCATATTTCATTGTTCTTAGTTCTTAGTCAAAGTGAAGTCATAATATTAATAATATTATTATTGAATATTCATAATTTATAAATAATAACTGACCGATTCATATTATTGGTAGGGCCTGGGCCATTGTCTTTTTAGCGTTAGTCTCTATTGTCACATTCATATTCATAGTCCCTAATACTAATACTAATACTAATATATTTTTATTCATTATAGTATTAGTAGTAATTCAGTATTAGGCCGAATGACTTGAATATTTTTTGTTATAAATTATAATAAATCATTGATGATAAAAATAAAAGAACATGACATACCAATTTCAGCACTCAGTGTCAGTAGTATAATTATGATACACGAAGTGGCTATACTATTTGAATTTGGACAAATGACATCTGAATAGTACTAGTACAGCCATGTAGTCTAAAAGTAGGGTGACCAAATCTGAATCATGAACTGGAAAAAACGGGACACATCCAAGGAGGGTTTGGGGGGGGGGATACCCTCCAGCTAGAGATGGGTCCGGGGTCTCCGCCGGAAACTATTTATTGAAATATGCTCATTTAAACTATTTTGAGACCTAGAAATCTTTTTAAATTTACCTTCACTTTTGTAATTTAATTTAAACTCGGAGGCATATCATAAACAAAAACAATATTTTTGCAGTATTTATTTATATACACACTATACACATTTTACAACATAATACAACACAAGAAATTAAATTTATCTAGTCTAGGATTTAAATTGAGGATATTTGGCTGTTGTCCCAGCCATTGTTAAAACCTCCTTCTGATCTAATATAAAGTTGTAAAAAACTAGAACAGAAAATGTGTTTCGTTTTAGAAACAGGACACTTTAGGCATCCAGAGAGACTTTTTCAGGACACTGGGTACGATCTGGAAAAAAACGTTTTTACAGGATGTTTGGTCACCCTAGTCTAAAGGGACCTGGGTAGGAAATGCTGCTATTCGGATCCAAGTCCCTTTAACCTAAATGCTATATGGATGTCATTTGTGGCTATTTGAATTTGGATAAATGACGTCTGAATAGCATTTAGGTTAAAGGGACTTGGTTCCAAATAGCAGCCATTCAGACCTGAGTCCCTTTAGACTAAATGCTATTCAGATGTCATTTGTGGTTGTTTATTTTAGTTAAACTGGAGAAGTAAGTTTACAAACATATAGTCCATTCAATTATCTTTCATTTGATAATTAATTTTGTCTTACAAACCCAACAATGATATTTTTATTATTTTTTAATAAACCCAACCTCTCACTATTTTCTGGGTCTGAATCGTGGGTCCGAATAGCCGCAGCCATTATAATAAGTATCAGTGCTGCCAGTTGGGTTATGGCCTAGCCCTATAGTCTTACACTCACACTGACTCAGTAGTGTTACATAAGGACGTATCCTTTATGCCCGAAACTGTTTCATTTTTCGAAATAATGGCTATTATTATATTATAGACTGAGTCACAGTCTATAATATAATAATAGCCTATGCAATTACTATTCAGAATTCCTTTCCATGTCCATATTATATTAATAAATATAGTAATATGAATATATGTAAATGTATGGATTCACTAATTGTTTTATAATTTCTGTGTGTTTTTTTAAACTAAAAATTATTAGTGTAGGCTCTATAAATACTTAATTAAAAACTCTTTGAATTTTAATAAAGATTTAACTGCCTTGGCCTAGGCTAACTTACTAGAATAGCTTCTAATTATTAAGTTTTAAACTTATATTATATTGAATAAGCCATAATTATTTATGGGGGCAACTTATCTTATGCCTGATAATTTATTAACCCTTATTTATTCATATTCATTTCATTTAAATTTAAAGAAAACTGTTGACCTGCAATTTATTAAGGCCCATATCAATGTGGAGTATACCCCCAAAGGGAGCAGTTTAATTAATTTGAAAAAATTTAGGAGGGGAAATTTAGTCTCTGGGGAAATTTTGGTACTTTGGTGAGGCAAAAAAAAAAAATGGTACTTTTAAATTCAGAATTTTTATCATTAGGCCTACTGTAGCGTTAGGCTTGCAATAGCCAATAATACCAGGTATTAAGATTTATTTAAGATCACATACAATATGTCTTATATGTTCATTTCTTTCTTCTTCAACCTTAAGGAGGCCTGTAGTTTAAATGTCTGGAAACTATTATTTTGTCATTGTTGGTCACCATGATAATCCAGTTTATGAGATGGAGTTTTCTCCACCAAACAAACCCAGTGAAAAGGTTGGTTCAAATTAAAGTGGAATGAAATTTATGTTTTCCATAATAAGTTTAAAAGTACTGTTTATTATATTTACAACTATAAATAAAATTTTAGTTCAGAAGGAAGGCATTTTAAGAAAATTTGGTTTTTCTCCTATTTATTTCACATATCACAGTATAAATTTCCCATTCATCTGTATGACCATCAGTGGTGTAGCCAGACATTTTGCCGCCCTGGGTGGACTTTGAGTTTGCCCACCCACCCACGAAAACACTCAGTACATATTAGTATTAGGTGGTTTTATTTAGCGCATTACCCCAGCCTAGGGCTAGGCTCACTGCGCTTCACATAAAAATTAGCAATTACAGAAAATTATACATTTAAAAACAACAATGGTAAAAAGCTTGACCTCACCCACCCAAGTACTACCCACCCCTGTTTAGCCATGGACAGCAACCACCAGCATCGAGTGTTGTTTATCAGTTATATGGGGAGTGAGAATGAGTCGGTATAGTACAGTTTGAAGAGATAGGTCATGAGGGCAGTTTTGAAGGCTGGGACGGTTGGTATATTGCAGATGTGTAATGGGATAGAATTCCATTGTTTTTGGGCACAGAAAGAGAAAGATCGTTTATCATATGTTTTAGTGCATGTTCTGGGATCAGAAAGAATATGCATGTCTGTGGAAGAATGAAGCTTTCTAGGGGTGAATAGACAGAAAGAAGTTCAGTAAGACAAGAAAGGCAGGAACCAGAGAAAAAGTTGTGACAGAGAACAGACATCTTGTAATCAATGTGTGCCTGTATAAGGAGCCAATGAGGTGAGGGAAGTAGTGGAGTGATGTGATCACATTTCTTTGCCTTTAGAACTAACCTAGCAGCTGAGTTTTGAACTTTCTGCAGTTTTTCCACGATATGTTTTGGTGAACCTGACAGAAGATAATTACAATAGTCAAGACGAGAGATAACAGACTAGTGTTTTTGTTGCGCTAACTGTGAGGTAGTGGCGGATGGAGCTGATCTAACATAATGAAACCTGGAATTAACTAACTTTGAAATAGAGCTCTCCTGGGCATATGCACCAAATCACTCCAAAACGGAATACTCTTTTAATCTGCATGGTGGGGGTAAGATATCAAGGGCTCCAAAAGCTTTTGATCCAATGTGTTGACAGAGAACTAGGTACCCTCTCACGAAAAATTTTATAAATTCATTATACAAGGATTCATTTTGGCGCATGCCTGAATTAAATTTTGCATCATTCTACACTTAAATTTTACATTAGTAAATATATGTACTTTTTAAAAGGTGCCAATGTGACGTACCAGCCCTTACCATCACAAAAAGCATATACTATAAATACTGCTCCCCAGGTGTGTCAAGTGGGTTATATTAGGATTAAGGTCAAATGTCTACAGAAGGGGTTTGTCAATTCTGGATTTTTTTAAATTATGAAAATTAATCGCAAATATTGAAGTGGTTCCATGTTTTTTTTCATCTTCTTTATAGTTATCATACAATAAGTTCAGTCCTTTTAGTCAATGGGCCTCAAGGGGCCCCTGGTGTAATACAATGACTATCTATGGACAATGCATAGACAGCTACGTGCCTCAAATACCTTAATCTGATCATACATCATACCAAGGAAAAATTAAAGTGAAAACACGTGAGATTGTTTAAAGTCGTATACCCATGTGACAACCAAATGAAACCATGTCTTTTGGGTAACAAAAGGTGGCATAAAATAAAATTATTGAAATTATAATCTAAATATTATATAGATTTACTGAACCACTTGATTAAATTGCTGCTTCTCCTGGGTCCTAACTTCTGGTAGTTGTATTTCTCAGCTTTTGTTTTTAACTCTCAATGTGTTTTAATGGAATTTTTGTGCACCCAGGAAGGCTAAAGCATACTTTGGGGGGGGGGGGGGGGGGGTGAGTGGTGGTTTTTTTTTTTTTTAAAAATTGTGCCTCATATAACTGATCTCACTCAGATAATGCAAATATGTAGCCCGTCCTCCATGCTTTATTCTATAGTAAAATTTAAAAAAAACACAACACCCTGCTTAGACTTAATGAAACAAAATATGGTTTCGCTTGAAAGGAAAAGACAGGAAAACCCCCCCACAAAAGCGCAGTTCCTCATTTATTATACTTTTAAAACCAATAAGAGATGTTTTGTTGAGGATCAAAATTCAAGCAAATTTTTATTATTTATAAAATCATTATATTAGATTATTAGGCCAATAAGTTCAATGAAACTTTGTAGATCAATTTTGATTTCTTTTATAATAAAATCTTGATTCTTCACAACACGTTGTTTGACAACCACTGCTCTATATTAAATGTTATCTGTTTGTGTAGTTTAGTACATATGAAGTAGTTTCATCTTAATTTAGTTCCTTTGTTTCTAATGACCTAGTCTAATATACCTTTTAAATATCTCATTAGGTGTACCGTAGTTTCTGTCTACAATCCATTTATGATGTTCTGTATATAGTCTTTCTTTTCTAGTCCTACAATAACTGCTTCTCCATCTCAAATGGTAGGCTAGTCTGCCTGGTAGTACGGGTATAAATAAAATGATTATTAAAATTTTTATAAACAAATTTATTAGAAAGATGACCATCGCCATCTGAACCAGTTCATAGCCCATGCAGCACTAGATCTAGTTGATGAACAGATGTGGTCAACCAACAACATGTACCTGAAGATTGTGGATAAATTCAATGAGTGGTTCGTCTCAGCTTTTGTTACAGCAGGACGTATCCTTTATGCCCCAAACTGTTTCATCTTTCAAAATAATGGCCTGTAGACTCAGTGATTGCAGTACTCTGTTTTTTTAAAATTCTAGCATCTTTAATTTTATCACTATATTTTTTAATTGTAATAATCCCTAAAATACCGACCTTTAGCTAATCGGTGTGAGCTCTATTTGCAACAAACCTTTTGGTTGTAAACGAATAACTCTCCTTTCACCTGTAAAAAATATTAAGGCATTGAGTAAATTTTCTAAGATGTTTATTCAAAATGTACCGTATTAATGACTACATTTTTGTCAATAGACTTTTTGTTTCTTTTCTTTTTCCCTGATATTAACAAAGACTGATCACTGAACTGTCACCACATAATGTTTGTCTTATTAGTTACATCATTGCTTCTTGAATCATGTTATAAATTACAATTTTTATCCTTAATGAGGTCACAGGAATGAGATTTTTGATGTTACATGATGTTAAAAATGAAGATGGGATAAAAAACTTCTTCACAGAAATCTATGAAACCTATGTAAAAGTAAGTTGATTATTGTTGTGCATAGTTCAGAGGATCTACATTTTTTCAAGTCATGGTGCATTTTTTCCTTTATGTTTTCCCCGACACATCCTATGTCAAGTTCTATCGAATTGCCTGCAAAATAGTAATTTTTTTTTTCACTTCGCAGTGCCCCTGTGAAAAAGTTTGGTAACCTTTGACCTAGTAATTTCATTTACGTTTGTATTTTATCTAAGTACAGGCCCTATTTATTTATATCTTGTCAATATTATGATTTATCATTAAGTTAGATGGTTTCCATCACTGTGGCGCTACAGCCCATGTAGAGCTTTGGCCTACCTCACCACTTCCTTCCATTCAGACCTAACAGATGCTTTTCTTTTCCATGCTTGGAGTCCCAGCTGCTGTAGATCTTTTTCCACACCATCCATCCATCTACGCCCATGTGTGCCTTTGAGCCATTTTCCTCTGTCATTTTGACATTCTTTCAGAATGACATTTTTTTAAATTTCTGCTATTAGCATGGGATTCTGATATAGTCTATATAATTCCTGGTTAGTTCATATTCTCTATCCATAATTAGATGGTTTGAATAAGAATAACAAAAGCCAGTTCCTTAAAGTCCATAAAATTCCTTAAGTGGTAACACAGTAATGTTCCTGTAATGCTCATACATGTGCCAAACCTAGTTTAATAACAATCATGTACTAGACTAGTAACATAATAGCAATCAAAATTGAATGAAAATAAAAACAATTTGATTTCTTCTTCTTTAAATTTCAGTTCGCCATGAACCCATTCTATGAAATAAATACTACAATCAAATCTGCTTCTTTTGACAAGAAAGCACAGTTCTTTGGTAAAAAATACTTGTCTGGATAGCCACTACGTATATCGGAGTAATGAGATTTAATTAAACAGTTTTGTCATTTAAATATTTTGTAGAGAATGTGTAATTGTAATAATATTGCTTAAAATCCAAAATAGATAACCCACTGTACTATTTAGCAGATGCAAAGTAGTTAGGGAATAAAAAGTACTTTTATGCTGTGGGTTTGTTGCTGAGATTTCTGTGATCACGTGCTACTAGCTGTACTAAAAATTGGGCCAGCAAATTTCTTTACTACAGGTTTCACAGAGTTGCCAAATATTGTAGGCTGGCAATATACAGCCATAACCCTGTCATATCTTTATCATTGCGCATGGGTTGTCATCTGACAGGGCTTGTTGACAAATTTTAATTTTTAGTTGTATTTGGTCGTGGAAATATATTGAAGTTCGAAGATTAAAATTTGTGAATTAAATTTCAAGTTTGATTTTATTGGAGTGGGCAAGACAGGAAAGATTGGAAGTACAATATCTTCAACTTGTTTTAAAAAAAAAAATTAATTAATTAAAGATAATTCTCAACATGGTTTCACCACTGAGATTTGTGGCTGCAAAAAATCCGCAGTGTGAATTTACCTTAATTGTGATTGATTCTCAAATGCTAATTGATGGTTATGCATCTTAAAGGGGGAGGGTGGGGGCGCCCAAGACAGATGACCTTTAGGGACATAAACCACCACAGATACATTCCTGATTTTGAAGTATTTCAGAAAACTTTGGTTCCTGGTGTGGCTAAGCTAATGTCACGCTTTGAAGGTTTACTCTGTGTTAATATATTTTGTCATTTTTAGAAATGAACTGTGCAATAATAGAAGAAATTGAATTACTTGTTTTTGTGTGTTGCACACAAGATTATTTTGTTTATACTAATAAAACCCATGTACTTTTCATCTGCTTTCTGTAGATTTTTTTTGTAAAGCTTTGCTGAACTCAAAATTAATTGCCTATCCATGAGGGTATTAGGAGGTCATCCACATAATTATCTCAGTGATGGTGTGGTTTGATTCAAAAATTTGGGTAAGGGGAGTGGTCCAAATATGCAGAGGCTACAAAATCATGATAGTCCTAGAATATGATTCTGTTCACATTGCTGTCCATAATCATCTGATTTTATGACAGAAGCTGTAAGCTCTTCTGACATAGAAATATCGTACGGTCCTTAATCTCATGCATGTTAGCTAGTGTCCTCTTAATTAGATGGTTGGCTTTTTTACCCAGCGTTCACCTCCTCCCAAAGAATAGAGTGTCATCTTCTGGACAGGTCCATTCAATGGGGTTGTTTAACCATACATTTGAAACCAATACCTCTTGATTTAGAAAGCAGATACCAGAGCAGCCATGATTTTGATTTTTAACTAACTTATTGGTGCTAAATCATAAATATTACATATTGGAAACACACACATTACATTACAACTTATTAAAAGATTTATCTAATTGTTGATGAAAGGATGAAACAAACACAACATTTTACATTTTTTAAAAGTATTTTTTATTACCTGAATAAAGACAACAAAACTGGTGAATTTGTTTCCCCATCTCTTTTTCAAAATAAAAAACAATGTGCACAGTATGAAAAAATTACCGGTAACACAATTTTTATAAAATTTACTACCGGCATGAAGAATTAAAATATCCAAACCTATATGATTTTTAAAAAAAAAACAGGTCTCTTTAAATATGAGAGGTTTTAAACACAAAAAAGTTTGAATAATCTACTCCAGAACTAAGGGGTACAAAAATTTTTTTTTTTAAATACCGGTACCCGTGTTTATTCCTCCATGGAAAGAATTACAGTTTAACTAAAGAGAAACATTTCTTCTTGTGTGGAGTCCAGTGTGTTCATTGGGCCTGTTTTATTTTAAATCATAGAGACAAAAATAATAAATGTGATCAAATATTTATGTTTCTTAGTTTCAATAAAATAATTTCCAACAATAATATAATAGAAATACACCCAAGAAATAGAAAGGAAACATCAAGTTATAGTGTTAGAGAAAGAACATCAGATTCTGTTACTAAGCTATTGTTTAATTCCAGGGAAATTCAAGTATATCATACTCTATCTGAATCTGGGGATTCTGGATAAACTTATGTTCACATTTTTTGGGGATTTATTTTTGGCCATTGGACAGAAATTGAGTTCCACTAAGACTTCCAAACACCATATTTTAAACCTAAATTCTGGAGCCGGCTAAAGTTTATCGCCAAAGTTAACTATTTCAATGGCGCTTAAACTGTATGAAGTTAACTTTTCCTACAAATACAAGGGCTTGAAAATAAATAATAATGACAAGTATTTGCTCTATAAATGCCGTCTGATGAAACCAAACTCCACCACTAAAGAAATTAAAGTTATTTAAAATTACCTTCTGCAAATAATAGAGAACAATATCAGTATCGAAGAAACTTACAACACATAGAAATCAAGCAATAAGATATTATAACCCAAAAAATGTTATTGCCGGGATGCCATGTAAATCAATGATTATAACTTCTGTATTTATTATCTATGACATTTTGATTATTGGTGCTTGTCTTTATGCAGTACTTATATAATCCATACCAGTTTTCAAAGCAAAATAAATGTGTTTATTCTTGTAAAAGTAATTTTTCTAGTCTCACATTTCAACAATTAGCTGTTCTTGACAGTTTAAAAAAATCCCTTCCTTGTTAATTTAATTGTTTTTTAAAGCAGTCCATGAACAAATTACTCACCAAAAATTTAGATAGGGATTGTATTTCTGGATAGGCCAGCATTCTGAAATCATGATATTTTAACACATATTACAATACAATAGCACCTGGCAATGTGTCTTTGACTTTAATAAATAAACATTGATCTGGTTCTTTTTAAAAGAAAAGTACTGTGCAGGTAGCCTTGGGGTTCTGTAATGCATAAGTTCCTTACCGGTACTTCACAAGTTAAATTTATTTTCATAATTTAAGCAACCAATCCTGTTCAGGAAATTATTCTAAAGATACCCTAAAAGCAAATATGATGTACCGGGTCCTAGTACTATGGTAATGAAAGTGCAACTAAAAAGAGAGTGCACAATTTATCTCTCTTCACTGACCACACAGTAATGGTTTCTTCTTGTCTTTAACAATGAGCTCTCATTTGTAATTTAATGTCAAGGTCAAAGGTACATTTGAACTAATTCATACATAAAAAGAGGACTACCTGTCAATATAAAATGTAAATAAATACAGTGTATTTCTGACTGCATCACAGGACAAGTAATTTTTTTTTTTTTAAAAAGATACACAAATTCCTGACTAAACTCCGACATAAGTTAGAAAACAGCCACAAAAACTTTTGGCACCCTCCTCCCCAAAGTCCTATTCCATACAAGAATTGCAATGGATAAACAATTAAAATTAGAACCCTTCTCATGCAACTTTGATAACTCTGATAACTCATAACATTTTAAATGTCTGACCCCTATAATTATTTTTTCCCATGATCAATGCTGGATTAAGATCTTAACTCCAACTAACGAATGCAGCGGTTCTCAACCTGTGGGTTGCGGGACCCTTTTCCAGGGGTCGCCTAAGACCATCTGAAAATACATATCCTTACAGCGATGAAGTAGCAACGAAAATAATTGTCTGGCTGGGGGTCGCCACGACACGAGAAACTGTATTAAAGGGTCGCGGCACTAGAAAGGTTGAGAACCACTGAACTAATGTATTCTGAAAATTTTAAAATAAAAAGTTTTTAAAAAAGCGTTTGCTGGCTTGAATGAAATAAATCTCTGTCCCTGTTGCATCTATATGCTAGTCCCCAGTGGTCCTCAACCATGGTTTTCTTGAATAAAAAAATAGAACATCGGACCACATCAATGTTTTACAACATAGTGCATATACCTGCAATTAAAGTGTATATTTTATTAGTATCACACTGTAGTGAGCTGACAATGATTCACACACACACACATGGATGACATGCTCGCTGAGAAAGGGGGGGGGGGGGGGGCGGGACAATACATTTATTCCATCATATTTCCTATTATTAATGACAGTTTTGTTTTAAGAAAGTATGTGGAGTATTTAGGAAATATAATGTGTCGGAAAAAGAAAAAAGATGGGTGACAATGGGAAGAAGTGCTCAAGAAAGTATTAACCTTGATAAGATATTAAACTAACTACCGGGTACATTAAAAGTAAACATACTATAGAACAAAGGTGGGCAAACTACATCCCACGGGCTGCAACTTTTGATCAAATTTCATTCTAATTCTCTATTTTTTTAAACAGTCCTTGACTTTAGTCATGTAATGCTAAAATTAAAATTTACAGATTTTAATATAGAGAAATGTTTATCGACATGTAAAAATTGGACATAATGTACATGCGGCCCCCCAATAGCTTTACTCTGTCAATGTGGCCCTCCGCACAAAAAGTTTGCCCACCACTGCTTTTGAAAAAAATTTAGTCTCTGTGAACTTTTTGAAAATCTCCAATAAGCTGATACAGAATCTTCTCACTGATTTAAAAAGGAAAACAACAAATTATCAGTGGCAGATGTGTAAATTATTTTTAAAAAAATTGTATTCAAAAGCAATAATTTTGAAATAAAAAGTTTGTGTTCTGGATATTATTCAATTGCTGAGATAAATTATATTTTAAAAAAGCAACTTCACATTTTAAATCTATACTTCCACATACTTTTCTTTTAAAATCATACTATGCCTCAGTCCATTTTTAAATCTACACGTGCCTTGCATATTCTCACACATACAAGGACGTACAACACAAGCCACTCTTTCTGAAACAACAAAGAATTTCTTTATACACCAAACACTCATAATTGACACAATTCAGGGCTCTTCATTTGCGTTTGCTTGTTGTAGTTGGTTTAGCCTTCACAGCCTTCTTGGCAGAGGAGCCACCAGAGAAGAAATTGGACAACAATTCTGCAGGGTCTGGCATGTTAGGCCGGTTGTTGAGGGCATTCATCTGGTTTTGCATTTCCTGTGGATAAGTAGTACAGTACGATTCATATTTACATTTTCTGCATTTTAAATTTTCATTTACATTTTAAAAACAACAAACAAATATTCATTCCAACAAAAGGTTACCAGTATATCTTGATGTGTTTAATTTCAGTTAAACCTACTTCTACCCACACAATGTATTTCTCTACAGTATAAAATGTTATCAATGAACTGTTTTATTATAAATTATTGAGAACATCCTGTCACAATGCTTGAGAATTTATGATTTATCATGACATTTTCCTGGCAAGTGGCACATTTAAGAACTTAATTAGAACCTGTGTAGCAGAACTGAAACAAACCATTAAAACTGGTACAATGAAATCATTCAACACAAGAAAAGCTTGCAGTACTTTCTCTGACACAAATTGATGGAAAAATCAAATGCAGAACAATTGTTTGGAAATGAAAACACCAGAAAAATAACAAGCATGATGCAGATAAAATTCAGTACTTTCCCCCAAAATTTATTTCCGTAAACTTATACCCTAAATTCTTCGCATTCCTGTTATATGCTGAGAGAAAATTTCTCAAAAGAACCAACATTTTTCTTAGGAAAACACTGAATTCTACCAATTTTTTTAACGTTTTAACTTTAGGTCAGAGATAGCACTGAATTTTACCTTAAACAGTATACATATTGAAGAGAATTTATTGTTTTTTAGAGAGCAGAGTTCAGATCACTGTTTTCGATATTTGTTGTATCCCCGGTACTTCCTTGCATTTCAACTGCATTTATCGTTAAAAAAGTTTGCTCAGTTGATACCGCCCAGCTTGTATCATCCAATACTTTACTTTCAGTGAGGTCTTCATTTGTTGGTGACTTGTCGGCAATAGTATTATTAGCTGTTTTTCATAGGAAGCATTCAGTGGGAATATTATATACTTGCTCTTGTTAATACACTAAATAATTTTAGACCCCAAAATCTGTTCAACATGTATTTTATTACATTTGTTTTATTAAATTATTTATTTAAATTTGCAAGTGGATATTTCATTTCAGATTGATAGTCAGAAGAAATTAAAAGTGATGGAGGAGATTAAATATTTTAATTTAGATCAAGTGTTGGACTAAGTAATTTCATATATCATAAAAGACTAATGGACTAATCCCCTTAGAATGAGTGCGTATGCATTTTTCAGTTTGGGTGATGGTAAATGCCTTTGGTAACTATTTATTGCAAACTTACATTGTGCCCTTGATTCTAAATGTGGAGACAAGTTAGCGGCTATTAATTTTACATGCTGAATATCAAAGAAGGGAATGTGCTTCTCAGGGCTGAGTTGACTTTCAGAGCACTGAGTGCCCCCCTTGTACTTTGTGGCAACTGTTTTATTTCTAACTGTGTTTGAACAAGTTGAATGCTGCCCTAGACTGGGGCCTGGCAAAACTTCACTAGTGTTGGGTAAAGTGAGTTTCAAGTCTTTTGAAGCTTCATCTTCCAAGAAACTTTCACTTTCACCAGCAGAATTTAATTTTTCCAGATGTGAGGATGCGGCTGTACAGTCCTCACTGATGTCAAAATATGCCCTACTTGAACTGACAGGCAAGCTTAAATGTTGGGAGTTGACGCACTCAAACTGAGTGCCAGCACTGATGACATTCATATACTTGGGCGAAGATTTCACCGAGAGTCTTTCAGGGACTGGTTTTGAGCTTTTGGTAGGAAAAAGAAATGAATCAATGTTGCCATTCTGTTTGATAGTTTCAATCGATTTGAAGGATTTCCATCCAAAATCTTGGATTGACAACATTTTTTTAGACGGGCAAGGTCTCTTTTGTGATTGGTCCACCTTAGACAGATTTGAAACTTTCCTGGAATCCGTCAGTAAAAGGGTAGAAGAGTTTTGAAGTGGTACCACACAGTCCAATTTCTCTTCATTGCAAGGGTTCTTAATAGTAAAAGCATTTTCTTTAGGATAACAATATTTTCCCATCAAAGCTTCCTGTTAGAAATACATTCACATTCATCTATTTGTGGAAATATTTAAAAAAAAACAACTTTATAAAGTTATTGCATTTTTTGAAGAATAGAGAAATAAATTTTCAATAACAAAGCAGTGCAGCCATATTTAAAGCATAAGCATGAAAAAATGGTCACAGCAATGATGTTACATTGCACTTACCTTTTGAGTGTCTGCATCTGCTGCATTCATTAACTTGGGTAAAACCATTATTAATAGTAGAGGCACAATCATGGTTAATACCTGGGAAAGATATAAATTTAAAAAAAATTATTTTATCAATTAATGTTACACAAAAATTGTATAAAATATTGCAGAAAATTATTTTCAATACGGTAAATATTTTCTATTAAAGCTTGATGGTACTGAATTGCCTCTTAATTTAAATCTTAAAAACTTTTGTATACGATTAAAAAGAAAAGCATTACTTTATTCTTCAGCTATCAAACTGAGATGTTTAATTTCACTTATAATTTACGTATGACCCCACAAGAAACGATTTCAGACACTTTGAACTTGAGCAGTAATAAACTTTCTTTTTAAAAAAAAAGTCAAATACCCTGTACTGTTTTGTGTACAAGATTGTAGGTTATTAAAATTCAAATCATTTCAATTGATAATAATAATATCAAACCCTAATGAATCCTGCTTGAGCATCATTTAATGTTTATAGACTGCAAATACCCAACTTAAACTAACAGATCAGGACTGGATTTTAATTTGGCCTTACCATTGGATTAAATAAGAAATCAGTTAGTCTTAACTGTTCCCTTTTCTGAAAATAGTTTGGTTGACCACGCTCTCTAAACTCCAAAGGGTAATTGACAGTCTTCACAAGTGTGGGCTGTAAGAAATTCACACGGCGAGCCCTGATTTTGCCTTTAGAAGTGATATCGACTCTGAGTGGCTCAAACAAGGCATTGGGATTGGCTATTTCCACAATGTATGAACCAGATGGAACACCGTGAACAACAAAAGACCCGTCAGTTCTAAAATAGAGTTCAATGAAAACATTTAGAATAATTATTATGATCAGATCTTTAAGTTATCATTTTTGTAAGGGGCGCTAAGTAAGGTTTGTCCATCTGTATCAAAAGGACATAACCATAAAATTAGAAAATGGCATGCCCGGATAGCTGCAAAACTTTAATTTTATTAGATACCTTATGCCATATTAAGGATGGGAAAAAAAATCAGGTTATGCTTCCATTTTTCTTTTTTCTGAAATTCATGCCTACTATTCACACTTGTTACAAATAGTGTACCTGATAAAAACAGAGTGCCCAAACAAATGTTCCATTTTTGAATGTTCAAATTCATAACTTTAGTTTGATCCATGATTTCTTTGTCCATTACCACATATTTGAAAAACAAAATGCTGCCTTTTGACAAAAACAGCAGCTGCATTATTTTAATTTTGTCTACCCTGGTACTGAACGATTTTTGAATAAAGTACCAAAACAGCCAGAGTTGTACAGAACTATTAGCTTAGTGGTTGAGAAATAAATGAGTTACATAGACTAATAAATTAAAAAGGTTAGACTTGGACCAGGAAGTTAAGAAGTGCAAGAGTTAACCCAACCAACTTAATCATTAAATCATGTTTTTGTTTAGAATAGTCAATACTAATAGTAGTAATAGACATAGGGCTCTTTTAAAGGCATTCAGCTGCATCTGCCTGATTGAATGCCTGTGCCAAATTATTAAATAATTTGAAATTAGACCCCAATTGATACCGGTATCCACATAAATCCTGGGTGTGAGTTCTAAATTATAACCTCAAACCTAAACTATTCATACTATGTAAATAAATAGTGGAATAAGATATGCTCAGACTTGAAAAGAAAAGACAGGACAACTGAACAAATATTTTGTCAAGATGCCTTCTTTGGCAGACAATACAAAACAAGAAACAACAGATAATTATAAATTAAAACTTATGTGTTCTAAAATCTCAAAAATGTATATAGTCATGTAATTTAAAATGGCTTGGATCATTGCCTTGTTTTCTTTAGGTGTGACATGGACCAAACATGACTAATTTTTTTATTCTTTCTGTTTGATTTAGGTGGAATTTCTCTCTAGTTTTTCTCTAATAGTTAAAAAAAATTTTTTTTTTTTTTTCAAAATGACAATGCAAGTGGATGACCAGTGGATGCGTTAGTCTTAGATTATGACATGTGTCTTAATTTCAAATGGGCAATTAGTCTTACAACTAAATTACCATTGGAGAAATGTTATGCTATTTGAATTGTTTGGCACTACAAAGTGCAAATATCAATCATTGGTGCCGTACGTATACTGTGTGTGTGAACTAACTTATAATACTAGTTTAAAGCCACACTCATACTCATGAATACTTGGAATAACCAAATCATTGCAATTCTATAGTATCCTTGCATCAAACAAAGGATAGGTGATTGATGCCACTGATAGGCTCATGTGTGGTAAAAAAAAAGCGCTAGAAAAATTAAAGACATAGTTTAGTCAAGTAGGTGAATAAAGAAGGCCTACACCAGCTTATGACACTTATGTATTTAAGGGGTTAACACAACTAATACCACTAGACTAACTAATACTAATCGAAGACATAACAGTAGACTAACACTAATTAGTAATTAATATAGTAGGCCTAATGGCAATGGTCTCAGTGTCACCTTCACCTATGTTCATAACACTGAGACTACACAGTCAACCCTTAGGCAAAAACACAAAAGTCTTTCCTAGAGAAAAGGGGCATAACTCCATAAAATTCACAACATAGAAACATGATTGTTGAGGTCAACTAATCTAAACCCCCTTCCCTCCCCCTTGTCAAAAACTGTCAAACATTTCCAAACCCCCTCCTCCCCCTATTTTGTTGACGTAATTAATGGAGGCCCCCCTTCCTAAACATAACCTGAACCCTAAATGTTTCCCTAATGCCTAATGATAGGCTAATCAATAATCAATGGCACCAAAGACCAAGTCCAATGCCAATTCTCTGCTACTGCTTTACTTTATTACTTTATTAGTTTTTGCCAAAGATGGAATTTTACTTTTAAAATACTTTTAATGAAGTTCCATGAGGTAAAAATGAATTTTTATATTTTCTCTAGAAATAATAAAACGCGATAAAATAAGGGATTACCATTTATGGCTTTATGGTCGTGTAGTGTGAAGTGTTAGCGTAAAGTTGTCACCGTACTTGAGTTAAGTCAAGTTGTTACTGGACCTACCTTACAAATCCAAGATACTCGCCACCGTCTACCAGAACTCTAGAATTCAAAGTCCACTCTTTATCTTTAGATGAAATATAAACCTTGCCTTCTATTTTAAACTCCGGTTTATCGTTATAGTCATCAATTTCATTAGCAGATGAAAAAGAACTCCAATTAAAAAGAAATAAACACAATAAAAACTGGACAAGCTGTGCTGGTTCCTCCATCTTTAACGTCTATATAAAACTTGGATATATATGAGATTTTGAAACAAATGCTTTTTTAAAAATACATTTTATTAACTAACCTCGTCAATATATTTCTAAAATAAAATCATTTATAAGTAACATATATTTCAAATCATAATGATTTTTAAATCTTCATATCTATTTTAAAGTCTGTGAATTATATATATTTTTTTTAAAGTTCATATTTTTAAAAAGCAATATGGCAGCGCCGATTTAACCTTAGTTATTATTAACTTTATTGTAACTATAATATAACTAAATCAGTATATCATAACTATAACTATGCTATATGTTAGTATAAGTTAATTTAGTTACTATTATGTCAGCATCATATTATTTATTCTTATAAATGTGAATTGCAGCTACATTTATCCGGTTGATCATAATTTGCACTGGATTGGCAATTGTCAATTGATGTGATTGGTAAATAAAGTAAATTTATAATTATAATGAAAATTTAATTTTAAGTTAAAAAAACTGAAAAGTCTTGAATGGGCTTAAATTTAAACGTAAAGTAAAGTTTAAAAAAGAGAAGAAGAGTCTTTAACTTTACAAAACAATACAAAACTAAACCACAGCCTTAATTAGTTTGGGTAAATTTTGAGTTAATGGTATGGGCATGGGTTTTTGCCAAGAGTTTTCTCACCCTAAGCTTTAACTTTAGCTAAGCGCAGTGACATCACATTGGGGAATCCCAACACTGGACTTAGGGTGAATAGATCTATACTATTCTTTGAAGGACCCGAACGATGTGTGTTATAACATTCCTGTTCTTTATTGAGCATTACTCGCATCATAAACGATACGGTTAATATGAAGTATATTAATATTGAAATAAAAATTTTCATTAATCTGTATTAAAATTCAACTTACACGTTTCAAAAGAAAAGAAACAGATCCTTGCTAATACCCAAAGACCCAACACCAGTGAAAAAAAAGACGCCCGCCAAAATTGCTGTATTTTGATTTATTGGCATTGGGTTTAAAAATTATACTTGTTCATTGATGGCAGATTTATTGAAATCAAAATACCAGTATGTTGAAACTTGGGTAACAAAAGGAAGACTACTGCTTTTAACTTAAATTGCATTTGGAATGATCTTCTCCCCAAATCCCTGCCCTCGCTTTAAATATGGTACCAAAAAAAGAAACAGATCTAGAAATTCTCTGGGGAGGGGAGACCCCCTCCTCAGTACCCCTCCTCAATTTAACAAAAAATATAAGATAAGAAAACAATAACTTGCATTATGTAAATACAAACATTGAAATCTTTTTAGTATGGCACTGTAACAGCGCTGTAGACGGAAATGGACCTGGGGGAACTTCCATGACCGATATACCGTGGAACACATCGTCAGCCTTACCGCTAACTCAAAACCAGCCAATAGTTTGCCCACTTATCCAAACAATTGTGAACAAAAATAAATAATAATAATAATAATAAAGTTCATTTAAAAAAACACGCTTCATCCCCAAAGGCTCGAAGCGCGGTACAAGGTCAACAAAAAACATATCTATAATTCACCACATTTAAAACAAACACAACACTACAAAAACTAATTACAAGCATACATAAATACAGCAAATCATAAAGGTACGGCGGACAAGCAAGCAAACAAACAACCATCCATACACTCAATATAAAAGCAACAGAAACACAACATAAATACATAAAAAAATGCCACTGAATTGTTCCCCTTCAGAATTGCTCAGAGTGAGCTGAGGATCCAATTTATATGCTTTTGCTGTTCTTTTTTTTTTGGTCGTTGATGAATGCTGCTGGGTTTGTTTTGCGAGTTGCAATTCACTAAGCTATGCAAGTAATTTTGGGGCAAATGTCTGCATTCGTCATGCGGAGTGTTTGTTATGAGAGGGGTTGTTATGCAGGGATCCACTTTTCAGCATTTTCCGCCCAAATCTAAGAGGGTTGACCTATCAACAGTAATTCATTGCAATATATTGCAGCTAATCCACATAAATTAGGCTGCGGCTATTCAGACCCGGGTATCAGAAGTGAGAGTTTGGATTTATTTAAAAATATTACAAATATTATTGTAGGTTTTGTAAGACAAAATAAGGTATCAAATAAAAGATATTTGAATTGACTATATTTTTTTAAACTTACTTCTTCAGTTTAACTAAAATAAACTACCACAAATGACACCCGAAAAGCATTTAGTCTAAAGGGACCTGGACACGCAAAGCCGCTATTCGGACCATGGTCCCTTTAGACTCACTGCCATTCCGATGTCATTTTTGGAAGCTTATTTTAGTTAAACTGAAGAAGTAGAGTCCATTCAATTATCTTTCATTTGATATCAAATTTTATCTTGCAACCCAACAATAATATTTTAAATATTTTTTTAAGCCCAACCTCATTCTTCTGGGACCTGGGTCCGAATAGCCACTTCATATAAATTAATAGAATCTACTACTTAGGTGAAAAATTTCGATGACTTTTGAATAAAAAATAATTTTACGTAAATTTCCTTTTCATCCTAGTTACAAGTGCACAAAAGTCTTATAATGACAGGCTTACATTTTTGGCAACGTCTTTTACTACTAAGATGGCACAGACAATTGAAATTGTTTACAAAGGCATCAAGCATCAATTGCCTAGTTCAAAAGTCTTATTTATCAACTTCAGTAAGTTTATTGGTGAGTTGTTAAATGCTATAATTTCATTATCTTTGTGTTGTTAAAAATTTTTCAAAGTGCATTTCTTTTTACAATTCCAGCTCATTTCTTGCCATTGCTTTCAATCTTTCCAGGTACATTTTCCATTGTTTCTATTCATATATAAACCTGTGGATTTTATGGTTCCTGATTTTATCATATGATCACAGGGATCTTTTCAAATTATTTCATAATTATTTATATTTCAGAATATTTGATAATCTTTATCACCAAAACTTGGTTGTACAGGAATCACAAAATTTAACACCAAATATTTAATGTTCTTCATTCAAATCTGGGAGTTAAGAGTATTTCTTGAGGATTAATTTACAGATACCGGTACATGTTTTTACAATATTACTTCCACACGTCTTAGATTACTTCTCATCCGTATTTCAGCAACAGCACCAACAACTTCCATTTGATTTAAATGATTTTCCAGTGGAACGCATAAGGAACTTCAGTATTATAGCTCATGTTGATCATGGAAAGAGCACACTGGCAGACAGACTTTTAGAAATCACAGGTGGGTGGCCATTCAGAAACATCTCTCTCTAAATAAGTTCTGGAAAATGTTTTTTGTTACTGGTACCTGAACTTTCACAACCATGTTTTAAACATATTTTGTGCAATACATTCCATGAATACAAATGTGATTTCACAGTAGTTGAAAGTGTATGGCATGGACTGTTGGATTAAAGTACTTTTAGAGATCACTATTACTAGTAGTGGATAATACTGATGAGTATTTTGATTTACAGCCATATTTCTGTCATATTTATGCCTTCTCTGGTATCTTTCTCATAGGAACAATACCAAAGGGAGATAACAACCAGGTTTTAGATAGACTACCAGTGGAACGGGAAAGGGGAATTACTGTCAAAGCCCAGACAGCAAGCTTAATCTATAAATACAAAGATCAAGAATATTTGCTTAATCTAATAGATACACCTGTAAGTATCAGTGTAATTATGTAAATCAAATTGTGCAATTAAATATGTGGTTCATTTAAAAACTGCACAGATATATTAGTTGAATTTTTTGCTTTTTATTGATTTATTGATCTTCAACTTATTTTGGATATTTCAAATAGGTTTTTTTCATAGTAGAATGATAGAACATAGTTAATATAGTTAAGTAATAGCTACACTAATATAGGAACTGTTTGTTCTATTGAAAGCTAAGAAATCTTTAAATTAATTGTGTAAATGTCTGCTAGACTGTGTTTGTTGCTAGAAAATACATTGGTTGCTCAAATCTAAACTAGGAGAAAAAAACTAAATTTTTGCACCTCACTATTTATTGTTCTAATAATTTTTGCTGTCTAGCTATCATTTTTGTTGGCAGGGTCATGTTGATTTTCACTATGAGGTATCCAGGTCTTTAGCAGCATGCCATGGAGTTATTTTACTTGTTGATGCCAATCAGGTCAGTGGCAGTGTTACAAGTGATTCATCTGGAATTGAGCTCTGATTGGTTTAGATGAGGCTATTTTTAGAATGGAACTAAAATTATGCTAAATAATTATAAAGAATTATCAGTGTCAACACCTGGATCTATCTTCCTCATTAGGAAGTGTTAGTAGCCCTAGTGTCACAAGGAAGTGACACACACACACTTCTTTTCTGAATCTTACACAAAACACATATGATGAAAAGTCTAAATTCTTTAGCAAAGAAATAATGAGTTAAGACCTTATAAATCTTTGAATTGTCAATTGTCATTTGCTGTGATCTTGAATATGCTTGTAAATTAAAAAAAAATTAATTGCTTTATTTTATTTTTGTAAAGTAGGCTAATTTGTTTCCCGATGTGTATTATAGTATCTGTCTGAAAATATCACAAACAAACCCTAGTATCAATGTTATATGCAAACCCAAGACACAATCACTTAAGTCTGTCTTGTGTGGGTAACTTCTCCTCCCTATCCGCTATGCTAGACTTGTCCCACATTGTGCAGTTTTAATATTTTATATCATTTTGTCAAATTGGCTGGAAAGCATTACTATTAGTTTTATATATATTAATTATTATAAATAAATATATTTAAATAATCACAAGTTTTGCATCTAACCCTGGATATTACCCTTAATTGTTTTGATATCTTTTATATTTCCTTCACAGGGTGTCCAAGCACAAACAGTGGCAAATTTTTATTTAGCGTTTGAAGCAGAGTTGACCATTATACCAGTTATAAATAAAATTGATCTGAAAAATGCTCAACCTGATGTTGTAGCTGATCAAATTCACAATTTGTTTGACATTGACAAGAAAGATATATTAAAGGTAGAGACTCGTTTACATGAATGTTTGAACGTGTTACAATCTTTAAACATTTTAAGGAAACTGATTAAAAGGGGGCAGCAAACTGGGTTTAAAAATTATATTTGTTCATTGATGGCAGATTTTTCTATGCAAGAGAAATTCTTTAGATGTCTTGTGTTTGAATTGGTATACCCTATTTCGCATATGTAAGACGCATCTCATACAAAGTTTAATGTACCCCACACCAAGGGTGCTTCTTATATATGGGTGGGTCTTATGTAAAATATTTTTTACACAAATCGTCTAAACCCGCGTCTTAAGTATGGGTGCATCTTATAATTAGGTGTGTCTTACATGCGCAAAAATACAGTAAGTACTATTTAACAGGTTTGAAGGTACAGTGTGTGATATTGAAGGATGATTATTTCTGTCGATATTCACATTTCAAGATTTTAATTTCCTAATTGTAAAAACAATTGGGTAAGTGTTCATTAATTACCAAGTGTACCAATTCAATGCAGGCCACTTGAAACTTAAAATACTTTTGTTTGAATGCATTGTATATCAATGAAGCCTTTGCATCTGGCATTTATTGTTTCTAGAATCTAGATATCAGGTACTCAACCCATCTGCTATTGGCCGGCGACAGATAAGAATAAACAATAATCATTTCAGTCCTGCCTCAGACAATTCTTGATCTACCGGTAAACTAAATATGGTAATGAAGCCTTATTTACATCCGATGGGTGATGAAATATTGGAAAAATTTTCATTTATGATAAGGAAAGGAAACCACTGGATATAAATTGCTCAGTGCTGCAGATGGCTAGGCCGCGTCCATCTTATGTAATTTTGTTCAATACAAATAGTCAAAACCAGCGTCTTATATATGGTTGTGTCTTATGTAAAATATTTTTTACGCAAATCGTCAAAACCCGTGTCTTAGATATGGGTGCGTTTTATATGCATGAAAATACGGTAGTTTTGAAATTTTCTCTTGGTTTAAATATGTATTTATTTTTGTACTAAAAATGAAAATGTACAATGTCATAAAAAACAATTTCATTTATTTGGATGAATAAAGAATCTCATCGTATCTTAACATTTTTTGGTTTGAACATCCACTCATTCAACATATTTTTTTATGCTAAATTCAAATCAACTTATTTTTATTTTGTAGGTAGCATGGCTGAAATAATGTCAATGATTGAAATAAAGTAATTTAATACTAGTTTTTAACAAAATAATGTCTAGGTTTCTTTATACAGTTCCTGTATTAAGAGTTTTTTATTATGTTAAATTTACAATTATTTCTTTAACTGGCACCTCAATTAGATCTCAGCCAAGCAAGGTATTGGTATAGAGGAAGTACTTGCAGCTGTTATTGAAAGAATACCCTGGTATGTTCTTAATGTCACTGTCATCTGTTTCAAATTATTTGTTTTAAAATGTAGGATTTTTTTTTGGCACAGCAACATAATTAGAGATTATGAATTGTGTGTTTTGCTCGCTGTGTTTAGATGTAAACTTAGGACAAATTAATTACAAAATGTAATTCCTTATCACGTATTGAGGAGTGGTTGAAGACCTATTAACTTTGAAAGATTCTTTGTTTTACCAGCCCCAAGCATGACAGAAAAAAGCCACTAAAAGCATTTGTGTTTGACTCGTGGTATGACCGCTACAAGGGCGTTGTTGCTCATCTAGCTATTTATGATGGTTTTATGAAGACAGGTACTTTGACTTAATCATTTCTTGATAGCGTAAAATAGACAATTTTAGAATAGTTCCCAATATTCCATTTTTTTATTTGATGGACTTGTCAGTGACACATGAAAATTTATATTCTTTTTAGACGGGAGTACAGAAGAAGATTGGGTATTAATAAGATTTGTAGCAATATATAAAATATTTTTTTCAGTGATTAGTTGTTTTATGCTTTAGACATGGAAGGTTGATTTTACATAAGTGTTGTTACTATTGTTTGATGCTTTAGACATGGAAGGTTGATTTTACATAAGCATTGGTACTATTGTTTGATGCTTTAGACATGGAAGGTTGATTTTACATAAGTGTTGTTACTATTGTTTTATGCTTTAGACATGGAAGGTTGATTTTACATAAGTGTTGTTACTATTGTTTGATGCTTTAGACATGGAAGGTTGATTTTACATAAGTGTTGTTACTATTGTTTGATGCTTTAGACATGGAAGGTTGATTCTACATAAGCATTGGTACTATTGTTTGATGCTTTAGACATGGAAGGTTGATTTTACATAAGCATTGGTACTATTGTTTGATGCTTTAGACATGCGAAGTTGATGATACATAAGCATTGGTACTTACTTTTGTCCTTAGCACCAGATATTTTTTAAGGTCATATAATTTCAAAAGGTCATCAGAACTGTAAGGTCTATTTGCAATTCTGTTACATTTAGTTAAATTGTTACAAATATTGAAATGATGGGTTTAAGTATACAAATAAATAAGATGTTTCGATTCAGGTGATAGAATAACATGTGCCAGCAATGGGAAGACTTATGAACTTATAGAAGTGGGGGTCATGTATCCTACACAAGTTCCATCTGGATTTTTGTAAGTATCCCATCACTGTAAAATTTATGTGGAACATTTTCTCCAACATGACCTATCAACTATTGTTTTTAATCACATCCTTGCCTATTCCATCTCACGTCTGACATATCTATCATAAAAATTTCTATATACATCTTTTTATCCTGCGTGGTATCTGTATTATCTGTCACATCCTAACTAAATTTTTTTCATTATATCCCTCCTGAGAATTGCATGCAAGTCTTAAGTTCTGTTTGAAAACATCCTGTCTCAGTGAAGTGTAGAAGTATTTTAAAAATATCTTTGAAACTATCAAAATGCCAGGTATGCTGGTCAAGTAGGATATGCAATGATGAACATGAGGAACACAAATGAGGCCAAGATTGGGGACACATTTTACCATGAGAATATTCCAGTCGAGGCACTTCCTGGATTTAAGGATGCAACACCAATGGTACCATTATTCTCTACAACATTAACATATTATATTATCTTTCATTTGATCACAAATGAAACATTTATTTTGACTATATAAAAATGTTATTACTGTCTAAATGCCTGATGTATTTATTAGATTGGCCATAGAGAACCTATAGCCCATTCTGACCTTAAAATAATTCTTTGCTTCCATTCCACAAAACCTTTAATTATTTAGATTGAATAGACAGAACATTTTTTTTTTTTCAAATGTATCTTTTTTTGCATGCTTACATAAGGTATTCAGATCATTAATAATTCATAAAAATTGACCAACTTGTGGTGAAATTGTAGTGTGTGTTTGCATCGCAACCACAATAGTGGGTTCACAGCTTTGAGCAAATAGGTGAGTGGAATGGATTTGTCAGCAAGGCACTTTTCCTGAGGTGAAGGAAAACTTGGCTAAAAAAAATTGAACCACTGAAGTAGGCACATTGTAGTAGTAGCCAACTTTGCAAAGAATTAAAATTGTCCAGTCTACACTATCATGAGATGTCATATTAAAACTAGAAATGTGATGGCTCATCACTGTATATAAAGCAAGAAAAAAACCAACATGTTGATTGAGTTGCTGCTCAGTCGAAGTAAATGGGTTGATAAAAGCAAGGTGTTGTAACTGTAACATAAACACCTGTTCAACCCAAATGGATTCATCAAGTGTAAGAATAAGTTTTTTCCAGTGCCAGCCCCTTCTAACGTTTGTTTACAATGTTTAAAGAATGCAACACTCATCAAAACATAGCTCCGCCTTTAATATTAATTTTCTTTCTTTTAATGCTTGAAAATCTTTTGACTCTCTGTAGGTGTTTGCGGGCATGTTTCCATCAGAGCAGTCAGAGTTTCCCCAGATGAGAAGTGCAATAGAGAAACTTACTCTGAATGATCGGAGTGTGCAAATCAAGATTGACAATAGGTTAGAGATCTTGAAAATTAAATTTTCCTTTATTTGAGTGGCATATTTTGAAGAACTTAAACATTTTTCTGTTTTATAGTACAACCATATAGGAAGCAATACTCCTTTAGGGCCCAAGCCTCATTTGGGGTCCTATTCTCATTCATAGTTCAATCCAAATTAAGTTTTAATTCTTATGTACAAACAAAAATTTCTCCAAATGTATATAAATTATGTTCATTTCTTAAGATGAAAAAAAAACCAACCCACCCATTTCATATGGTTTAACTGGTCACATTTCTTCCATTTTCTACTTTCAAATTCTCTTTGTATTCCCTTCCTACCTTACAGACGATATGAAAATTTAAAAATTTAGATTTTTCGTATTGAAAATTTAAGTAAACACCAGAAGAGTCATCTTAGAATGTTTAATACTATTTTTGTGTTAGCCACTATGAATAGAGTTGTAATTAAATATAATAGCCAAGAAAACATTCAATTGTACCAGTCCTGCTCTAGGTCAAGGCTATCGCCTCGGTTTTCTGGGCCTGCTACACATGGACGTGTTCAATCAACGATTACAGCAAGAATTTGATGCCTCTGTCATTGTAACAGCACCTAATGTGGCCTTTAAAGGTTGGGCGACTTTTTTTTCAGAAACAAAAGTAATGTGCTCTTGTTTTAAAAAAAAATTTTTGTTAGGTTTGGAAAGTGGAAAGTAATGGAAATGATATTTAGACTGTGATTTATTATTGGATCAGGTTGAATTAATGGAATCCATTTGAAACTCATGCAAACCTGAAGAATGCTGACTGAATGAATTTTTGTTTTATTTGTGAATACTATAAATAGCTTTTGTGTACTCTTCAGTGAAAATAATTGGGGAGAAGAACATCAAGCATTATGGCTCTAATGAAATAACTGTTCTTAATCCATGTTTGGTGAGTACTTTCTTTGTTCTGAAGAATATTTAAAAAAAAAAAAATACTTTGGCATTGTTTTTTCCTTTGACGTTCAGAACCATATAAATGCTTACAAAAGGGCAGTGACATTTTGTAAATTCTGATTTAATTGAAGGATTGTTCACTCCTGTTTCAGAATGAAATTATATGAGCATTGTTTGATACAATAGTTTTTTTTTCCCCTTAACTCTTTCGATGCGGAACAACGCACACTGCGTTCATCTGCCATTCTTAAAAGCACAGACCAACGCGCTGTGCGTTGTTTCAATATCATGTCTCTTCGCTATTTCTCGGTTAAATTTTTTAAGAGCTATTTTTAAATAAGACTTTTACATAGAAGAGTGGTACTTCATTGTTTACAAGCGAAACCAAGGTTTATTTGTTGTCATTTGAAGCATTATTTTGACGATTTTCTTTGGGTTTTTTTTTTCCTACTGTTGCTATGGCTACCCTAGGCCCTAGTGCGTAAGTTTACTAGACGATTAACAGTTAAAAAAGCTTTGGAACTGTTTTATACTATTTCTTTTGATAGTGAAGATGATTTATATTTAGATGCATTACATGATTCCGATAATAGTAGTTTTAGAGGAAATGAGTTATAGAAGTGAAGATGAGGTATGCGTACATTATAGGGTTTGGGGAAAAATGGTTTAGCATAAAATGTTTTCACATTTTATGTTTTTTTTCTGTATCTTATTTTATTTAAAGTGAAGAAATAAGTGTACAAACATTTAGTCCTTTCAATTACCTTTCATTTGATACTAAGTTTAGTCTTATAAACCAAAGAATATTATTTAAAATATTTTTTTAAAACCCAACCTCTCACTCTTTTTCCGCAACGAAAGAGTTAATTCTTTCTATCTGTGCTAGTGCTGAGTCTGAGAAAAATGTATAAATATGATTAGCTATTGACACTTTCAAAGTAAGAAGATTGGACATTTTAACTAAAAAAATTATGTTCTTGCTATCTAGCATCACTGTAGAGTTGGAAATCCTCAGTCATTTACAATGTTTTATAAGTTAATTCATCGAAATACTTCCAGGACTAAGACATAGTATCCTTACAGCAACCTATTCCCTATTGCTTAAATTAAGAGACCAATATCCAAATTAAATCAAATTTATTTCATCAACAAGAGGGGCATATTGTTTTTGAATTAATATTTTGATGAAGTATTTCCGATGTTTTATTTAATCAATATCCATATCAGGAAAATTAATCAAAAGAAATTTCGTAGACGGTAAATTGATCGACGGTAATTTGATCAAATGGAAATTTGGTTGAACATTTTTTTCAGTTTTTACGTTAAAATTTTGCTTCAAATTTCTTTTTGAACGCATTATTTTGTTTTACTATATAGTATAGTGTTTCAAATGAAATTTGACGAAAATTTTAACGTGTGAACTGAAAAAAAGATTCGACCAAAGATTCTATCAAATTTCCGTCAATCAATTTACCGTCGACGAAATTTCTTTCGATCAAATTTCCGGTAACCGTTTTATTTAATCAATATCATTCAAATAATTTGATAAGTGGATTTGTTTTCTCAGATGCCGATCCCAGAAATAATAACTGAATACAGGGAGCCGATGGTGGATGCTACAGTGATTACTCCTGCATCATACATGGCTTCCATCACTCAGTTATGTTTAGTGAGTAATTTTTAGCTTATAAGATAGAAGTCCTCCACTGCTAAATTATGAGTTTACTGCATCAGATAAGACAAGTTAGATTTAATAATTTACAGTCAATATTTCTCAGACCCTGTTTTTAATATCAGAGAGACAGCTGACAAAGAAGTGATTGTGTAAAATCCTTCGTTATTGTATGTATGAGTGTATGTATGCTCCCTAATTTTGGTACTATTGTTATTGGTATTGTCTAAATCAAGAACGTGACTTTCACAGCTTTCTTAAATGACATAATAAGTTCTGTTTTGCACAATTCACTTATATTAAATTGATCACGGAAAATATTTGAATGTAAAATAATAGCTGCTCCATAGCACATCATTATGTTGCTCAAATTATAATAATATCCTTGGACAATAAAAACATCCATCCATCCCACGGTCGCTGTAGCCCGTGTAGGGCTTTGACCTGCCTCACCACTTCCTTCCACTCAGACTTAACTAATGCTTTTCTATTCCATGCTTGGATTCCCAGTTGCTGTAGATCATTTTCCACATTATCCATCCATCTAAGCCTGGGTCTGCCTTTGAGCCATTTTCCTCTGGGATTTTGGTGGTGGACCCTTTTCACTCCTGTCATTTGGCATTCTTTCTAAGTGTCCCGCCCTGCGTAGCCTGCCCTTTTTTATTTCTGCTACTACCATGGGATCCTGATATAGACAATACAGTTCCTGGTTGGTTCGTATTCTCTATCCATATTCATTCTTTGTAGATAAAGACAGCCTCCTTCATAGCAATCTAATATATCACTCTCTCTCTGTCAGACATGGTTGAACCATTTTCTTGTCTTAGCATGACACTTTTATTTCTTGTGCAAAATCTTGTATTCTCTCGTATCTAAAAAACAATTGTCTTAATACTGAAACGTTTCAGTTTTATACTTGGTGTTCTAAACATTTTGTAGCTCAGCATCTATGTTTTTAAATGTTCATATCAGAATATTTTAACTTATTTTGGTCTATAACCTGTTTTTTGTCAATGATTATCCCCCTTTGCTGACATTTGCATCAACTTGTGCTCTGTAGGATCACAGAGGTAGAATAAAAGACCAATCATATATTGATGACACACGTGTGTTGATCCAAGTAAAATTTCCTTTGGCTGAGATACTTGTAGACTTTTTTGATGAATTAAAATCACTGTCATCGGGCTATGCAAGGCAAGTATTTTCTTACAGATTTCAACCCGATGTCCTTAATGCCTATTAGTTAAACTATCCACCCAAAGTCTTCAATTTAATGCCTTTTAAATAAAATCCCAACCCAATGTCAACTTAATACCTATTTGATAAACTACCAACCCAATGTCAACTTAACACCTATGAGATAAACTACCAACCCAATGTCAACTTAACACCTATTTGATAAACTACCAACCCAATGTCAACTTAACACCTATGAGATAAACTACCAACCCAATGTCAACTTAACACCTATTTGATAAACTACCAACCCAATGTCAACTTAACACCTATTTGATAAACTACCAACCCAATGTCAACTTAACACCTATGAGATAAACTACAAACCCAATCAATGACTTCAGCTTAATGCTGATTAGATAAACTACATATATTGAGAGTTTTAAACAAAATCAAATTGCTAAATAGCCAATCCATATCTATAGGTGATTGAAGACAATAAGATTTTCGCTTAGTAAGGGAAGATACAATAAAAAAAATTATCTGAAATTCAATCTATTAAAATTTGTTAACTGCTGCTGACTTTGGTTCTGTATATTTATATGAAAAGATTGGATAACAAAATGGAAATAATGAGTTTTAGCTACTAAACTACAATTCTTGACTTTAAAAAATGAATTGTATTAATTTGTATAAAAATATATATTAAAAAAAAAAAACAACAATTTTTTTTTTATTTGCAGCTTTGACTATCAGGATGCTGGATACGAAATTTCAGATTTAGTTAAGGTAAGGTATGAGACTCTAAAAAATAAAACATTGTTTTGCTGCTCATTTCCATTTGACTTTCCTAGCATGAAATCTTTAAAAATATTTTGGCCCAAACTTCTCATTTTTTTTAATTGAAAAAAATAAATTGCTGGCAATTGTGCATTATTGTGAGTTCTAAATATACATTTAAGTACTCAGAATAAAGATAAACATTATTTCAGCTTGACTTTACCCTCAATGGACGTGAGGTTGAAGAACTCACAATGATATGTCATGTGTCTCGGGCCAGAGAAACAGCCAGAAGAGTTTGTGAAAAGTTGAAGAACACCATACCTCGCCAACAGTTTGTTATCACTGTTCAGGGTAAGGTCAACCAGAAAGTCATAGCAAGGGAGGACATCAAGGCGTATAGAAAGGATGTCACTGCTAAATGTGTAAGCAAATAAGATTTTTATTTTTTTTTACATGTAAACATTTAACAAAAATGAGATGGTGAAACAAATTGTAATCATAATAAATTTATTTCACAGCTTATGAAATTATACATAATTTTATCAAAAAATCACTAAGGTAAAGTGAAAACATACTGACAAAATGACAAGTGAATCCATGCACTTCAATATTTAAAAAATGAATAGTTTTAATATGAGGCAAATTTAAAAAATGAAAAAAAAAAAAAAATTAAATCCAAATATCTTAACATAATGAGAATAATTTATACTCCCACAACTATATAATACAGACATTTTAATAAATAAAAACAAATTATAATCATAATAAATTTAATTCACAGCTTATGAAATTAAAAAAAATTTTAACAAAAAATCACTAAGGTAAAGTGAAAACATACAGAAAAAATGACAAGTGAATCCATGCACTTCAATATTTAAAAAATGAATAGTTTTAATATGAGGCAAATTTAAAAAATGAAAAAAAAAAAAAAATTAAATCCCAATATCTTAACATAATGAGAATAATTTATACTCCCACAACTATGTAATACAGACATTTTAATAAATACATCATTAGATCACATAAAGCATATGTTCAGCTACATGTGTGTGGACAATATGAAATAAAATCAGAATTGCTTCTTCCAAACAATTGAAGCTAAAGAGCCACTATAATGATTTGTCCAATTATCATAAACAATTGTTGCACACAAACTGTATTAAAAAAAAGTTAACTTAAACTCTGCCAAAAGAAGTCCTACTCAAGGGTGATAATACCATATATTACTGAAATTTTTATATCTCAATTTTGTCTTTTTCAAATGATCTAAAAAAATGACAGGGCCTGTTTGCAATGCTATTTTTAACGAGGTATTAAATTTTATAAACATTAATATATAGGGCTACAGACACCACAACTCATATTATCCACTAGTTTTTTTTTTTTTTGTATTATGTATGCTGCCCAAAAATCTTGACAGTGCTTCGAGTATTTCAGATGATTAACTTAGGGGGGCCACTCATAAATGGGGGTTGTGAGGGGGTCCCCAAAATCGTGTGAAGTTATTTATGGATTATTACAAAAACAATCTCCTCCATTCAAAAACACCATCTGATCTGTGTGTACAACAAGTAGCGTGAATTCAAATAAACTGGAATCCTATCCACCTCTTTTATTAATTTCAAATAGTAGTGTCTCTCTATTTGAAGGTTATTTATTTTATACATTATTATTGTATTGCATTTAATTCAGGTATCTGAAAATGATGGCTTGTAGTTGAAATAACTTCTTGTTGTATCTACGGATAGTTTGTGTCTTTTAAATCACAAACCTCAAAGAAATGACACCTCCATTGTGCATGAACTATAGAAGATTACAATCTGAAAAGTTTATTTGGTTCTTGAATTTTTTTTTATTTCAGTATGGAGGGGACATCACAAGAAAGATGAAACTCTTAAAAAATCAAGCTGAAGGGAAAAAAAAGCTTAGATTGATAGGAAATGTTGAAATACCTAAAGATGCTTTTATAAAAATTCTTAAAAGATAAAATTAAACAATTTACTGAAAAAAATTGTAAGTTTTTTTTAAATTTCATTATTGTGCAGTCATTACTTCGAAGTTGGAAGAGAAATCCATAATTATTATGTATATAAAATACATCCATAAATGAAATTTCTCAATTCTTTAATGCTTAGTATTATTTATTGCAAAAATTTATTGTTGCAATCAATGCTACCAATTAATACAATTATAATGTAATAAATCTTTTTTGAAAGAAATGCATTATGTAATAGGTGTGATTTGTATTCCTTACTAACATAACTCTTATAAACGACATTCAAATAGTTTATCTAAGCAACATGGTTCATTAACTTTTAGTGAAATGCATTTAGAACCCAGAGTGAAATAAAAAAAAACAACTAAAATTTAATTTATGCAGCCTAATCTCTCAAGATAGTAACATTGCAGTTTATATAAACAAAAATTGCTAGCAAAGCCAGAGCATTTCTTTTTGTACCGGTAGTTGGGAAAATGAAGCTCGGTCTGTTGTCACCTATCAAACTATAGGACGGATCCAATCTTTGCAGGTTTTTAATCTGAAACAAATAAAAAAATTGTGGACACACTGGCGTAACACTACATATGAAAGTAGGTCTTAAATCAACCAAAATGTTGAATGACTAAACATATTGCATATACAGTAGACCAAACTAGTTCAATAACTGAAGGATAATATATGCAGACTATCTGAAAGGTTCAGTGAACATCTTTTGCCCATTGAACAAAACAAGCCATTCCCAGTCTCATCCCATTTCAATGGAGGTGAAAACAAGGGCACATCAGATGTATCCATCACTGCTCTTATTTCTTGCATCAATACTTCAGCGAGAGTGAAGAATGAAAACAAATCAAAGATTTTCGCCACTAAATAACCGTATGGAATCAATTTAAAAAACTCACTTACTAATGATCTTTTATATTCCTCCATTTCTCTTCTCATTTTTTTTACTGTTTACAATTTTACATTAATAATGCTTAAATTCTTTTACCGTTATTAGTACGCACCTTAAAATAATGGGGGACGCTTGTTTTGGTTTGAACAACTTAACTTCCGTTTCTAACAATTGAGTAGAGCGCGTCCTATTCTGAACATTGAGCTACATTGATTTTATTGAAATATTTGAACACGTTTTTTAATTAATCTTTCGATTATTGTATAGTATTGTCTGCTGAAGAAGGCATCTAGCTGAAACGTCTGTTTAATTGTCTTGTCTTTTAGTGGCAAGTCTAAACATATCTTGTTCCACTATTTATTTACTTCAGTAACTAAACACAGCTCTTATGGCTGATTTCATCCATTATTAGCTCAGGCATTTATTTAAATCTTTGTAAGAAGAATGAAGAACTAATAATCCTTAGCACAGTAACTTACAAGTACTTGCTTCATCATTGGAATCTCTCTCATCCATCATGTCGGTGTCGGGATCATCACTTTCCTCTTCCTCTTCACATTCTTCCTCATCTTCTTCTTCCTCCTCCTCCTCTAAGTGCTGCAAAATAAACATTGGTCACATCTTATTGTTGGTGTGTTAAAGAATATATGTTTCAAATTCTAAGCAGTGTTGATAAGTGGACAATATACACCACTATCATAAGACCAGTAGTAACATACGCTAGTGAGACTTTGTCCCTTACCAGAAAAACAGAGAACCTGTCAATACATGGGAGAGGAAAATCCTCAGGAAAATATATGGCCCACTGATAGACAATGATGTTTGGAGAATCTGTACAAACCAAGAGCTATATCAATTGTACAAAGACCCATGCATAGTTGCAACAATAAAAAAAGGCAGACTACGCTGGACAGGACATATTGAAAGGATGCCGGATTGTATAGCAGCAAAAGTGATATACAGGCAGAAATCTAGAAATCACCAGTCGATCAAGACTGAGATGGATCAATAATGTTACACCAGTTGGGGGTTCGCACATGGAGGTGGAAAGCCATGGATTGATCCGAATGGAAGGATGTGGTGGAGTGCCACTGATGATGATATTGATAAGTGGGGATGTTTTTACATGTATGGGAGACATAAGGTCTAATTTTAAATGGAAGTTAGTGCCTGTAGTGCTTCAATGTATGTGATTTTCTAGTCCCATTTCAAAATTAAAAATTGAAGTCTACAACTTTTAAATTTGTAATACTACTTGAGAGATAAAGAAATCAAAACATAAAAGGCAAAATTTAGTCACCCTTCATAATTTTTAATAGGCATCTGTGAGCTTACCTCTGATGATTTCCCAATGGGAACAATGTTATTGTCTTTCATAGCAATTGCACTCATCTGTTAAAAGATTCATAACATAGATAATGTATTTAATAATTTTTTTAAAATGTAAACATTTATAGTTTTCAACAAACTCATTATTTTTTTTTGAAAGAGATATCACCTTGAAAATGCAGCTGAAATAATAGTTTGCTAATGCTTGTATCAATTTAAAACTTTTAGCATCTCCTACCAGTAGGCTCATTGTCACTGAGGGACATCATTTTTCTTTAATAAATAAAGAATAATGAATAAACAATAAGCCAAAGCTCTTTGCCAACAAAACTGTTTATCTCCCAAATATGTGCCAAGAAATTTCATAATAATGGGATCATAAAAAAAGCTATACAAGTCTATATGTTAAAGGCTTCATACATACTCTACACTTTTCAGTGAACATATAACACTGGCTACTACACAAACTTCTAGGCTGCTACTACTAACTACTATTGAGCACTTCTAACTAGTGCTATGGAAGATAAAGGAGTAAGTGATAAAGTATTGTTAATGTTAAGGTTAAGAGTTAAAAGAACTTTAGAACTACCATAGAACTCAACAAGTGACTAGAGTCTGAGTAGTTAGTAGTTACACTAGACTGGGGTTGCTAAGTAACATTTCAATTGTAGCGAGGAAAAGTGATTTGCTCACAGTAATCACAATGCATATAAAACAAGCAAGGTCAGCAGCAAGGGATTATTATATTATAAATATTTATACATTTTCAAAATTTATTCATTGGGGACATTAAACATTAGATTAACATATTACTTTAATTTTTATGATATTGATTATCAATAATTTAATCGAAGTGTCTACACAGCGGCGCCGGACAAATAGTGCGGGAGATAAGCGTCCGGCGGGAATGTCAAGTGACCGCCAGACGACTGGAAGGCGTTATTATTCTTGCAGGTCATGTGACAAGTGGTCGCCGGCAAAATAGTTGCATTGCATTTGATATTCCGATCCCTAGATAATAAATGAATGCTGAACATGTTAATATATTCAAATGCACTGAGATACATAAAGTGTTTGACTTTGAATATTAAACTAATCGGCCTATATACTAACTAGTAGAACTATTACTACTACTATTACTAGTCTATTTGATTCGGACTCTTCAAAGAAAAAAGTCCTTTATCTTGGTTAAACATCTTGTACAGCTCGACCTAAATTTAAAATATGAACAAAAAAATGAGACCAGTAGACTTCAATAGATCTATGTCAATAAAGTTGTATTTTAGGATTAGTATTGCATGAGAAGTAGGCTAGGCTACCACTATATCGGCCCTATATTAAGATGTAGGGTCTATTTCTTTGTGAACTATCTGCCTCCCCCCCCCCCTTAAATTAATTATTTATCACCCTCACTATTATTTTTTTAGCATTAATATTTTTTATTACCATAATTCTCTCTCCCTCTCAGTATTGCATTTTTTTTGTTACCTTCCTCCCTCCCCCCCCCCCCTTAAATTAATTATTTATCACCCTCACTATTATTTTTTTAGCATTAATATTTTTTATTACCATAATTCTCTCTCCCTCTCAGTATTGCGTCCTTCTAGAATGCATTACCGGTATTGCTTAACTCCCACTTTGTTTTGGTAATATACCCAAGCATTTTTTTCTATTATTTCTTTGCAAGATACTCATTACATTATTTGGCAGAGAAATCGATTTTAAAATTAATAATGGTTTTTGAATCATTCGTGGTCATGTGACAAGGCTGACGGACAAATATCTCGCGTCACTTTGTTACGGCGGACATGTGACTTGGTCGCTGGACAAATAGTGCAGGAGATGTACGTCCGGCGCCCCAGACGTGAAGACACTGCCTAATTTATTTTATGGCTTAACTAAATTCTAACTCACAAGTTACTCATTTAGTACTACTAATGTCTAATAGACTTCTAATTCTAATATTTAAAAAAATTAAATTACAAAGAGTAGAAAGAAGGCAACCATATAATTTTTAATTTTAATGACTATACTGTAAAAAAGTATTAGCATTTGTTTTTCCAATTTTACAATGCACTGAACTGTTTTGTTAGTCATTAGTCAAAATAATGCGTTGGGAGTGCGAGACTTAAACTATTCACGATGTAGTGTTAAAGTGAAGAATGTGAAAGACAAAAATAGTTGGCAAAACCCTATACTCTTCTTATAAATATAATTATAAAGTATAATCATTATCTCATAATGTATAAAGAAGTATAAAGTTGTAGAGTTCAAATATTTATTTCCTCAAATTACAATAAATTAACTGAGATGAATTTAATTTCACAACCACCTGTCAAAAATTGATTTTATTGTTATAATTTTAAAAAAAAAATAATGTATTATTATTTTTTTAAAAATAATACCGCCTTAATCTTAAATCTTAATGGACGACTGAGCGAGTTTTCATTGAGTGATGTTTGTTATTAAATTAACAACAAACTAACCCAAGCTTGATGCCTTTCTTCAAGAAGTGTGAGCTCGTTCTCGTCATCTCTAGGTTTATCAACGTTGAACCATAAGGAATCTTCAACTCTGGGTAAAGGTGAAGGAAAATATGGATTTGACATGACTTAAAAACAACATACAAGCTCACTCTTCCGATGCTAAAATAAACATGAATTAGCTCGCGGTAAATCTATTTATCAAAATATAAAACACTTCAAAATCATTATGAGATATATTTTTTTTTCAGTTCCCAATAAAAACAGACATGAGTTTCACATGAGAAAAGTAAAAGAATTAGAAGCAAAACGTGTTTAATCAGTTTTATAATGCATATAATATATAAATTAGATCTGAGAGGTACCTGAAGCATTCCGAGTATAAAATTACATCAAGCAATAATGCATCTGATGCCTTCATTATTCATAATTGCGTTTACTTTCATGCTGACCGATGCTGTATTGTGTGGTATTTAGCCTTACCAAGGAAGGTAACTCAAAAGTAAATAGCTTTTTAGACCAATGTACCACATTTAATAAAACCACATCATAGTGCTCACCGCTGTAAAATGTCATCGGAATTAAAACAACGAAAGGCTTTATTTCATTTATCTTTTCCCCTTATGGGAAAGATTGTTTGTGGTCTACCTCTTTTTGCAACTTTCTTTTGTGTTGTGTGGTCAGTTTTTTATGATTTTGAAAAGTCTACTGCTACACATTGTAAGGTAAGTTGGCTTGGCCATTCATCAGGAACTGCACTCACATTTCATCCAAAAGTTATCAGTTTCTTTCTCATGTTGATTAAAAAATTAAGGGTATTATTTTAAAAAAAATAATAACAATAAAATCAATTTTTGACAGGAGGTTGTGAAATTAAATTCATCTCAGTTAATTTATTGTAATTTGAGGAAATAAATATTTGAACTCTCAAATTTAAAGAAATCTAAATATATTTTTTTTCTTTTGCAGGTCAGAAACTATCTTCCTTCTATTAGTGCAGCCATTGGTGGATTTACTCCGCAGAGATATGTTTGGCGAGTTTGCATAGCTCTTCATGCTACACCTCGGTTTATGATTGCTGTTGCCTATTACAACTTTCACACATCAGTGAATGTAGGAAAAAACAATGAGCTCTATAAAGGCATAGCTGCTTTGACTAGTCTCTGCCATATTATAGAGGTTGGTGCCCTGGTTGGCCTAACTTATATTTCGTCTTCTGAGAATCATGGTATGTTTTTATCATCTTATTTTCCTTTTTGTTTAGCTTCTATATGTTTCTTCATCTTATGCAAGTGAAATATTAATGTTAAAAATTAATTGTTATGGGAATAATTGACTGTTTAGTTTTAATATATTTGATTTCTGAACAGATCTCCATGAGAATCTCTTCATCTTGTTCATGTCAAGTGCTTTGATCTACATGATTCTAACAATATTTCTTTTCACCTGGGGACGCACACAAAGTGGAACGATTATGTCATCTGAGGTTAGCAAATACCTTAATTAATCTTGGTTAATTTATATTGTCCATTTTAATGTGAGAGTTCAGTTTTTCTACTGATGGTGAGACTCAGAGAAGGATAAAATCAAACAAGTTGTTTTTTTAACTGTAATGTTGATGGCTACAGGCTTTGAGTGTATTTTTTTTTTTTTTTTCTTTTTACATTTTTAATTTTCTACTGATGGTGAGACTCAGAGAAGAATAAAATCAAACAATTTGTTTTTTTAACTGTAATTTTGATGGCTACAGGCTTTGAGTGTATTTTTTTTTTTTTTTCTCTGTACATTTTTAGTGATCACCAGTGGCATTGGGTTAGTTCATGATTAAATGTCATGGTGGGATACACAACCTGAAAGCAGATGTGTACTGCTTCTTTAAGGTATTTAATTTTTACCTATCATGTCAATGAAAACAAATGAATAGTCACGAAAAGGGATATTAGTGTCACTATTGAACATTTATTTCTATTTTAGGAGATTAGGTCCTTGTGGTGGAAGAGAATGCTATTTGCTTTGAACATCTCGATATTTTTCATCTCTGTCTACATTTACTTTAGACATAATTGGTATTGTGAACATGGGGGTAAGTTCATTGGATAGAAAGAATTTATTTAAAGATTTTATGTGATTTTTAAAAAAAAAATGTTTAAAAAAAACTTAGAAATGGAAAATAAGACCTGATTGTCCAATTTGCTTTTCAGTGAATCACATGAACCAAATTTTAGCTGGTATTAACAATATCAGTTAAAACAATTGTATAAAATTTGTAATCAGATTTAATTGATTATTTACAACACTCGGGAATAAAGAGCATTAAAAAAAACACAAGCTACTGTACATAATATATGAAATATTTCTTTTGTTCTTATTCACCTTGTTTAAAGCTTTGAGGACAGTCAGAGTTTCAATTTGTAAACATTTAAAAAAAAAACCTTGTTAAAAATCTTACCTTGAGCTCATTCTTTTATGATAAAATTTTTTTATTTTTCAAATACATTATTTGCTCCTTTGCCTTCCCTACACCTCCAGTGTACACAGCGTTTGCTGGTTGTGAATACCTTGTGATAGTCACGAACATAGGCTTTCATGGCACAGCAATAATTGATTTCTCCCCCTATTCGCTGGCTTATGCCCAAACTAGCCTAATAGCTGAACGACTGCACCCATTGCCCAGCACCAAGTTTAAACCATCCTAGGTGTGTTTTTTTTTTTTTGTTGCTTTTTTTTTTTTTTTTGTTGCTTTTTTTTTTTTTAAAGTCTTGTTTGCTTCCCTAAGTTCTGTCACTTTCTTTATAAAACGGGAATACAAGGCAAATTAAATTTTAACTTTTTTCTTGTTTGACTTCAAAATATTAAAGAAATTAACAGTGTTAGATGAGGAAATTTAAAGCTCATTTGAGTCTAGCAGATTGCTACATACTTAATACTTGTTGAAACAGAGCGCCACATAATAATACGTTGAAAAAGAACCTAATTTTTTTTCATTGCTACATAGTTTGGTCGTTAAATTATAACCATTTTATTTTTGCTGCCAAGACAACACTTTTTGAACTGGAGCCAATTTTAATGCTAAATACTACATATATAATACTTGTTGAATATAGACCAATTTTAACACAAATCTTATTTCTTTAAGTTGATTTTTATTCTGATGTAAGCACAAAGGTAGTTTAGATAATGGTAGTTAATGTAAGTCTGCCAAATAGTTTAGATAGTTAATGTAGGTCTGCCAAATTATATTTGTGGCATTATAAAACCAACAAAGTTGACATTTTTCCTTGTTTTTATACCATTTATTTTAAGAAACTTTATACTGCTTCATTTTCCAGATGTTCTAGCTTTCAAAAAGAATAAAAAATTATCCCATGTCATTACTATTAATATTAAGATACAATAAAATGAATTTTCAAGTTAAAATTTCAAAAACAATATGTCTTCTATTCATTGTGAAGCACCAAAGGTTATTCAAATACAGTTAACAATCATGCGACTCTCTTTATTGATTCAAGTCTGAGGATTTTTTTTATTATTAAAAAATTATTTTTAAAGAAATTGGAAACGCACTCATGTCAAAGCCATTACAATAGTTTTTTTTGTCCTTGATTTCTTCTCCTAGTGTACACATTGTTTGCCGCCTGTGAGTATGCTGTCGTGGTGACCAACATTTCCTATCATTACACATCTGTCCTGGACTTCAGATCTTTTAGAATTGCCCTTGTAAATGGTGCTTCTGGATTTTACAGTGACGGCTGGGCATCAAAAGGCAGCTACTTACCTCTTTGAATGTTTTCTTTTTAATCGTTATTTGTGATAATTGAGGCTTTTGAAACCATAATTATAAATAATGTTTAGTGGAGCTGTGTGGTCGAAAACATATTTGCATCAAACTTATGTCTCTCCAACTTCAACAGGTTGTCATGATGTTGTTGTTTTCTCCCTTGAATACAAATTGACCCCCTGATCATTTTAAACAATTTAATGTAAAATTTTCTAATTGTCTTATGTGGAGAAAGAAATGTGTACAACACTGCCTCCAGAAAAAGAGCCCTTACTCTTGACTTGACAGCCCCCTAGTGCATAGCATACTGTTCAAAATTTTCTGGCTTATATCCTGATAAATATGAGACAAGTCTCCAGCTTTCAATAGAAACTTATTGGATAAGTTAGATTTGTATTATTGTTTTAGATTTTACAATGAATAATTATAAACCACGGAAATTGTTTCATGTTATGTTTTTTAATTAGTGTACATTAGATGGCAGCATTTGAATGCTTACCAATGCAAATTGTACAGATTAAATTTAGAAAAAAAAAGTAGTTGCTTTCATCCTCCTAAATTCCTCTAGTGATGCCAGCAGCTCTGTGTTACAGTTACAGCTGGTCAATGAAATAAAAATGATTTTTGGCCTCTTTTTGATTGATTTTTCTGATGTCATACACATTGATTTTGTTCTTTGAAATGTTTTATAGATGTTAAATTATGTTTGCTTCTTAACTTGTTGAAAAAAATTATTTAAACTAACAGTATGTTAAATTAATTTTATATATATATATATATATATATACACACACACACCATTTACGCTGATACTTATTATGAAAATTTATTTTTTTAATATGAAAAAACGAATAGTCTTCCTTTAACAGGGTATAAAAAATTGTTGCCTGTGTGGTAAGACAACACATAATTGTTTTGTTGCTTTGAAGAGACTGTCATGTAACAAAAAAAAAATTACATGCAATTAAATATGTTTACTTAAATGTATTATACCATAATGAAAGTTATGCTGCAGAGTTTGAGAAAATAGTTCTGAATTCAGCTGAAAAGATGGGGGCTAATAACAGAACAGAAAACTCATAGAACAAAATCTCTTGACAATTTTTCTTCTATGTAATCCTAGTGTGTAAGAAATTGCCACCCATGAAGCCTCTTAGCAGCGGTTATGGCTCCTGTCACGGAGCTGTGTACCTTTGGGGCTGGAACCCAAGGATTGAATTTATAAATCATTCCATCACATTATAAGTCGCATAAAATGTTCTTAAATTTGTGTCAAATGTGGAAACTGTAAAAATGTGGCTCTACTCTAAGGAGGCTAGTATCTCATACCGCCCGAGCTTGTGCATGTAGATAATCATGTCATTTGAATTGAGGGCAAGGATAACAGATATGGAAGCATCTGGTAAGGTTGTTGGTAAGGACTGGGTGAGCAGAACATCACAAGAAAGAGACCACAAAGATCTGTCACATCTTAAGTGAAGGTTTTGTCACATGTCGTCAACTGCAGGTCACCACAATTAAACGTTATCATAACTTAATTTCTCAGTGAATTGTTACTTTTTAGAGGTAGAAGTCATTTTGTGTTTTTGTATTAAAAAATGAATATACATTTTTTTAAAACAAATATTTAAACTGTTCTTTTTTTCTTTTCCAACAAAACAAACAATGAAATAAATGGCATCGATAAAAATAGATTTATTAGGGCATCAAAGAACAAGTGGTAAACTGTAGATATCTGAATGCTTTCTGATGAGTTCACTGCACTAGTGATTAGTGTCACAGTAAAGCTTGGTTCTAAAAGTCTCCCTCATGCAAACTTTCTGATAGTTTTTTTAGAACTGGCTTGAACCAACTACCTGCATACACAACTGATAATGCTTTAAATTGTGTGAAAATGCTGAGAACAACCATGAGCCACCACCAGTCTTTTAAAGTTGACAAATTTACCCACAAGGTGCATTAATTACCCAAAAGAAAATTTTTTGGTTCCATTTATTTTGCAACACAGCATAAAAGATTAAAAATATTCATTGTATTATTAAATGCATACACTTGCTGCACATTTTAAGATCACAGGTTTCAAATAAGTACACATTTGTTAAATATAGTGTGTATGTAAACATAGGATGGCAGTAAATGAATGGAATATAAATAAGTCATAGATGTCACAAAACAATCATCTTTTATAATCATAGTCTCTCACTCTCAATAAAATAAAAACATAGCAAACTGGGCTTAGGTATATTGGGGAAAATTCTTCTGGGGGCTGATTAATTCAAATAAAATGTTAAAGAGTTTAATATAAACCTTCATAATTATTATTACATGGATAAAAACCACACAAAAATCCCACCCCCAAAAAATCATAGTAAAACAAAAATGCTGTCATGCTTGTATGGACTGAAATAATATGGACTACATTTATGCCAATAATTACAAAAGCTCAGAAAACAAGCTTATAAAACTAAACAGTCAACCATTTTTTACCTTGAAAAATATGTGAACATTGCTCAGTTTAACAAGTAGCATACATCACTCATTAAGTTGAATCACTCTAGGGCAGAAATGCCTCTCAGCTGGCCCATGATGCTGAAGGCTTAACTTAATTCTGGTTGTAAATTTGTCAGAATTTTATGATTTTCTAAAACAAGATGATTTTGTTAGATGGTATGACATCAGACAACCAAGATAATCTGTGTTAGGTTCGGTTGGCTTGCCTTCCATGTTGGAGGCCCATGTTTATAAAAATTCAGCACTTAATTTAAAAAAAAACAAAAACAAATTTATTGGGACTAAATCAACATCTTAAAAATGTTAAGTTATATATCACCTTAACAGCTAGTAGATTGCCTCGTTTATTCACGGCCTGGGTTTTAAGCTATTCAAAAATCATAAGCAAAAAAAAAAAAAAAACCAGGGAAAAGACAGAAAATAATGAGTCTTTGCATTGACAATGTTATGGACGCATTGACAATGTTATGGACACATTTGCCATAAACCCGTGGGAGAATTAGAATGGCTCTATAAAACCAAAGCAAAATAGGAATTGATGAAAATTTGAAGATGTCACCTAAAGATAAAATTCATTCTTTCTCGAACTCTCCAATAAGCAAAATGAAAACTTATTTACCTGAAGGCAAAATTTTGACATTGGCTCCTACTCCTAGAAAATCTAAGAACAGTGACAGTAGGGAGCTTTTTTTAAATTTCTGCATTTAAAATTCAAATTGTTGACTTGTTACTTTTCAGTCTATCAAAATTGCCAAGTATCCCATTGGCATATTCTGAATCATCAAGTATCCCATGAGCATATTCCAAATCACCAAGTATCCCATGAACACTTCCAAATCACCAAGTATCCCATGAGAACTTCCAAATCACCAAATATCTCATGAGCATATTCCAAATCATCAAGTATCCCATGAGCATATTCCAAATCACCAAGTATCCCATGAACACTGCCAAATCACCAAGTTTCTCATTAGTACCTCCAGTTGCAGAATAAAACCTCCCTATGCAGACAAAAAGACCGAGTCAAGGTCTTCAGTTATCATAACTGTTGTGCTCTGGTATACACAAGCCTGGACTGGAACTGGAATACAAAATAAATACAAACATTTCATGTGATTTATTTCAACATTATGGTTTTAAAAAAAAATATACCCACAATTTTACAGGTTCTTAATTTGAAACATCACAAACAACACTTATGATAAGGAAAGAATTCAGTGGGTACTCAACCTTTCAATCAGAGACCAGTCATCATCACATACTGACCCAGGAGTCTTAGTGGGCACCAAAAAGCCAAGACTAAAACACTTGGAAATATAACAATAAGCCCTCATTGACACATTGAAATATACCAATAGGCCCTCATTGACAATGAAATATACCAATACGCCCTCATTGAAATATGCCAATAGGCCCTCATTGACACACTGATAGACTGATGACCTAAGATCTGCTAAAATTCTTACCCATTTAAAGATGTAGATTCAGACTGAATTTTGACAGATGTAAAATGGGTATATAAATCCTAATTGAAGCTCATTTACATAGTGTTCTCCCTTTGGTTCTCTTAAAATGATTAATTGTATTTTAATGAACTCAATGCCATGCTCGGCTAAAGAAATATCAGTAGGTAAATATTTTTTAGTCGGGAGGTGGCTAATGTTAGCTAAGATATTGCAAATAAACATAAAGATTTAAAACTTACCATTGTGCTGTGCCAACCATGTGGTGATTATATTGTAGAAATAGACTTTGTGACTTGAATTGCTTTTTGATATTGCTGCTGCTCACTGACCAGCACCGTTTGCCCTGGGAGGTCAGATTTATCATGTCCGGGGTGATCATGCTCATTCAGATAATAATCAGAGTGGTCCAGCAGACTGTATCGTGAGAAATGACTGACCTGTTAATAACAAAAACACTTCCGTCATAAATGCTGTCATATAGAGAGAGAGAGAAAAAAAAAGGAACATTTTTTATTTCAGAGACCAGTTTTCATGTGCTACAAAAACACGGCGGACAATTCTAATGCAGAATGTTTCAGGGTAGGTACAAACCACACAACAGACCAAGCAATGAAATTTATCAAGGTAAAAATTGCACAGATCTACACCCTTTACCTCCACACACTTAATTTCTCACACGTCTCATTTCTTAAATATGATATGAAACTACAAAACATTATTTCATTTAAAGCAAAAATGTTGAACTCGACTACAGCACTAAATATATCTGCACAGTTAAGGTCTCTTTTTTATGTCTCTCTGGGCAAAGTTTAACATACATGGAATGGTCTCAAAGTGTATCAATAAATGCATTATAGTTTTCATCAAACCATTCATATAGACCTTATTTTAAAATAACACCATTCAGAGACCAGAGGATTAGGCTTTCAGCTCTAACTTTATCAACATGCACCACATCAGAGGATTAGGCTTTCAGCTCTAACTTTATCAACATGCACCACATCAGAGGATTAGGCTTTCAGCTCTAACTTTATCAACATGCACCACATCAGAGGATTAGGCTTTCAGCTTTAACTTTATCCACATGCACCACATCAGAAGATTAGACTTTCAGCTTTAACGTTATCCACATGCACCACATCAGAGGATTAGACTTTCAGCTCTAACTTTATCAACATGCACCACATCAGAGGATTAGGCTTTCAGCTCCAACTTTTTCAACATGCACCACATCAGAGGATTAGGCTTTCAGCTCCAACTTTTTCAACATGCACCACATCAGAGGATTAGGCTTTCAGCTCCAACTTTTTCAACATGCACCACATCAGAAAAAAAACCTTCTCACCTCGAAAACCCAAGAGCCAGTCTCCATCCTGTAGTCTATGAACTTTGCTCCAATTATTTCAGTTATGGCTTCAATCTTGTCTGTGTAGTTCATTAGTTGTAATCTTTCTGGACTCTGAAAGTATTAAAATTGACCATTTTAGACTGGTTTCATAGACTGATAATCTGATACAAGTTTACTAAAGTCCATGTCATTGACAGAAGAACCTCTCTTAGCTATACATTCTTTACAAAAATTACTTGTTATTCTTTATCAACATTTCCAAATGGACAAGGGGAGCCTCTAGAACAGCGGTTCTCAACCTGTGGGTCGCGACCCCTTTGGGGGTCGCACAACCCTTTTCCAGGGATCCCCTAAGACCAACTGAAAACACAAACGCTCTACAGTTAAGAAGGAGAAACGAAAATATTTTGTGGCTGGGGGTCGCCACAACAGGGTAAGCTCTATTAAAGGGTCGCGGCATTAGGAAGGTTGAGAACCACTGCTCTAGAAGATACTCTACAATCACTTAACTTTGTACTCAATGACAAATTTCTGGTTTATGAAAAGTTTGGTATTGCTTCAAATCCACAGATGAATATTTTATCCTTCTATATCGATGTGCTTTGAGATATTATATTTCTATATCGATGTGCTTTGAGATATTATCTTTCTATATTGATGTGCTCTGAGATATTATCTTTCTATATTGATGTGCTTTGAGATATTATCTTTCTATATCAATGTGCTTTGAGATATTATCTTTCTATATCGATGTGCTTTGAGATATTACCTTTCTATATCAATGTGCTTTGAGATATTATCTTTCTATATCGATGTGCTTTGAGATATTATCTTTCTATATTGATGTGCTCTGAGATATTATCTTTCTATATCGATGTGCTTTGAGATATTACCTTTCTATATCAATGTGCTTTGAGATATTATATTTCTTTATTTTTTATGTGCTTTGAGATATTATCTTTCTATATCGATGTGCTTTGAGATATTATCTTTCTATATCGATGTGCTTTGAGATATTATCTTTCTATATCGATGTGCTTTGAGATATTATCTTTCTATATTGATGTGCTCTGAGATATTATCTTTCTATATCGATGTGCTTTGAGATATTACCTTTCTATATCAATGTGCTTTGAGATATTATATTTCTTTATTTTTTATGTGCTTTGAGATATTATCTTTCTATATCGATGTGCTTTGAGATATTACCTTTCTATATCAATGTGCTTTGAGATATTATCTTTCTATATCAATGTGCTTTGAGATATTATCTTTCTATATTGATTCGCTTTGAGATATTATCTTTCTATAATGATGACCATGTTTACCTGGATAGGAGTTTTACTGGTCTTGTCCATTGGCCACACATATTCCAGGGTGACCTCAGCCTTCTTGTTCAGCCCCTGGCCTAGCGGTGGTTTCCTGTCATCATCTGGATATATCACTATTTCTTTTCGTCTGAAATGAACTAATGATGGACAGAGAAATGTGTTATATTTATTTAAAAAATATTTGTTTCATATTGTCCACTAAATCAGGAATTTTGCCATTTAGATTTTAATTACATTTTTTAAGTCACTTTAGGCACGTCTTCCAAAAAAAAAAAAATATTTGAAAAAATGAGCACATATTTTCGACATAAAGAAATAAAATAATACTAATTATGGGTGTAAGTGTAATAATAGAAAGCTTTAGTAAAATCGACCCTCTATTTTGATACACTTTTTTTTTCCATTGAATGATGACTGTTTACCATGTCATTGGTTCTATATCTGACTTGGTTTACAGCTAAATGGGTCACTTGATAAACTTAAGGATTTTCCCTCAGTTCAGAAATGCTAGAAATAGATGAATTTTTCACTTCATTAAGACTGAATTTTATATTTTAGATTAAAAACTAGCTAGCAATGTCATCGCTACAGACAAGCTAGCAATGTCATTATTACAGACTAGCTAGCCATGTCATTACTATAGACTACAACAAATGGAATCATTGCAGAATATCCAGCAATATCATCCCTACAGACAAGCTAGCAATGTCATTATTACAGACTAGCGAGCCATGTCCTTACTATAGACTACAACCAATGTCATCACTGCAGAATACCTACCCATGTCATTACTATGGACTACAACCAATATCCTCATTACAGAATTATCCACCAATGTCATTACTATAGACTACAACCAATGTCATCACTGCAGAATACCCACTGATGTCATTACTGTAGACCAAGGGTCTACAAACTTTTAAGCCAGAGCGCCGCATTTACTATCAAACAGCAGTTTGGGGGCCGACTACACACTCAGGGTCCAAAAAAAAATAATATATTAACAAGGATGTTTTTAAAATGTATTTATTTAATATTATTTTATTCAGTTATTATTTAATTACACATTGATACACTACACATGAACACCCATATTAGAAGGAATGGTGAAATTTTGACATTAGGAAAGTCTTCCTTGGGCAAAATGTGGTAACAACCCACCAGTCCTTTGAAATAGTCCCTAAGGGGGTCATTTGCTTGCAACTCAATGACCTCCAGCTGCAGTTCAGTTGGGCAACTGACCACATCTGCTTCAAATGGGTTTTGAAACAGTCTCACATATTCTGCCTTTGAATCCAAGTCAGAAAACCGCAGCTGAAACTGCAGCTGGAGGTCTTTGATGATCTAACATGCAAATGATGTGGGGAACTCCGCTGTTGTTTCAGCCATGTAGACCTTGAAGAACTGCTGAAATTGCGTCAAGTTATGGTCTGTACTTGTTCCAAAAACAAGACGAGTTTAGATCTGAAGGCCTTTAGGTGGGTGTATAGATCAGAAACTAGATTTTCCTCTCCTTGTAGTTTTAGGTTCAGAAAATTTAAATGACTAGTTATGTCTGCAGCAAAGACCATTTTCCATACCCACTCTTCATCAGACAGTAATGGCTGTTGCTTGCCTTTACTTTCCAGGAAGTCACCTATTTCCTTTCTTAACTTAAATGCTCTGCTCAGAGCTTTCTCACAACTTAGCCATCTTACTGCTGTGTAATATTGTAAATCTTGCAATTCTGTGTCTGTTTCTTTCAACAGATCTCTGAAATGTCTATGATTGAGCCCATGTGACCTTATTAAATTCACCATCTTCACCACCGGATTCAGTAAGTTGCTAATGTCCACATATTTAGCACATGACGCTGGCTGGTGAATAATACAGAGCAGGAACATAAGTAGTTAATGCCACTCATCTTCTTTCCTCCATCAACAGTCAGGCACCTGAGGTTAGTCCAGTCCAGGTTATAATCAGAAAAATGTTTTTTTCAACTCATTGAATATATCCTCTCCGGTAAAAGTGATGTACATGCTATGTAGGGAAGCCAGCTCTTGTGTTATGTTCAAGTCTTCATCCGCACCTCTAATGAACATCAGCAGTTGAGAGGTGGAACAGCTGTCCAGCGATTCATCCATTGCAGTAAAAAAAATGGCTAAACTTGATTGCATTTTTGGCTATTTGAGTCACAATGTTTTCACCCATGTCTGCAACACGGCGGGCAATAGTATTTGCATCCAAAGCTACATTTTCGAATTGTTTTGACTTTTCTGGGTAAAGTTCCTCAGCCGGCTCAAACAAACATTCCTTCACAACTTCACCATCTGTAAACGGTTTGCAACATTTAGCCAGAACTAGGTAGGACTAGAAACTTGATCACTGGCCTTAGTTAAGGATTCATTTTCATTTGAGGAGTTACTGAACAATGTCCTCTGAGTTGTGAGTTGATTTTTTAATTTAGACATTTTTCGGCATGGATTTTACCCTCTAAATGTGCATATTTTATCGCAGTAGTCAACCCCAACTGGCAAACTGTGATCAAAATAATCAAGTCTTGAACAAGCAGCAAATCATTTTAAAATTCCGCAAATTGATGGCGTTATATCATCTCATTGTCTGTGAACGGAAATAGAAAAACTAAGCAGCGAATAAGGTTTTGCAATGTAGTGATCGGGTGGAAAACACAAACTCCATGTAATCAGCAGCTCATCTTGGCAGGATACATATAAATTTCCGTAATTTTTTCCGTTGACAAAAGGTCTCAACGGGCCGGATGAGAAGGCCTTAGTTTGGAGACCCCTGCTGTAGAGTATAACCAATGGCATCAATGCAGAATAACTACCGATGTCAGCACTAAAGACTACTACCGATGTCATCATTACAGACTACCTACCAATGTCATCATTACAGACTACCTACCAATGTCATCATTACAGACTACCTACCAATGTCATCATTACAGACTACCTACCAATGTCATCATTACAGACTACCTACCAATGTCATCATTACAGACTACCTACCAATGTTATCACTGCAGATTTTTACTCACCAAGTTCATCAAGATTCAGACCCGCCACATTCGTTAAACCGTGGAATAAGACGTGGCCGTACCCAATTCTTCCGATGACCAGATCTTCAACAACACAGTCCCCGTTTTCATCAATGGAGTTGATCATTTCATCCAAGGGCGGTATGGTGTAGTAGCCAGGGCGAGTCAGGGTAACACCTGTAGGATGTGGGCTGCTCCTGTCCACAGGCTGAAAAATATCACAGGTAATTTTTTCATACAGAATAATGTATTTACAACAGTGGAGTAGATCAGCTAAATACCTCCAAGAGGATGAAAAACATGCAAGGACAATATAAATTTGTTTGAAAGGGACAATTATTGGCCAAATAATAAGCTGTCAAACGTTTGAAGTCAAATAGCACAGCTCATCTGCATGTTTAAATTTATTGGGTCAAAGGAAAAGTCCCCACCCCATTAGGTCTGAACAGATGAGTAGAATATGCCCATTTCTCTTTGGCCTTTCATTCCATGTTCTTTAAGCCAGTACCCTGTAGTACTTGGACTAAGTGTTGATTGCTGGCTGTTGTAAATTTAAAAAAAATTTTTTTATACTACAGATGTAACATTTCATCACCAATAACTGAAACAAACAGAACTCTAAATAAGCCTCATCCTGTCCAGACTGGTGGGTACTGAAGATCTATCAACTGAATTTAGTTTTTAAAAAAAAAGAGTGATTGTGCGACTTTTTTTTTAAGTATTGTTTTTTTGGTGTATTATTATTATTATAATATAACATGGACAAAAGAATCTGGGAAGATGATATTTTCATGTCAATGTGCCAGTGAGAAGGCAGTGATCCGATGAGAAGGCAGTGATCGTCCAATGAGAAGGCAGTGATCATCCCATGACAAGGCAGTGATCATCCCATGAGAAGGCAGGGATGGGCCAATCGTCCAATGAGTAGGCAGTGATGAGCCAATGAGAAGGCAGCGATGGGCCAATGAGAAGGCAGTGATGGGCCAATGAGAAGGCAGTGATGGTCCAGTGAGAAGGCAGTGATGGGCCAATGAGAAGGCAGTGATGGGCCAATGAGAAGGCAGTGATGGTCCAGTGAGAAGGCAGTGATGAGCCAATGAGAAGGCAGTGATGGGCCCATGAGAAGTCAGTGATGCGCCAATGAGAAGTCAGTGATGGGCCAATGAGAAGGCAGTGATGGGCCAATGAGAAGGCAGTGATGGTCCAGTGAGAAGGCAGTGATGAGCCAATGAGAAGGCAGTGATGGGCCCGTGAGAAGGCAGTGATGGGCCAATGAGAAGGCAGTGATGGGCCAATGAGAAGGCAGTGATGGGCCAATGAGAAGGCAGTGATGAGCCAATGAGAAGGCAGTGATGGGCCAATGAGAAGCCAGTGATGGGCCAATGAGAAGGCAGTGATGGGCCAATGAGAAGGCAGTGATGGGCCAATGAGAAGGCAGTGATGGGCCAATGAGAAGGCAGTGATGGGCCAATGAGAAGCCAGTGATGGGCCAATGAGAAGGCAGTGATGAGCCAATGAGAAGGCAGTGATGGGCCAATGAGAAGGCAGTGATGGGCCAAATCCCTACGATTCCCTTTGAAACAACTAGTATTTTTTTCTTACTCTGCAGTTGTTTGTGCCCATGATCCACAAACGGTTTTACCCCCTGAAAGTCTTTAAAAGTTTGATACAAACAAACATCCATACGGATGACCTGACTTGATTAAGACTGCCCTGACTTACCAAACAGCTGTTATCCAGATCTGAGCTCTCTAGGGAAGAAGTTGTGGTGTCAGCAGCATTGAGCCCGTTGTTGGACCGTTGGTTCAAGGCCGCTGTGTTTTCATCCAAGTTTCTTAAGTTGAGAGTCAAAAAGTAAATTTAAGTTCTACTTCTTCTTCCCTTCAAGCATTAAGTAAAATGTGCTCAGCATATTTCTGGGGTAGAAAAACTCATTTATCTTAACTTGTGGGGGGGGGGTGACTTACGGACGATCAGTGAGATTCCTGGCAGCTGGAGTGCCATTGCTTGCATTGGTGTGTTCAGCTTCATGTTCAACTGAGTTTTCATCATGTACTAAACTGAGTCGCCTGAAAGAAAAAGTGAAACCAAATTACAAAGGTTTTATTATTACGTGACCTAGGGGGAGGAAATAATAAATTTGTGATTTATCAGCTGAAACAAATTCCATTTAAATTGTAAAATTCATTTAAAATTTTTTTTTTTCAACTGTTAAGTCCAAGATGGGTGATATTTTGATTGGAACATCAATGATCTACACATGTTGTAAGTTATTTCCAGAATTTTCTTGGAAAAATCTATAAATAGCAGTAGGAGATGAGGATAATTTTTTAGCAACGTTTTAAGTTATTTAAAATAAACAAAGGTGAAAAAAAAAAAAGAAAAACCCATAACTTTTAGTCAAATTTCATTTTCATTTCGTGTACCATACTTCAATGGCCGCAAGCTGAAGTTAAAACTACCTGACAGTGTCTCACCATACTTCAATGGCCGCAAGCTGAAGTTAAAACTACCTGACAGTGTCTCACCATACTTCAATGGCCGCAAGCTGAAGTTAAAACTACCTGACAGTGTCTCACCATACTTCAATGGCCGCAAGCTGAAGTTAAAACTTCCAGACAGTGTCTTACCAACTTCAATGGCCTCAGTTGAAGTTAAAACTTCCAGACAGTGTCTCACCATACTTTAATGGCCTCAGTTGAAGTTAAAACTTCCAGACAGTGTCTCACCATACTTTAATATCCTCAGTTGAAGTTAAAACTTCCAGACTGTCTCACCTTGTGATAGGTAAAGGCAACAGAGTCTTGTTATTGCTGGAGTCAATGAGTTGACTGAAGTCACCACCAGCTTCACTGTACACCAATGTGGAGTCTGAGGTGGATTTACTGCCAGGTGCTTTGCGAAGAACCAGCTTTTTGACGCTCTTACGAGGGACAAACGTGTTCTCACCACTGCTGAAGTCTTCATCCTCAAGTCCTTCAAATAACTGTGCCTTAAAGTCAAAGTAATCCAATAAGTCAAAGTAATTAAGTAGTCAAAGTAATGAAGTAGTCATGAAGTAGTCAAAGTAATGCAAGAATTCAAAGTAATGAAGTAGTCAAAGTAATTAAACAAATCAGCAATAAATATGGTTTAATGATATCGCAGCAAGAAATGTAAGGACACATTGAATTTGAGGCAGTAAAATCTTCCATAATAATAAAGATATTGTTAATGCTTAGAGTTACTCCAAACTAAGGATTTGTAGTTATTTGATGTATATGGTAATGAATAAAGTGATTGAATGTCAAGAACTAAGCATTTTATGATTTAAAAAAAACAACAACTCAATATGCAACTAAAAAAACACTTTGCTATGGGGAGAAAAATGTCATAAATATTAGATTTAAAAAAAAATAACAGATTACTCCAAAATATGATTTTAAAAACTATTTTGTACCTTTCCTCCACTAATGAGATGATGCAATGATTTGGGCTTGAGTTTTGGTGTGGGCCTGTGGCTGACTTTGTACTGATTGACAGATGTCAGTGCAGCTTTCTGTGCGTTGGGATTGGTTGGTTTCAGGGCCTCATCTCTTCGTTCTTTAGTCTGCTGTTGAAAGACATAAAAATTACTGTTCTTAAGTCTTATGTAAAAAACACACAAATAAAATCTATAGCAAAATGGAGAAACTAAATAGAGGCAAGGCTTACCAGACTAAAGAATATTCTCTCTATACATTTTTAAACATCAAATGTTAATATCGAATTTTTTTTTCCCTCGACAAAACTTCATCACGTTTGAGAAATGCTCTTAACGGTAGCAATAGATTAAACAAACTTGTCCAATGAGTGATTTTTTTAAAACAAACTTGCCCAATGAGTGATTGTTCACATACCTGTTTCAAATTCCAGAAGAGTGGGTTATCCCCATATGGTGAAGAGGCTAAAGCCAAAAGATGCTGGGTATTTGTGACTTGAGAGGGAGCAGTCACCCTAAAAAATATATTACAATTACAAATTGAAAGATGGGCATTTACTGAATGAAAGTCTTGAGTACAAATATGGCAATTAAAAAAACCAAACAATTTATCAAAAGTAATTAAAAATTTAATCCAAATAATGAGAATGAAATATTTCCATCAAAATATGAGTTTGCCATCAGTCACAAATTATTTCTTTATTTTCTGATCTATTAAGAAGGGGTCTTAAACTCAAATTCACACAAAGGCAGCTCAATTTGCCCAAACATTACCAACTCAAATCATTCAGTATTATTATCTACAACTCAAGACTCCAATTAATCACTTGGCAAGTTCCAAGGGTAAAACTATGAGGGCCACACACAGCCGGCTGGCTTGAGAACCTTGCTCCAAGGCTTAACCAGTACCAACATATTTTGGCAAAGTGAATCAGGAACTTTGTAAAAAAAAAACCAAATTTAAGTGAAAACTTACATTGCTCCTAGAGTGCTGGTGCCACCACCGAGGCTAAACGTGCCAGTGTTGGAGCCTGTGTTCAACATGCTCCCAAAACCTGCAGTGGAAAAGAAGGGAAACTTTTGAACATCAAAACATTTGTATTGCCACTCAACCAGCACTGTACAAAAAAAAGTGACCAGTGAAAAAAATTGGTTTCACAAAGGATTTCTCTGTGTAATCTCTGCATTCCATTGATTACAATTGAATAATTTGATAAAAATTTAGGCCCAGTCAATCAATGCGAGGCTGGGGGTGCACAAAATATTTACCTGTACTTCCTGTGGCCCCCCCTCCAAAGTTGAATCCAAAACCAGGTTTGGTAGAACCTGTGCCAAATGCGCTGGTGCTGGAACCTGTGCCGAGCCCGCCTCCAAAGCCGAATGACGCCCCCCCAGAGCCCAAACCAGCGGAGGTAGTGCCAAAACCAGTTGGCTTCATGCTGAACAAGCCACCACCTGATGTACATGACAACAGAGCAATAAATGAATGTTAGCAGCAGAGGCAAGAAATGTTTATATTATACTACATTATAAATGTATTTATTACACTACATTATAAATATATATATTAGAACATAATAGATGAATATGTTATACTATATTACAAATGTATATATTATACTAAATTATAAATGTATGTTTATTCAAGAACTAACATAATTAACATAAAATAATATTTGAATAATAATTAATACTAGAAATAGCTCACAAAACAATGGCACCGGGAATGAGTGAGAGTCCCATTTATTAAAGCTACATGACAAAACAAGCATTCAAGTAACACACTTTATAATAATCCCTATTAGTACTAACTTATGGGAATTTTATTTGAGTGCCTATTCAACACAGCATTACAGCCATACATGCATAAATACTATAGAATAATTAATTGTGATAAAGTATTTCTTTAAAAATAGGTCACTCTGTCACCAGTGACCTCCCATGGTACTTACTTCCAAAGCCTGTGGTACTGGTATTAGTACCGAATCCACCTGTACTGGTATTAGTACCAAAACCACCAAAGGAAGATGCAGTAGAGGCAGGCTTGGCAAACAGGTTTCCTCCTGTGCCGAATCCGATGGATGAAGTAGCGGGTGTCCCAAATCCAATGGATGAAGTAGTGGCGGTGCCGAACCCTGCCGGCTTTGGTGATCCAAACAGGCCACCCTGTGGTATGGGTGAGAAAATAATTACAAATCATATATTTTACAAAATTTTTGTAGAGCAAAGTTATATTAAGTTTACAGTAGAATCTAAAGTCTCAGAATTTTTTTTGTTAAAATGAACATTATGATGCAGAAATTATAATGAAAACCTAACACATTTCTGCGTGATATAATTCTGCCAGATCAACACAACTCTTTTACCCTTACACATGTACATGTGTGAAAAAATCTCTGGCCACAGACAAACACCCAGCAAAAGACAGCAATGCGAACTTTGGATGGACCAGCCCTTTAAACATCAACAAATTCTGATTTTTTTTGCTTACATCATAGGGCTGGTACTCTGCTTTTTGTGCTAAAATAAAAGGGTTGACACTCACACTTTGTGTACTGGTACCAAAGCCAACAGGGTTGGAGGTTGAAGTCTGAAAGAATGAACTTCCGGTAGGCTGGCTAGTTCCTGTAGTACCAAACAGGGGCTGGACATGACAAAACAAAATGAATTTAATCTAACAATTTTTTTACTTCACCCACACAAAACTAGGAATTACATTAGAAATAGTTAAGTTTGAGCAGACAAGTACTTGAAGACACAAAAGTAAAATGATCAATATCTTAAGGAATGCGTTCAAGTCGTGTGAAGTAAATAAACAGCGGAACAAGATATAGCTCTACTACATACAAAAGCAACCAATGACCATATTTTAACTAAATAATTATGTCAGATGATATCTTAATAACTTAATGTTAAATTTTCTCTTCAAGTTTTGGTAAAGACAAAAAAAATATTTAAAAAAATATATATATTTAAAAGTTACATTTTCACCAGTATGATGGCCCTGACTGACCTTAGCAGCACTGGTACCAAATAAAGAAGTGGACTGCTGAGTGCCTGTTGTGCTACCAAACCCACCAAAGCCTGACTGGGTTGTAGTGGCTGTCCCAAACAAGGAGGGTCTATTCTGGTTGAAAGTTGAGGCTGTTGATGGGGTACTAGTATTTCCAAACCCTGTCAATATACAAGGATGTATAGTTGATCAACAACACAATTCGTTTCAAATAAAGCAGTTTGTCACCAAGCACTAACGAAAGACCTGTGGTGGTGCACATGTATTCTTTCAATAATATTACCTCCAAATCCAGTTGTGTTTGAGGGTTGCAGCGCAGAGCTCAGGCCTCCGCCGAATACAAAACCACTTCCGGCTGTGGGTTGTGCCCCTTGAGTCTGTCCAAATAATCCCCCGGTGTTGGTTGAGCCTGCCTGTTTGGCTTTGCGATTTGCAGTGTAATCTTCAACTCTCAGCTCCTGGAGAGAAACAGAAATAACACAAAATTTGTTTGTTAATTAAAAATCAGGTCTGGAAGATCCTGAAAATAGTGGAAGGGAATGGTGCTATTGGGGGGATGGGGCGGGGGAAGATAGTACAGCTAGTGCTCGACTTACGACCACAATCGGTAACACAATTTGGTCGTAAGTTGAGTACGCTAAGTGAAAAGTAATGTGAAGTGATGTTATAAAAATATTTATGTTAAATAATATCATAAATTTCTTTTATTAATGTTTTAAATCATAAATTTTCTACGTTCACGACCGCCAATGATTGTAGACAACGCCGTTCTACTAATGATTGAAGCAGAAATAAATCTGAAATCTAATATAGTATGGCTAGTGATTGTGGTCCCAAAGTTGCGTAGGTCGTAAGTCGAGCACTAGCTGTATAAGAGACAAAATATGTTAAGATTATTTTATTTATCCAAAATAAACAGAACTGTTTTTTTATTACATTTTACATATACAATTTCAGCAACATAGATAAATAGTGCTTCAAATAGGACAACATTTAAAACTAGAACAATTTAAACACAAGATGTCTAAAGTGTTTCGCAAGTGTAGAAATCAATCATCATATACCATAAAACTTCACTCCTTTAGTGACAATATTGTCTTAATTAGTCAGGCAGAAGGGCACATGAAGCCCAATTAGCCACTGAATTTGAATGATAACGATTTAATTAGTGATCATTTTAATTTTCTAACCACTGGGGGAGTACGCTGGTAAATTCCGACAGACTGGGGAACAAAAGAGTCCTTTCATTTTTTGATCCTAACTTTAAGAGAAAGAATTTGATTTGCCTGAGCTGATCTTAGGTAGGTACCTGCGATGAACTGGGGTGATACTATCATCCAAAAAATTTTTTAAGCTTTATCGCAGCATTTTTAATTCCATTAGTTCTTCAAGTAAAAATTAAATTTTTTTTGTTGCTTTATTACTACCTTTCTTGATTAGTCTCTCCTTTTTTTTTTATTATCTATGTTTGATGTTAGTCTATGAATTCCCTCACCAACAAACTGTTATTCCCTGGGAAATTTACGGAAATCCCACTACATCTACCATATCTATGTATTTTATTTCACAAATTACTCTTACTGCTAAATAAACTCTGGAATTAAGGACTAAGTTGTACCTACCTCTAAACTTTTATTTTCATATTCCTTCATGGCTGTGATGCACTGGTGTCTGGTGTTGATGTTCGTGGTCACTCCACCTTTCATCATAGTGTCCTGACCTGCAGGTGGATTAAATGCAATGGTGGTTCCGCCACTGATGGATGCCACACCCCCAAAAGCTGCAGTCGCCGAAGGCTGACCAAATAAGGAGGACGTTGTACTGGTTGCACTTCCAAACAATCCACCTGTACTTGGGTTAGTGGCAGCCGTTCCAAAACCTGATCATAAACAATGAATAGTTACGGCATTACCACCAAATTTATCTCCTACAAAGATAGAAACACAAAATATTTTCAGTCCATACCTTTTAAAAAGGGGCATTTGAAGAACGGAGTGAGCTTATAGATGAAATCAAAGGTACTGCCCTCACCACCACTTCATATGTAGAGCAAACTGTGAACAAAGATGGATGAGAATTTTACCTGAGAATCCAGTTTTCGCCCCAAATCCAGCCCCAGTTCCGGGTGAGGAGAAAAGGGAACCTGTTCCAGGTTGACTAACATTACCAAATAGGCCACCAGATGAGTTGTTGCCGAATGCTGGAAGAGTTATAGAGAATAGCATTTGTTTTCTTATTGTTAACCTCCATTAAATAATTGAATAGTTGTTCTTTAATGATCAGAATAATCAGACATTCTTGAAGGAAAGAGTTGGACAAGGAACTAGGAGAAGTCTGATGGACCTAGAGAGAGTTAGAAAAAGAGAAGGCTTAAAAGGTGGTGTGGTTGGAGGTTTTGAAAGAGGTGGTGACTGGCTTTTGCTCCAGACACACAAAAAAAAACCTTTATACATGACTTACAGAAGGCATTTGTGCTCTGCGGCTGGCCAAATCCTGTATTTCCAGACTGTCCAAACAAACTACTTCCTGTGCCAGCTGTGGTTCCACTTGCGGCACCCCCAAACATATTGGTGCCACTTCCTGGAGTCTGGGCGCCAAAAGCTGACCCTCCACTACCAAAACCAGTTGATGCTGTAAAAAAGGATTGTTTAATCTTCTTAATAATACAGCTAAGAATAACGGTATGTCCTTGTTGAATCTTACAACTTCAAAACATAAAAAATTGTAATAATAAACATTTGGATTGAGATATTTAAGAAAAGGTAAAGAAAAGAACAATAATTAATTGGAATTATGATGGAAAAAAGTGATTCGCAATTATTTTCTTAAAATATTGAAATGGAAATTAGATTAACCCCTTCACTGTGATGAGCTTTTAAAAATGTATTTTTATTGATACATTTCCCACCTACACATACACATTTTTTTTTAAAAGTCATAAATAGAATCAGCAACTTACACTGGCCAAAAGTTCCGAAAGTTGCTGTAAAAATTAATAAATAAAACAAATAAAATAAAAACAATCATCATGATAATGACAATGAATGTTGAAGGATAACATTTCCACTCTTTAAAACAGAGTAATAAAGATCACAATTTTATTTAATAAAGTGCTTTGATTTTTTGTTTAAAAGCAGCACATCAAAACAGACAACTGTTGAAAAAAAATTCTAATAAGATCAAATTAACACAGCAACTTTAAACTATGACAAAAATAAATAATGAAATAATTTTGTACAACTTACAGGGAGTGGTTCCAAAACCTGCAAATCCTCCTGGCTTGCCTCCAAACATGTTGGAATCCAAGTTTTGGTCTTCTTAAAATCCTTATCTAATAGACAAAATGATGCCAAGGAAAAATAGCTTGAGTCTAAAAAATGTTTCGCTCAAAATAGTGTTTTATAATTTGACATAGTTTGGAAACAGCATTGTGGCCAAACAATTTAACATACTGAAATGGAGTAACTTCTACTTTGCATTCCTGAGCGTGAACTGCCGGAAATTCAAATGTATAGAAATTTGTAATTGTATTACTTGTCATCAACAGCATATATTTTAAAAAAGATCAATCCAAAAACACCAAACATCATGTGTAATACAACTTATCAGGCCTATTAACAGCAACAAAGGCCTAATTGTTTTAATTTTAAAAAACTACATAGTAACATAGTAATAACTATAAGGTCTGAATAGAAAAAGACTATACTACTTGTCTACTGTAGCCTACCTCTAAATTATGCTCCAAAATCCCTTGTAGTTTTATTTATTGTTAGCCAAGGCCTAAGGCAGACGCCTAGGCTAAATAAAACCTGAAGTGAAAGTGTAGCCTTGTCCCCTTCTTCTAACTTATGATTATTTTTTAATGAGTCTTTCTGCAGCAAGTTCTGCCTTTACAAAAAAAAAAAAATAAAAAAAAAATAAATTTTTACAAGCTGATGTCCCAATCAGATGGAAAATTTAAACAAATTACTATAGACTATACTTATCTATTTATTAAATAGTATATAGGCCTACTTAAACACTGTTTATTAGGCTTTAAATAGTCTATTTAGATTCAAATCTAAGGAATAGGATTTCAATCAAGTCAAATCTTAATTATTGTTCACATTTGATAAATGTAAATTCAATATTTGATTAGAGTAAAGAGTGATCATTTATTGCATCATTTGATTCATCATTTAAATTTGTATTATTTATGATTTATGTAACCAGTGGTGACTGGGTGACTGGTTTAGTAGGTTTGTAACCAGTTGAACTATTTATATTGATTTAACATTTATATCACATGCTGAGAAAAGTGGAAAAAAACCCAAGGCCAAGGCCACTGAGCATTAATCACTTCTACCTGACCTAGCATTAAATTATTAAGTTACTGAAGTAGTAGACTAAACAATTTTAAACATAACTTTTTACAGTTTTAGTAATTTAGACTAAGTAAGCCTTGACCTAAAAAAATAAATAATAAAAAGCCATATGCCATATGCCTATGACTATGTAGAGTTAGTAGTGTATTAGTATTAGTAGTATGCTCAGTGAGTATCAGAATATAATAAATATGATTTGTTTCAGATTAGTATGAATAATGAATGAATTAATGATTCCTTGTTGAAATTGATTATAAAAATATGTGAATTGTTATGTTATTCACTAAGCAAGACTAACAGTTAATAGGAAATAACATCCCCACAACTACAACAATTACTTCTTTTATTTAATTTTAATAACTTATTACTATCAATCTTACTAATTACTTTACTACTGCTGTAAACTTAAGTCTAGTGAAGGAGACTTTATGTAGCCTGGTTAAGTTGTAGTAGTAGTATCAAACTAAGTAGTTTAAGTTAGTAAGTAAAATTAAAATAATAATAATAACAATAAGTAATAAGATTTGCAGTAGTAGTAATTAGTATTATTACACTATTCTATTATTTCTCAAAGTATAAAAAAGCAGAGAACAGAAAACAAAGAAAAAGACTTGGTCACCAAGTCCTATTATTAAGTTACTTCAAGTCAATCAAGTCTAACTCTACAAAGTTAACAAAGCAGTGTTTAACAGACAGAAGTCTGTAACTGTAGTCACAACACTGTAGTGTAGGACTTGAACTATTAACTATTGATAGTAACTTGATATTGATAGTAGACTGAAATTGTAACTGTTAGTCCTAATGTAGACTATGACTAGTAGACTGACTAACTAGTGTCTTCAGACTTTTTTAGTAGTTATCGTAGACTTACATTCATTAACATTCACACACACTAGTAACTTTCTAGTTTCTATTCTCTAGTCTAGTCTAGTTGTAACATTGTAAGTAAATAAAAGTAAAGGACAGTATTTAGTTTTAGTAAAAGTTTTGAGACAGTGAGAGTGAGAGTGAGAGAGGTTACGCACACTCCTCAGTACAAAAATAACAGTACAGTAACAGTAACAGTAACAACAGTGAATAAATATGATATTGATAATCAATGTGGCTCCATGATAATATACTAACATAACAAATAAATTAATTTCAGAGTAAGGCCGAACTGGAACTTTTAATACCTTTTATACTTTTATTTCATGTTTGTCTCGTTATTTTCAATTACACCATTGCCTAAACTTGTTAAAGTCGGTCGGAACAGGATTTGTATTGCCCGTTCCGCTTCATGTTTTTGTTTTTTCGTCATAACATAAGGGGGATAAAAATAGGTCAACCCTTCAACTTTTAACTTTGAACTTTTCTGTCCCCTCGTGACATTATGACCAAAACCACCGCCCCTTCGTTTAACTGTAAACACAACACAACACATCGATAAAATAAAATTTGATCTTAACCATAGAGAAGCCAGGCATGGAGGTAAATTCATTTAATTATTGGCTGTAAACAGTTCTTAACACTCTAATAAGATCTATCTATCTTTTCACTGTCTTTATTTTCCTTTGCTTCAACAATAATATTCGTTATAAATATAATATAAGTAATAAGTTCAAAGTTTTAGTCAGTAAGTTTTAGTGCCATTTTGATGATTTTCTCAGTTTCTTGAGTGTGATTAGTGTGAGGTGTCAAATGTTGACTCTTGGAATAGACTCACAAGTTCTTCACTAGCCTAAAGTTTCAGAAGGGAACAGCTGTTGTAAAACTTTAAAACAATAGGACATTGTGATAAATAATTTAATTATTTGAAATTAATTATTTTTCAAATTATTTTGTTTTCCCTAATAATAAATAATTATTAATAAATACATTGACTTTGGGTACTCTGGGGTTTGTGTAACTTTGCATTTAATATTGATTTTAAACACAGTTTTGTATCTCCAAGCATCTGAAGTCTGAAGTTCTTCAAGTATGTGAAGTTACATTACAATATCACTTAAAGACTCCCGCAAGTCAGCTCAGTAGCATATTTTTTATTTAATTATATACTTATATACGTATAAGTCTGTAAGTGGATGTAAGCAATGCCCCTTATAATGTATTGTCTATGGATGGTTGGTAGCTTCTTTTTGAGTTGTCTGCATGTTTAGGTTTCTATTCTACAGGCTAAAAATTTCTCTTTTGTCAGTTTTGTTCTGGTCCAGCTTTTCTTGTGTTATCCTTCAGAGGGCTCTTTCTGGCAAATGAGTATGGCTGACATTCTACAGTCTACAGGCATGAACAAGTGGTGCCAATGGTCTACCTGCATGGTTTCTGGAATTATTGTCACTCCTGATGGCTTTCTCAGTTTTTTAAAATTAGATAATGTCTTTGCCCGAAAAATTCTTTCTAAGCATTTTTTATGGAAAATCTCCAGCTTCAGTTCTATTGTGCAAGGGTTCTTCAGGACACTATCCAATCAGAACATCGCAAGTGACTACAAAACCACCACTCCTGGCTTTGTCACTGACCTCTTAAAAAGATTTGACATCCCCTCCCTCAAAAATAGAAAAGCTCCATCTAACATTTCTCTATGTAGTGGTCACGTGGCTAGAGCCGGCCATTCCAGATTACACGTATCTAACCCCGCAGAAGCCAGGTCGCTTAATCAGAGCCAAACACTCAATTAACACTGACTTCACCTCTGACAACTCCATGAGCAGTTACATTCGGAACAATGATAAATGCTTCACTGTGCCTCGATGTAACACAGTTCAATATAAACAATCATTCTTCCCACGACTGGACAATGCCGCCGTGGACTCAAAATTAATAGAGAGTTTCAATGTTAACCTGGCACCCACTAGGAGCGGTTAGGATAGCCGCATCATTTCCCAAATCGTTGCACATATGCCAGTACTTGGTTGCAGCAAGGTAGTCTATCAGAATCAGTTCATGACAGTCATGAATTAAAATATTTCTTTGTGGATGCTCAGATTGGTCAAACTTTATAAAGGAATCATCATTTTATCAAAATGCATGATTTTCCTTGCTTTGTTGTCACAATCACCATCTGTTGTTGCAGGTCCCTAGGGTCTAAAACTCTGTCACATCTTCCAGACGGTTGTTTACAGTGATTGTTACCTCTACTCATAGTGGTATTTTTTTCTCACTACCTGTTTTTGTGGCACTGAGTTTAGATCCTACATTATTGGGTCTTTGCTAGTTTCTGAAGCTGTATACAGAATGTTTACATTTAGCAAGTTAACAGTGGCCTCGATATATGATGAAAGAAGTATAACAGTTTCAATTTAATCAGAATCTTCACATGTTTCATATATCTTTTCTAAGCAGTAAAATAAAGTTATGTGTAATAAATAAATGATTTTTAAAAAAATGTTTGTATTTTGACAAAATGACAATTTTTTTACCGGGGTTTGAGAAAAGGAGGGTGCAGCTTTTTCTTTGCATGACTCTTGTTCAAGACAAGAAAACTGCTGAGCTAATGGTTAGCTGGTTCACTCTATATTACACCTGCTCATCTAATTTAAGGAAACTGTAGGCCTATAATTTATTAGCCCCATTATGCTGTATATTTACCTTAGTAAAGAATATGGCAGCGGAGCCCTGAGAAGTGGATCACAGTTTGGAAACCCCAGCTTAATAAAATAGAATAATATAATACAAAAGTAACAGCTATAATAATTTGTATTTTTCCAAAATGTGCAACATAAATAATGCAGGATTAATTTGCAAATTTGTTTTCAAAGGATGATGTTTCAGAAGGGACTGTAACTCGGGATAAAGATTTTGAAAATCAGACAATGGAGCTACCCCCCTTACCTTTGTTTCAAGTGGAAGTTCCTGAAGCAGTGAAGAAAGGTGAAAATGTGCTGTTCACAATCCACACAACAGTTCCTGCTGAGGACAGAGGTCTCGTTGTCCTGCGACAGTTTGAAGATATTGAATGGCTCCACCACAATCTTATTACATCCAACAATACTGATGGTGTCATTGTAAGGTTCATTTTGTTTATCAAACAGTGAGAAAGGTTTACTTGATTATCACAATGAAATTCCTCTTGGGAATAGAAGACAGTATATGAGGGACTTCATTTCACCAATTTATTGGGAATAAAATTAAATTTAAAACATGTATGATTATGAAATGTTAAAATTTAATAATAATTAAAATGCATCAAATAATTCAATTAAAAAATATTAAATATATCATACAGCTGCTAGTAATAGGAAATTGACAGGGAGACAGCTTCAGATTGACAGGGAGACAGCTTCAGATTGACAGGAAGTCAGCTTCAGATTGACAGGGAGGATAGTTGGCTTTGTTTTTAATGGTATCTAAACTCACAGACACTTTTAATAAATGAACTCATGTTTTGTGTTTCTGCAAATAGATACCACCACTTCCTGTTAAACCCCAATCAGATCCCAGAAGTGCAGAAACGATGTCTCGTCGTCAGCTGGGAGACAATACAAAAGTATTGAGAGGGGACCAGTTTGAACAGGACTGCAAATCTGTTCAAAAGTAGGATCCTAAGTAACAGATAAAATGAATTTATGATATGCTACCACTTATAGATCTATAAATTACATGTGAGAATAAAAAAACCCCAAAAAACAAATCTGCAGAAGTAATACAGGAACTCAGTAAATGTTCAGAAATCCTGAAGTTATATTCTTAATAATCATTATGTGCAACCAACTTACCAAGTCTTATACATAGCCCCAAACATTATCCTCAAATTAGAGACTGACCGAAAGTGATTTTCTGATTTCGGCCGAAGCCGTAAATAGGCAGAAAGTTTAAAATGACTTTCGGCCGAAACCGAATAGGGCGAAAGTTTAAAAATGACTTTCGGCCGAAAACGAAAAAAGGCCGAAAGTTAAAATGACTTTCGACCGAAACCGAAGCTGAAACCGAAAATGAAAATTCTAGATATTTTGAAATTCGTTCCCGCATACATTCTGCATACATCGAAAATGGTGGGGAAAGTAAAATTATTTACATTTTTTTAATTAAAAAATGAGATAATCGTGAATATTAATAAATAAACATCTAATATAACATCTTGTTGTTAAAGATCGTTTGGTTTGTTCTTAAAGATCGCTTAGTTTGTTGTTAAAGATCGTTCAGTTTTTTGTGAATGATCGCTTTATTTGTTCTTAAAGATCGGTTAGTTTGTTCATAAAGATCGCTTAGTTTGTTGTTAGAAATCGTTTATTTTGTTTTTTTAAGATCGTTTAGTTTGTTCTTAAAGATCGCTTAGTTTTTTAAAAAAAATCTTTTAGTTTGTTATTAAAGATCATTTAGTTTGTTCAAAAAAGATCACAAGTTTTTTCTTAAAGATTGCTTAGTTTGTGCTATTAAAAGATCATTTAGTTTGTTTATAAAGATCGCTTAGTTTGTTCTTAAAGATGATTGATTTTGCTCTTAAATATCGCTTAGTTATTCTTAAAGATCATTCAGTTTGTTATTAAAGATCATTTAGTTTATTTTTATTGATCTTGTAGTTTGTTATTAAAAATCGTTTAGTTTGTTCTTATAGATCGCTTATTTTGTTGTTGAAGATCGCTTAGTTTTTTCATAATCATCGCTTGGTTTGTTTTTATAGATAATTGATTTTGTTCCTCAAGATCGATTAGTTTGTTCTTAAAGATCTTTTAGTTTGTTCCTAAAGAAAATTTAGTTTTCTGTTAAAGATCGCTTAGTTTTTTGTTATGAATTATTTAGTTTACTATTAAAGATCATTTGTTTTGTTCTTAAAGGTCATTTAGTTCGCTCTTAAAAATCACTTAGTTTGTTCTTTAAGATCGTTTAGTTTTTATTAAAGATCGCTTAGATTTTTCTTAAAGATCGCTTAGTTTGTTTACAGATCGTTTAGTTTGTTCTTAAATGTTGCTTAGTTTGTTGTTAAATATCGTTTAGTTTGTTCTTAAAGGTCGCTTAATTTGTCCTTAAAGATCGCTTTATTTGTTTTTAAAGATCACTTTATTTGTTATTTTTTTAAGATCGTTTAGTTTGTTCTTAAAGATTGCTTAATTTGTTCTTAAAGATCGTTTAGTTTGTTATTAAATTTCGATTAGTTTGTTGTTAAATATTGCTTTCACTGAGTATTAGATGACCGAAAACCTCAGTCACTTTCAACAGGATGGCCGAAAGTCTAAGTTAATTTTGTCCGAAACCGAATGAAAAAAGAAAGTTAACTTTTCTCTTTTGGCCGAAACCGAAATTAAGCAGAAAGTTAACTTTCAGTTTCGGCTCAAACCGAAATTTGGCAGAAAGTGATAAAATGGCCACTTTCGGCACTGAAACCAAAGCGGAGGCTGAAATTCGGTCGGTCTCTACCTCAAATCATAAAATATTATGGCATATCTTTTGTATTTCTTAAGCAAATAACACTATTTTCAAAGTCTTTGAAAGAAACTTTTATATGTTGTTAGTTATCTTGCTAAGTTTTGATGAGTACTGACTCAATGAATAAAACTGAGTTGTGTTTTCTGAATTATTTTCTTAACCTTTTACAAATCATTTTATGTTTTGCCTCTAATTGTGCCAAATACTGTAAATCTGAAAATTGCATGACATTCTAGTATTGTTTTGGAACATGGGGTTTTCTTGACTTTTATAGTACCTGAAGGGTTTATCCCGTCAAACTTAGCTGATAAATATACAAATGCCCTTTTACATGATCTTTTAGATATCTGCAACTCTTGCTAACCCATCAAACCTTCGGACGTGATAAGACTTTGGCGTCTTTTTTGACAGATGATGAGGTCAGTTTTCACATTGCTACCTGATAATTGTAAACACATCCTATTTAAATATTGAACAGCTTATACTATTTTGAATCAAAGTAAACTAAATTTCACTATATTACTATTATGGCCATACAATTGTAATGTTGAAATTTTTATTTTCCCTTTCATAGTTAAGTGGTTTTGATTTTTTTTCTTTCTAAAATAAAAATATTCATTTGTTAAATTTCTCTGAGTTATAACGGGCATCTAATTAAAAATTAATTTGTTCTTGGTTTAAACTAATGATAATTTTCTTTAGGCCCCTGTCAGGGTGCGTCTCAATAAAGGATTAATGAACCGTCTCACTTCTGTTTTGGATAATGCCAGAAAAGCTAATCATAAAGTAAGTACAAGAAAATAAATTTAAAATTTGATATTTTCACAGAACTTAAAATATAGTTGCCAAAGTTTTTAAAAACTACTTTTTTGATGTTAGATAAATTTTGTAGAATTTTATTTTCAGACAAAAATAATTAATGTCTGTCTTTTAAAAAAACAACAACATTATGCTAAAAATCTAAATTTTTTCAGTCCACTAAGCTTCATATTATTTAGCTATGTAATGTTTTATATTTAACATTTAAATTGTCTACTTTACATCAGTCGTATACATTTAAATGTGTATGTTAGCAGACTACTGAATAATGCCTTGTTTCCTACTGATATTCTTCCCTTTTATTTCTGTTAGTAAGTCATTTCTTTATTAAGTATCCTAGATATGTGAAGTTATTTACCTTTTCACAAGTGTGGTTTCTAATTTTAATGGTTTCATCTTCTCTTGACATAGTCATGTATTTTGCTTTTTGGTCGTTAACTTCCCACCCTGCTTGTAGTGATGTGTCTTCTAATTCAATAAATCCTTTTGATGTGTCTTTACTACTTTTCCCAAGCAGTGCTGTGTCATCAGCATATGCAAGATACTAAAGGGCTTTGTTGCAGGGACATCATTTCAGTTTTTTTAGGGGGGTGGGGGGAGGCAAAACCACAATTTGGCCAGTTTGTTGAGTTGTTTATTACTGGAGGCGCCACTGTACATACCAATTTAAATAAAATCTGCAACTGGCGGGGGGGGGGGGGGGGGAACCCCCCCCCCCCCCCCCCCCCTACCCAAATGATGTCCCTGGTTGTTTGTTGAGAGTGCCTGTTGGCTGTGGCTCTTGGGTCTCCCTCAGAAAGTATCCTGTGATAGTTTCTCAGGTGTCAATGTATGTATGCTTCTTATAACCCTCTCTAAAGATTAAATAGCATACAAGACAGTGATCTCCTTGTCTTAGGCCTCATCTAATATGAACGTCCCCCTTGAATTTGTTCTTTGAATTGTATAATGTTATTTGTATCAGTCCTGTCAGTTTTTTGGGTATGCCAAACTCCTGCAGAGTCTCATTTGGATATTTTCTTTTGATGCTGTCAGAGGCCATTTAATAATCCTCTTATATTTGATGTACTGGGATATTATATTCAGAATATTCATAATAATTCTCTAATAGACATCTAATGGTGAAAATCTGATCAGTCGTTTTTCTTTTTTGTCTGAATCCACATTGGTAATCACCTAGTATTTCTTCAGTATACAGTTGTAGTCTTTTGGTAATTAGTTTTGTCTGTATTTTGTATGAAAGTATTCATCCCACCTCCCCAGTACTTCACTATTTTTCATAGTATGATTAGTATAAAATATAAACACTAAAAGCATTTTCCTAGGATGTTGATGAATATTTTTCAACACAAAGACATTTTACCAATGAATTTTCCAAAGCTATCAAAGAAGCTTCTTCGGTAAGTGTAGCTGTTTTATTTATTTATTTTTAAAAAAGTTGTTTTCATCTACTTTTTGTTTTATTAATATTAATCTGTAAACCATTTTTTAAATGGAAAATAATTAAAACAGTAATGCTTTTTTTTATCATCTGAATTGAATAGAATTTTTCAAACTTCTTTACAGAGCTACAACAAAATGCTGGTTGCACAGTGGCGTAAGTTGTTGAGATTTCTGCCTACAAATAAATTATATATTAACTTTTGAATTGTTCAGATTAACTGTTCCTGCAGAAACAAATTAACTTTAGAGTTGTTCAGATTAACTTTTCATGTTGAAACTTATTTGACAAATGGTACCAGTAACCACAGTCTCATTATAGCTTTATCAGTTCATGTAGGGCTATGCAAATGATAGCATTGATGAACGTCATCATAATAATAGGTCTTATCACATTGATAATCATGGCAGTCATAATAAACTAATTTTAGCATGACCAATAACACCTATAACAGAAATAACCCTAGCACTAAGCACAGCACCTAATGACAGTGAAAGTAATTGGTTTGTTACAGGGCTTTCTAGCTCCTGTCGTCTGCTAGCAACAGAACTGACATCATGTACTGCAGAGAGGGATGAGGGCCTGGTGAAAGTGAATAGGTTTGCAGGATAGGTTTCTGTTCTATTTTAGTAGTTAAATTATGTAATAAGTATTAAGTATTCACTAAAAACATGTATCAGCTAAAACCAGGGGTCAGGTTTTTTCTTATTTATGTTATTATTCTGAGACTTGTATTATATTAGAGCTTCACATTTGCTTTCTATGGATCCACTGTTCCGAATCAGATAAAGGCCACCGTTAAGTTTTTTAAGGTATAAAAGAAAATTACAAAGGAAACACAGGTGTTGGACCCTCCTGAACCTTCTCATGAAAACCCAAGTGGTCAGTAGACCTCATTCTAAAAAACCCTATATTAGAACTTAATATTATACATAGAAATATTTGTCTGTAATGTTAACTAGCAGATTAATCCTAATAGTAGTTTGTATAAATAATTTTTAAAGCTAATTTTAAAAAATTGTGATATTTAATGTTGCTTTCTTTATAAAAAAAATTCCCTTTCAGGATTTTAAAATTGTTGAGTGATGGCTGTGAGGACATAGCTGTAAGTTTTTTTATATTCTACTGGGAGACCAATCATACATTTCTTTTACAGGTAATAAGGTTGGGGGGGGGGGGGGGGGGGGGGGGGAGACTGCCGGCAGGTGAGGAAAAAGGAAATGAGCAAAACAAAATGTTTACAGACTCCATGGCTTGATTGCCCAGATCCATCTCACATGACCTAAATTGAAATGTTAAAAGTAAAATGGGATAATAGAATGTTTAATTAAAGTAAATCGTACATGCAACCTTCAGTGTCCACATGTACCATGTACAGTTATTATAGATTTGCCAAGTTTTACAGCCATACAGGCTTATGTACCATTTTTTTCTCTGGATAAATAAAAAACATTTTTTTGCACAATACACATGTCCAAAACTGGGGAGGGAGGGGTGGAATAACTTCAGCTTTGGACAACAAAAAGCTTAAATTCTATTTGTCAATTCACAATGACCAAGCTGAGTATCTGTAGGCCATCTTAATTTAGAAACAGCGTGGCGCGTGGTTTCATTGATATCATTCCTTAATACTATAAAACAGCAAAGTACGGCTGTAACTACTTTGAGTATCAAACAAAAATTACATAACTGTTTGTTTAATTCTGAACAAGAACTCCAGTGTCCTTGAGTGTTCTTTTAATTTATATTAAATAATCAAATTTATTTATATAACTTTCAATCATTCTTTATTATTATTTATCATAACAGCATGGCTTAATCTCTAGGGTATGGTGAAAAATAAGGTTATGAATTGAAGGTTAACTCAAAAACTTAATTTTGTTAAGATGGACAAACTTTAATTTACTTCATTAATTTAAATACAGGAATCTGTATAACTACGCTAGCGTAATCAACCAAAGAATTATGTCTAATTGCATCTAAATTGATATAAAATTAATCATCTGTCCATTTTTAATGAAAAAACTCAAAACTTGACAAACATCAGACTTATAACAAGCTCTTGACATTGAATTTAAAAGTTACTGCATATCTATTTATGAATGATGTAAACACGCTTAAATTTGTGCACAGCAAAGGAAGACAATTAATTTTTTTAAAATTCATGCATTCAAAATAAAAACATTGATAAACACCATGAAAAAGTTATAAATTATACTTTATTTTTACTTTTCATATTTTTCTATAAAAAAATTGTTTCATGCTGTTGGACAGTTTTTTGGGCCTGTTGCTACATTTTTTTTTATCACACAGGTTGGCATGTATAGATAAGTTATACAAAATAGATACAATTATTCTATTTTGTATAACTTATTTTACAATTATATTTTAAAAAATTATGTAAGTGTGCAACCAATCTTTTTAAGGGCCTCATAGCTGAAAAACTGTTAAATAATTCATGGCTGCTATTGTTTACCATCTTAAAAAATATATATTTATATTTATCTAGGGTTGTTATGATTTAAAGAGTATACAGGGAGAGACAACTCTTGGATTTTACTTGGACCTAATGGCTCGATACAGTGACTCTTTAAAGGTAAGAATCAATTTTTTACATCAAATTCTGTATACAAACTAAAGTTACTTTAAGTAATTGAGTAATTGGTCTAAACTAAGCAAATCTCAAGTTGGTGGTCTGGAGTTCAATTCCAGCCAAAGCCCAGTCAAGCAAAAACACCACCAGCACCCAAGGTGGATGGGACTCGTTAACCATGGATGGCATCTCATCTAAGAGAAGGCAACTCTGAAATCAAACCTGGAGATGGAGTCCCGAAAGGCGGATAACATTGATATAATGAAACATTCCGACAACTCCTGCAACGTCACTGGTGCCAAGCTGTATCATCCAATGATGTTCCCGTGGGTTATCCAGCGGCGTGGAGAGAGGCGATTTGCTGTTGGGAGCCAGCTTATAATCCTTGAATAATAATCCCAGGCCATGTGGATTTCGTCCTCCAAAGCCCACTCCATCGTCACATTGTGACGGGTGCCAGCAAAAAAAAAAAAAAATTAATTGAGGATCTGTTTTTTGCTGAGTGACATTGTCATTCTTAGAATTGGAGTTCTTTTTGTTGATGAAACTATAAATAAATCATTAAGATTTGCTGTGAATGTTGGTTAAATTTTTCTCTAAATTCTGTCTGTAACAAAATTACATCCCATTTACTTACAGAGTATGAACAGAAATGAGTTACATAATTTCTTTCTATTGTTATTTCTCCTTGTTCCAATTAAAAGTATATTTAAACATGTTATTTAAGAAAATTCAATAGAAAACTGAGATCAGCTGTCGACACAAATTATACAAATATCTGGTTTATATGGGTGGTGCGGTTTCAATTAGTAATTTAGTTTTTTTCTTCCTTCAGGAAATGCATTTTCGTCGTACATGTGCCCTCATAGATTATGAAAGTACAGAAAAGACTCTAGAAAAGGCAAAGCCAGTCAAAAAGGCTGCTGTAAGTAAACTTGTTAAAGTTGACAAGGTAATATAAATGCATGCATCAGGACTTGTTAACATTTAATTTAGCTTAAATTTAATATTTCGAATATGTAGAATCTTAAGTGATCCTAAAAGCTGGTAATAACCTAGCTGTTTTGAGTATTGTGACAGAGATGTATCAGTTGATTTATCTGAGGATGGAGCGTTACATTCAACCTAATACGAGGATTATCAAAAGAGTCACTACTTTGATTACTCTGAATGCAGTGGAAATGTAAAATGTCGTTTACTTGGAAATTTTTACTTTTTAATGCAACAGCTTTAATTTTGTTACATCTTATTCTACAACAAGATTCACAGTTTCTGAATTTTTTTGTGAGTCTTTCAAAAAATAATTTCTCATAACATTCCATTTAAATTAAATATGAGCCGTAATTAAAAATATTAAGAAATGATACCTTTACAAAAGTTGTCTCTCTTTCACAGGCGCAAGAGGCTTTTGACAATGCTAAAAACGTTTTTGAAACTAGCTCAGAAAAGGCCAAACAAGAGGTAAATTGTCCAGGTCTTTACTTTCTCACCTACTTTCATAAGGTTTGACATTTGCCCACTATTGGATTTAGTGTCTATAAATCGTTACACAAACTCAAAGTGCTAGACTTCTGATCAGGTTCCATAATTTATTTAATGATCTAATAAAATAATTATATTTAGATACCACAATTTTTAGAGGATTTTGAAGCTGAAGGTAAGTGACAGAAGAATAACAAAACTTTCATTACTAAATAATTGGAACAAGATATTTTTCCAACAAATGTATTAAAATAAATAATTTAACTATTTTTAAATATATTATTCTTAAATAGTTTTTACTTTTTTTTTTTTTTTAATCATTGTTTTTTTTTTTTTAAATAGAGAATTTTTAGTATTAGCTTATTGTTTTTTATTTCTTACATTTTTAAGCAAATTTTTTTCAACAGCTAAGTGTTTAAAACAACTTAGGGTTAAAATATTCATTGAGGCAAAATTACATTTTAAATATATTATTTTTAAATAGTTTTTATTTTTTTTTTTTTTTTAATCATTGTTATTTTTTTTTTAAATAGAGAATTATTAGTATTAGCTTATTGTATTTTATTTCTTACATTTTTAAGCAAATTTTTTTCAACAGCTAAGTGCTTAAAACAACTTAGGGTTAAAATATTCATTGAGGCAAAATTACATCAAAGAAAACAACATGATACCAATTTTTTCTGATTTCATTTTAACAAACTTTATTCTATAAATTATTGGATTACTTTAAAAAAATTATCATTTTATGTCATCATTTGAATTTTATTTTATCCCTCATCAACAATTAATATCCACAGATCAACTGTTTTACCCAAATTCGTCTGCTGAATTCCTCAGAGGCCCTGACCAAGTATGCAGAGCTTCAAATAAAAATCTCCCAAGATTGTTACTCACAGCTGTTTCATTCCCGTAAAACTTTGCTAGAGCTTCAGTTATGATTGTTGTAATGCTCTGCATCAGATAAGTTGTTGTTGAACAGATTGGCTCATTCCAGTGTTTTTTTGGTTTGTAATTTAACTATGACCATTTTGTTGTTTATGTCCACTTATATGGCCTGAACTATAGATTGGCATATAAGATATATATTTATATTTTACATAAGGCATAAAACAACCTCAAGCTATGGCTTATGTGTGCTCATTTGTCAGGAAACATACAAAGTCAGTGTTTCTAAAACTATATGGTGAGGGCATCCACATAATCTTTTCCACCTCATGCTGGTACTTAAAAAAAAAAGTTTCACATATATTTGAATCAAGTATTGCCAAAATTTGATTGGCTTGATAAAACCATGAATTCAAATATTTATACAATAGACATAATCATGATTTAACCAAATTAAGTATGTTTATAAGAGTGATCAGTTAGAAAAATATAGTTTTGTTAGTTGTATCATTTTGTTAATCTTTATATAAGGCTGCGAGCACAGTGCCTGGTCACTGCTTAGTTTAATCTTATTCTACAGTGCAACAATTGGAGGCCTACTGAACATCAGTATTACCTGCTGGTGTGGGAATGCATTGTCTGACATCAAACACAGGCTAAACAGACTAATCAAGAAAGCTAGTAATATCACACAAACTAAACATCCTTTACTTGAACTATTTAAAGAAAAGTTTTTAAAAATTTAGATGATACATCCCACCCTCTTCATCACAGATACCTATGGTCAGTTCAATCAGGGCAAATTCAGTCTCTTAAAGTTAGGACAGAAAGATAAAAAAATTCTTTTGTTCCCCAGTCTGTCAGAATTTACCAGCATGCTCCTCCGGCAGTTAACAAATCTAAATGATCTCTAAAAAAGTCAATATTGTCACTATGCGAGTTCATTGATGACTGATTTCTATGCGAGAGAAATATTCTAGATGTCATGTGTTTAAATTGTTATAATTGTAAAATTTGTGTCTTGGTTATAGAGTATGTATTTATTTATTTGTTGAAAATTAATATGTACAATATAATTAAAAAAAAAAAATTTCCATGTATTTGGATCAATGAAAGAATCTTATCTTATCTAGAAATATCATAATTTGATTTAAGTCTAAGATTGTTTCACTGACTCTTGACCGCATGACCTAATTACATCAATCTGGTCATTTTCAAGGTTAACACCGATGATAATCTTGGACAAAGTTACATAACTGCTGAAATGCATTTTGTTTTTAAAGTATTATTTCAAAAAGTTTTACTCCACCCATTTTAAAACTTTTCATGGACAATATGCATTCCAAGTAGAATAAATTTGTTCCAATAGTATCAGAAAGGTACATTCCAATTTACAACCAATAACACTGAATTTTGATTTTGCAGCTCTTTTTGCGGACAATACATTTCTCAGCTTTAAAGAGAGGAATAGACCGGGTTATGTTACGACTTATTACTTGTCTCATAAAATATCCAACGAATGTTTGTTTGTAATAGCATGAAAAGAAGCTGTAAAACGTGACAAGTCCTGGAGTTAAACTTCTCTAGTCGGATGACCTGTATTTTTTTCCAAATTTTATCTGAACTGATGGTGAAATTATTTTTTTTTTAAAAACATTATTGATTTTTAGTTGATTATATCAAAATAATTTTCCATACCACTAATATTAATCTGCTACAATTATTTATTTGCTCGCTGGAGACTTAATTTATTCATTATTATCTAGTCATTTTTTGTTTACATAAAGTTCTGTTCGTCAATGAATTTATGTCGCTTCTTCATTGTACACATTAGTTCCAGACAGTGCTTTAGTCGGATCCTAAATGAATGATGATAATCAAATTATTCCAATCTATTTTTTTAATTTATTATGTCAACATTTTAGCCAATCCTACTAAGATGCAAAAGAAATATGACAAGCATGAATTTTCTGAGCATTTAAATGTTCAAGGCCCAGTGTGTGAATTTTTGTTTGTAACTGCTGTGACTGTGGCAAACCCCAGGGCAAGTTTTAATTTTAAGATGTATTCAAAAAATGAATTTTTCTTTGTCACAAATACACGAATACAACTGAACCCCATCCCACTGTAACTGTAAGTCTCTGAGTCCTGTATTATTTAATATGCTCTTCAGAAACCAATTATAGATGTACACATTTGAATAATTATCATTCAAATTTATAGATTTACATTTCAAATAAAAACTCTCAAGTTTAAAAGAACTTTGTGTTGGTAACGCTCTGTCTGTGTTAAAAATTAACTGTTGTTTAATTTCTACCTGCAATACATTACTTACCTTCTTCTTCTATATATTTAGGGCCCACGATCAATTTATTGATCATTTTGGCTCCAATGCATGTAGAGGGGATTTGCAATTGTTGACATTCTGTCTGTGTTATATTAACTATTGATTAATTTCGACCTGCAATACATCAATTTTGCTTCTAACTAGATTTTACAGGTCATGGCTTCTTACACTGTGACAATCTTGTAAGTTGTTAAGAATTTTAAAAAAAAAAAAAAAAAAAAAATAATTATATTTACTATTGAATAATTTCGAACTTCAAAACATCAATTTTGCTTCTAACTAAATTTTACAGGTCATGGCTTCTTACCCTGGGAAAATCTTGGAAGTTGTTAAGAGTTTTAAAAAAAAAAAAAAAAAAAAAACTATTGTCTCCTAAAAGTTTCCAATATTTCCAGGAATTGGGGGATTTCCCAGGAAATATTTTGTTTATTCGAAATCGAATGTGATGCAGCTTGAGATACCTAGCCTCAACACTTTATGAAATTTGAAAACAATACACATTTAAGTCCCTAGAGGGACATTTTTTTCAAGGATGGCGAATTCCAGCAATATGAACAATATATAACAGAAGAAGAAAAACAAAATATGATGCCCCCTCTCTTCGCATAATTTTATTAGTTTAGAAACAGTTGTTCTCAAACTTTTTTCCGGACACCGCCGTAGGACCATAAAAATCACCATGAGTGACCACCCTATTATGAGCATTCTCAGGATCAAATTGTGCATGTGCATCAATGGTAGAGTACTATTTCATGCATCCTCATATTTCTAAGCTATTTATTTGCTTTGATCACTGGATGACAGCACTAACACCCCCGTGGAGTAACTATAGTTTATGACGCCCCTAATTTCTGAAAAGCGCAATGATTACAGAATACACACGCAAGAAAGTTATATAAAATGTATCAAGTGAAAGGAAAAGGCGGGGCCCAAAATACAAGTGCAAAGTGGGTCGGACCCCGGGAACCCCCCCCCCCCCCCCCCCTTATTACGCCCGTGCTAAAGTCATCTTCCATCATATACAATACTGACTAGAAGCTTCTTAATTAACCATCTTCCATGCAGAATATGATTAAAAACTCCAAGAAAACTCCAAAAACTCTCATTTTGACTCCAGTACACCCAAGCTTAATCTATAATCATTCGGATTGATACTTCAGAGTTAAATAGAGAATTTCGTTTCTTTGACAACTGAGAACTGGTCTATAGCCTACATATATGCCCGCCGGTCAACATTCAATTATGATTCAAGTGCTGCATTTTTTAAAATATTGCTTATTATCAACGGTGACGAAGGCTCCCAAGCAAACAGGCCCTGGGGGAAAAGGCCCAGTGAACCCCTTCCCATAAAAATTTTGATAAATTCATTTTCCAAGGACTCCATTTTTTGCGCGTAAATGAAGTCAGTTTTGCATTAATCTGCACTTAAGCTAAGAGCAACAGAGATGTGCTATGAATTTTGTAATTGTTACTAAATACTGAAAATAGTAATGTTGTTTTATGATATTTATTTTAGCTATTTCAAAACGGAGTGGCTATTTACAGTCGACTGGGAATTATAACTGCTAGCGATAGTAAACCATTTATTGGCTGGGAGTGACATTGAGCATCATTCCAAGCAGTGTTTCTTCCAGACATTTTTCCCCGGGAGGGCATGTCAGATTTTTGGGGTGGGCAGTGGCGTACCTAAAGGGTGGCAGATGGGACTTACGTCCCGGAGCGCCAGACTAGAGGGGGAACCAAAAATGGGATTTGATGGTATTAAGGGAAAATTATTACTTTCAGAGATATGGCCCGGGGGGGGGGGCGTAAAAATAAATCACGCCACCTGATGCCAAACACGCTAGCTACGCTAGCCCCCCTTTTCCAGTGGCGTAGAAAGGAGGAGGATGAGGTTGTTCACCCAGGTCTCACTTTTTTCTTCATATGGAGGTGCGGCATTTTCGGACAACTGCACAGTTTGTACCGTGAAAGGGAGAGCGGCACAATAGCTGGCCCCCATGGTGGCACTAGTAGTAGCTACGTCTCTAGGAAGTGTATCCATTGTCACCAAAATTAGCGATCATTTTCATCGGGTTGTCGGGTAGAAATCGAGGGCACCGATGAATTTGCTTTTATTTATGTAAATAAAGGCAAGACAAAGATCATAAAAATGAACTCAGCCAACCAATAGCACATAGCTCTGGTAGGATAAGCACTGGAAGAAGTGGAGGCTTTCACATACTTGGGCAGCGCCATTGACTTAAATGGTGGGTCCGAAGCGGATGTCAGGGCTAGAATTGGAAAGACTAGGTCAGCATTTTTTCCTATTAAAGAAAATATAGGAGCCAGCCCATTGGTCTCCATAATGTGTCACTCTGGATACCACGTTGCTCTCGGGCAGAGCCATGAGAATGGGGCAAAGAGGGTGGTCACAGCGGGTGCCAAAATCTTCTTTAGATAGGATCTTAATGATGAATTAAAATATCAAATCCCATATACTTCAGAAAGACGAGGGGGGGGGGGCAAAAATCGTCCTTTTTACTGATCCGCCCTGGGGGGCACTTTTTCTACATATTAAGTGGCACCATTTCCCGGCTTCGCCCCAGGTGCAGCATTTCCTACGCAGCGGACAAACAACAGTCAAAACAGAATCAAATATAAAAAAATTTGCACTTTACTGAAAAGTAGTATCCGCATTGGGAGCAAAAGAATGGTGAAAACACAAATTTGGCAGAAGTGCCGGGAATTGAAACATTATAGGGACCACCACTCAACTGGCACATGGGAGATACGGTGGTTGGGGGGGGGGGATTTTACTGTAATACTGCTATTACTGAGTACTATTAAAGCGATATCTAGCTAGTTTATTTCTGAAAAGAAATAACAACATTATGACGATAATTCCTACACAACATTGCGTGATACTTTTACAGCATTGGAGACATAAATATGCTATTTTTAGACTGTCAGGTGGAGCTGAAACTATTCACTGCACCGGCCTTTGCAGAGAAATAAGATAAGAGAAATGGAAATAAGACAAGCAAGTCATCGCTGCCAAAAGTACGGACAAGCGGGACAACGAGAGGAAAATACGCACAAATATGGACGCAAAAATGAGTAAGGGCAAAGGGTCGAAAATACAAACTGTCCGTACTAAATACGGACGTCTGGTAACCCTAACTAATGTTGAGAAACACTCGCTTACGGGGACTGACCAGTGGGTGAACCATAATTATAAAACTCTAATAATCGATTAAAATAAACTGAAGCCATTGTTACAATGTAGGTCAATGTTGGGGGTGTGGGTGTGAGGGGGGCTAGGGGGTGATAAAGTAGATATCAGCTCTGAGCGCCATCTTTAGAGAGTACACATTTTTTTTCTCTTCAAAATAGTTTTTTTTCTTCAAATTTTTGGTAAGTGGGGGGGTGGGGCATTATTTCGGGCTCTGCCCCTGGCACGCGACATCTTCTGCTGCCACGTTACTGCTCACACCTACATATTTAAAACTAGGCTCTGATCACCAGTGTCACCATGACCTGTAGAATCTCCTTGGCTAACTTACCTGGAAGCGACCAGTGACGTATCTTGTATAGTACGTCATTGCTTGGATTATTTATACGCCTGTCGGATTATAGGTCTATATTTCACGTTTAATTTGTCTCTCTCTCTCTCTCCCCCCCACCTCCCCGTTTCCTTTTGTGTTATTCTATTTTTGAATTTAGTTAGACTCTGCAAAATGAACGCACCATTTTTTTTAGACGAAAATGGGATTTTGATCAAATAGTAAATTGAAAGTTGTGGCAAGGCTTCATACACACATTGCATCAAATGCTTGAAGAAAATTTCATCGTGTGAACCTAGGCTTACAGTTTCATGTTTCCCAATCAGTGCTATACATTATTTCATCGTGTGAACCTAGGCTTACAGTTTCATGTTTTCCCAATCAGTGCTATACATTATTTCATCGTGTGAACCCAGGCTTACAGTTTCATGTTTTCCCAATCAGTGCTATACATTATTTCATCGTGTGAACCTAGGCTTACAGTTTCATGTTCTCCCAATCAGTGCTACACATTATTTCATCGTGTGAACCTAGGCTTACAGTTTCATGTTTTCCCAATCAGTGCTATACATTATTTCATCGTGGGAACCTAGGCTTACAGTTTCATGTTTTCCCAATCAGTGCTATACATTAATGATGTTATTATAAACTGGGCGTTTACATACACGCCAACCATTACTATAAATGTGGACACCTACGTTGCTTTTGATTTAATCGCATGAGTTCTTAAGATGTTCCAAACCATTATTTTTTTTTACATCAGTTATTGATGAATAAGAATTGAACTTAAAACTTTAAAGACAATGTCCGCCAATGGATAAATTCATTGTGGTTCTTTTGGTTTGTTCGTTTGTTTGTTTGTTTTTATTTATTCTGCAGTTTCCGTTGGCTGCGTTCATCCAAAGTTCTCACCGTTTCTTGACCTAAGTTGACAGGCGTTGATCTGTGTTGACCTGTGTTAACATGTGTAGTCCTGTGTTGACCTGTGTTGTCCTGTGTTGACCTGTGTTGTCTGTGTTGTCTTTTGTTGTCCTGTGTTGGCCTGCTTTTACCGGTCTTGTCCTGCGTTGTCATATGTTGACTTGTGTTGACCTGTGTTGTCATGACGTTGGCCTGCGTTTACCTGTGTTGTCATGTGTTAACCTGTGTTGACCTGTGTTGACCTGCGTTTACCTGTGCTGTCTTGTGTTAACCTTTGGTGACCTGGTTTGTCTGTGTTGTCTTTTGTTGTCCTGTGTTGGCCTGCTTTTACCGGTCTTGTCCTGCGTTGTCATATGTTGACGTGTGTTGACCTGTGTTGTCATGACGTTGGCCTGCGTTTACCTGTGTTGTCATGTGTTGACCTGTGTTGACCTGTGTTGACCTGT